AACCAAAAATATGATTATAGACTTTGCATGTATAAAATAATAATTATTAAAAAAATACAAACTTCAATAAATTTTTCCAAAGCATTAAATCGTTTTATTTTTGTGCTACACTTTTGTCATAGTTATAAATATTTACTTAAAAGGTACGTCTGATTTTAATGCTTTCCAAATATGAAAACATTTCACTCGGAGTTCCCAAACCGCAATTTTTAATATTTTTCCACTTATTGCTTATCAAAATATTTTGTGTGATCAAATATTATTGTCTTTGTCATACCCCAAAATAATTTTTTATTTGAAAACCAAAGACAACTTAACTTTTTACATTTTTTTTACATTTTGTGGGAAAAATTGTGCACTCGGCTTGGCACGAGCCAACTGTCTAAAGATCACCAAACTGTCCACCGATAAACGCCACAATAATTCCACCAAGTGATAAAATAAATCTTCGATAAATCTGTCTAGCGCACGCGGAATCTCATTATATAATTACTCAGCGAGTTTCAAGGTCAAGCAGTGTTTACACCCGCGGAAAGCTCCACCACCACACGATATACACAGTGTCCCAAATAAAATCACTCGTTCACTCCCAGTAACAACGCAGTTGACGTTACTTATTCAAATTTGAGCCAAAGTCCAGCATTATTCACATGTGTTTATTATGATTATTATCTGATGCAGATGTTACCAGTTTTGAGATTCCGGATTCACCCAATTAGAGCACTAGGCGGCTTATCGTAGGGGGTCAGGGGTCGCAGCCATCTCGAGCAAAAAAGGGGTTTTCGTAATGACACTCCCCCGCAGTGCGGGCCTGATCACGGACTCGGCAAATGGCTATCAGGCTAGGAAAAAATGGCGCCTTTGGGGGACTATAAGAAGGGGGCATGGCGACGGAATTGGCACTCTTGTCAGTTTGGTGACACAGTGAACTTACTTGCATACTTGACCAGTCTGACTAAAGTCAAAAACAGTGAGTATTTTTTACTTTCACATTTTCTAGTTCTTTCATTTTCATCAAGTTTATTTTTTTATTTTGACTTTACTGTTTATTTATTTCTTGTAGTTTTTTTAAATTATTTACATTTTTTTTAATTGTATTTCGCATTTTCATTCAGTTTATTTATTTTTTCTCAATATTTTGACTTCTACTATTTTTTGTTTCCTATAGTTTTGTGAAAATATTTACTTTTTTTATAACTTCCTTTAAAACATTTTTTGCATTTCCGTTCTTTCATAATTTGTGTATTTTTTTCCCGTAAAATTAAAAAAAATGTTTTTTAATTGTTGCATTTTCTTAAAATTTTGTATTCTACTAGATGTTTATTTGTTTTTTTAGTTTTGTAAAAATATTATTTTTTTTAACTTCCTTAAACATCTTTTTCCATTTCTCTGTTTTTTTATTATATTTTTTGTAGCTTATTTTTTTTTTAGTTTTTTATGTTGTAAAATAGTGCATTTACATTCATTTTTTAAATTGTTTTTTGCTTCCTGTGAACATTTTTTCCGTTTTTTTATCTTGTTTTTTTCAACTTAAATTTGAAAACTTTTTTTAATTAAAAAAATTGTTTTTTATAAAATAGTAAATCTTAAGATTAAAATTTGAAAAGTCATCTTTGCTTGTTTATCTCGGAACAAGTTTCACACCTATTTACCATTTCCTCATGGCCATCTTAAACTCACCATATGATCGATGAAAAATCAAGTCTTCCACTAGCCACCATTTTGTCGTGACTTATGATAAGAAATTCCAAAATGGTTTCTCCACTTTTATCAAATAATTAACTCAAACTTCTAATTATCATTTTTTCTAAATCAACTTAAATAAACATTTTTTTTATTGTTGCTAATGTATTAAATTTATCTCACCGTCTGTTGGAAAAATTATATCAAGACATGTGTGGAGAGATAAGTTTTGCTACTTAAACAGAGATTAAACAGAGATTGAAATAGAGCCAATTCGGGACCCAAATTTTTTCGCGAAATTTATTTGGTGTTTTTTCCAGCCACTATCACCATGGCCACTTTGGGACTTTTGGTTAAAACCGAATTGAAAAAATCCTCCATTTCCGCCATTTCGCTCAACCGAAGCAACTACCACACTTTGAAAAAATACCAAAAATGTTACAAACTCTTGGGGATTTACAAAGACGACAAGGAACTCAGAACCTCCCAAATAGCGACAGTTGGCCGTCAAGAAGCCACCCCCGAGCCCCGCAACGAATTTTCCGAGGTATTTCCCCCCCAACTGTCTTTTTTTTCAACCCCTAACCCTTTTCTTGTTACAGATCACCGGTGCTTTGAAACTTTTCATTAACTCAAACAAGAAATCTCGAAGCGAGGAGAGAGAAAACTTCAAGGTATGTCACTCACCCTTTGTGTTAATCAACGGGAAATTAATCCGGTTTTTCCCCCAGAACCCTCTCCAAATCAAGAAACGCCAATTCACGAAAATCCGGGCGACTCAGGCCGCCGAGAACGTGGTCAAACACCGCGTCTCAAAAATCTCAGCTGAGAAGAATGAGCAGAATGAGAATAACATGTTTTTGCCCTTCTCGAAGAAGAAGTTTGGTTTGGAGCGCACCGTCGAGGAGATGATCCAAGAATCGATCTCCAAGGGCGAGTTTAAGAACCTTCCCGGAGTCGGGAAGCCGCTCCCGGATAACGACATCAGGAACCCCTATGTGGACTTCGTGACCCATCGATTGAACGAGGTTTTAATCGATAATGGGTGCACCCCCAAGTGGATCACGCTCCAGAAGGAAATCCGGGAGGAGATCGAGACGTTGAAGGAGGCGCTTGCCAAGACTAGGGCCCAGTTCGGGCCCTACCCCCTCAACAAGGAGGAGGCGATTAAATGGGAGGATGCTGTGTTGGACTTCGAGCAAAAGACCGATCAAGTCAACAAGAAAATTAGAAACTTCAATCTTTTGGTCCCCATTATTGAGAAGCAGATGTTCCAAGTGGATTTGAAGAGGCAAGCGGAGAAGGTTTTGCTCAATGGCAAGTTCAAGAAACCGGTGGTTGAACCGCTGAAGAGGCAGAAATCTGACATTTTTGATTTTCTTGACGTTTTGTTTAAATAAATTTAGTTTAGTGTATTTCGAAGAGTACTTAATGGAATTGTTTGGTATCAATTGATTTTCTCTTTAATTGGTACCATTCAATTCCATTTCGGAATTTTCGAAATTTTCATGTGATAATACTTGTGTATTATTAGTTAATTTTCTCTTAGAAAAATTGTTTTTGTTTCGACAAAATTTATGAAAATGTTGCAAGACTTGACATTTTTTTACAAAAAATGGTCAAGCTTTCGGTCAGGTTTTTTAAATATTTATTTTTGTATTATTATTTAAAGTTATTTATGCTGTGGTGTGTAAGATATCCGCTATGATTCTTTCGTTCTCACGAAACTCTGCTTGTATTTTATCAAATACACTTTATTTGTAACTCTTGTCTTGGAAAAATAAAGAAAAATAAGCTGAACACTGATTTTAATTTCCATCTACTCCCAAGCCCAAAAACAACAAAGCAAAACAAAACAATCCAAACCAAAGTAAACAAAATTAAAAAACACAAAAATCTAAACATGAGCAAATGAAAATTTTTGTTTGATTTCAAATTCAGGTTTTTCTGTTTCAAAACCTAGCACTTGCTTAAACTGTTTTCTTGAATTTTATTAAATATTTTAAGAAAATACACGCAATTAAAAGTTTTTGTATTATTTTAAAATCAAGTTTTTCTTTTTCAGTGTTTGTTAATTGTGTTTAATTTTTCATCAAATATGGATTTACTAAATTGTTGTATTTCACTGTTTTATTCTTACTCTGCTTTTATTACATTCTATGTTCTTCTAAATACGCCTAAATCTAATTAACAAAACATTAACAAATTCATTTAAAAAAATACAAGCTTCGAATCCGGATTGTGTCAATTTTTTTTAGTAAATTTTTCCGAAAAATATAATTCACTATATAAAATTTGCTGAAATAAGTGTTTTCTTTTTATTTTATTACACTGTTTTGTTATTTCCACGAAACGCCAACACATCAAAATAATTCAACTACAATCAACATAATTATAATGCAAAATTTCATTAAATATTGTAAGAAATTACACAAAATTTACAATTGTTTGTGCGATTTTGAAATCAAGTTTTTCTTTTTAATTCAGTGTTTGTTAATTGTGTTATTTTTTTCATCAATTCTGAACGATTTTAAGTTTTGAAACTGAAATTAAAATTGAAGTGTTTCACTTTTATACCTTTTGTTATTTTTACTCTACTTATTTTCAATTTTTTGGTTTAGCTTTATAACAAATACATTTTCACAAACTTTGAATAAAACTGATTAAAATTAGTTAAGACACGATTTCTACGACCAAATTTAATTAACAAAGTTTTATAATTAATGAATACAACACTAGTAAATTTATTTAAATTACCTCAAACTCAAAAATTCGAGGTTCGAATCTAGGTTGTGTCACTTTTTTTTATTAACTTTTTCCAAAAAATATAATTTACTATACAGGGTGCGCCAGAACTCGCGCCCCAGAGAAAGTTCTCAAGTAAGGTAAGATACCAGGAACATGAAAAAAATGTTTAAAAAATTCTATCTGTCAAAAAATTTTGATATTTATTTTTTGACATTTGACATTTTTTTATATCTATTGAAGCATACTGATGATCTTGTAATAAATGTCTTGAAATAAATAGAGTCAAAGTACAAACTTTAAACCCTCATAACTTCTAAATTTTTATAGATAAATTTTTTTAAACATTTTTTCCATGCTCCTGGTATCTTACCTTATATGGCATTTTTCTCTGGGGCGCGAGTTCTGGCGCACCCTGTATAAAATTTGGCCGAATAAATAATAAAAATTAATTCAGTAGCTTGTTTTGAGTTAAGAAAATGAGTTTTTAAACCCGTATCCGCCCATCTTATAAATTTTGTCACATTTTATGTTTATCTTCAAATAAGTATGTAATTATATTTCTTATATTAAAAAAAAATAAAATAATTTTTTGTGATTTTAGTCAAGTTTTTTTTTTTTAATTTAATGTTTGTTTTGTGATTATTTTTCATCAATATTCTGAGCCAGCTTATGTTTTTACAAAAATGGAAATTTCACTTTTATTTCTTTCTTTATTCTTATTCTACTTGTTTGTATTTTTTTCTCTAGCTTTATATCAAAATACATTTTCACAGACTTCGAATATAACCGAATAAAATTCGGTAAAATAATTTTGTTACATTCAGTTTCTTCTAAATACTTACTTCTTTTAATTAACAAATACAACATAGTAGATTTATTCAAGTGTCAACTCATAAATTCGAGGTTCGAATCCGAGTTGTGCCACTTTTTTATTTTTCAAAAACTTACGAGTATAACAATAAAAATATGTAATAATAAATAATAAAAAATTATTCAGTAGTTTTTATGAAATAAAAAAATAAGTAATGTATTTTTTATATTAAAGAAATTTATTCGGTAATACAAAATTAACATTGCTTTAAATTAGGTAGAAAATTTTTTGTTTCATAAATATTATTGTTTTCTGTTTCCCTGTATATTTCCGTACAGAAAATTAGGAAAAATTTTCTGATACAATAATCCCTGTTTGCCAGGTCAGTGTCTTATCAGTCAAATCGGAAATAAATTCCGAAGTAAACAACAATTAATTAAATCGTTATTTATACTAAATTCCCATAATGTTTCCACAAAAGAAATGTTTCCATTAGGGAAAATTAATTAAAAACAACTCACAATGAACTAATGTTAGTATTAATTAGTATTAAAAAATTAAAATAAGCATTTGACAAACTTTAAACCGGTAGTGTGAATCGTCGCCAAATTTATCAAATTTCCGCAAAAAATTGAGTACAAATCGGTCTCTGAGACGCAGTAAAAATAAGATAGCCACTAATTAGTAATTTTAACAATGATGTTTGACCCCATTGCTTAATAATTAAAAAAATTGCAAATCAATAGTTTCTAACATTCTAGAACTTATCTCTTGCGATTTTTTACAAGAAATCGTTGATTCCGTTGCATCATCACAAGTCCAAAGTTTGGCAATGATTTAATGTTGACTAATCCTTATCACTGTCTAGCTGATAACAGCGAGACAAAAGTTTCCGATCTCTCCAGACGTCGTGGTACCAAAAATAATCCACTTTAGCTCACCTTTATTGTCTACCATTCTCTGTACATTCGTCATAAAATACATTTATTATTCTACAATAGAGGGAAATAAGCACAAAGTTTGCCATCAGACTTCCAACTCCAGTCTTAAAGAGTGCAAATGAATTAAAAATTATCGTGGTCAATGTATGAGATGTTCATTCGTTTGAGAAGATTCTCAGCTGCGTTTTTAATTTTCTCGTCTTGGGCTCCGATTAGAAGAACAGCGCCTTGTTTCAAGACGGTGGCCAAAGGCGAGAGCTTTTCCGATGATAAGCTACTCAAAAGCTCGAGGCATGCCTCCATGGTCTCAATCCGGGTCGTTTTGTATGCCTCAGAATCCTAAAAACGATGAAAGTAGTGAACAAGGCAAAATAAATACATATTCCAAAATATTAACTCAAAAAATTGAAGTTCACATCCGGATTGGAACAACTTTTTTGATATCTTTTTACACAGTTTCGTAGTTAAAAAGTAAAAATTGTCAAAATTGTTGAATTTTAAATGCGTTTTTCTTGGAAAGATTTTAAAATTTTGATTTTTTGGTTATACGCTCTTGTAAGTATATTCCTATTACAATTTTTTGTTAAATATTTCAAAAACTATTAATGGTAGAGCATTTTAACTTGTTGCATCGTGTTCAGCGCGACTTAAGGAAAATTGACTATTTACGATTTTACTATATTACGGGTCACCTTAAAACTCAAAAAAATCGTAATTTTTTAAACTTGACCCAATAACGTTTTATGCACTTTTTTGAGTTTTTAAGACGTCTACAAATAAAAAAAAACGTTATATGGATCAATTTAAAAGTTGTTTTTTTTACTTTTGTCGATTTTTGGCCCCCGGAGGGGTCTATTCTCTATTGTCAATAACTCCGGACTTGTTAATCATAACCTCTTATGTTTAGTACCGTTGGAAAGAAAATTTAATTTTCTATCATACACAAAAAAGTTCAGTGTTTTACGATAAATAGTTATCCAGAAACTTTCTGATAAATTTAAAAATATAGAAAATATAAATTCCACTGTAACTTCAAAACTATTACTAATTTTGCAATTTTCTTGACGCCAATCGAAACCCCGGAACATTTTACATAGGTTTACGTCAAAATATTATATCATTGAGATACAATTTTGCCACAATTTACAAAATAAAAAAAAATTGTTAACCCCCTTAAAAACTAATATTTTTGAACATGTCTCAGATTTTATTTAAATCTATCTTATCTGATAGATTTTGACGCGCTGATTACGAATTTGCTAAGCATTTTGCGCTATCGCCTCTAGTTTCGCCGTAATCGGCGTTCAAAAATTCAATTTTTTTGCGAGATATTGACTTGGATTTGGCGTCAGTCGATAGATTTTTTTACGCTGATTACGATGGTGTTAATTTTTTTGCTCAAAGTCTAATAGTTTGGCCATAATCGTCGTTCAAAAAGTAAAAATTGTCAAAATTCTGAAACTTTAAATGTGTTTTTTTACGAAACTAAGACTTAGAGTAAAAACCTGACCCAATAACGTTTTGTGCACTTTTTTGAGTTTTTAAGACCTCTAGAAATGTAAGAAAAACGTTATATAGATCAATTTTAAAGTTGAATTTTTTTTTTACTTTTGTCGATTTTTGGCCCCTGGAGCGGTCTATTCTCTATTGTCAATAACTCCGGACTTGTTGATGATAACCTCTTATGTTTAGTACCGTTGGAAAGAAAATTTAATTTTCTATCATACACAAAAAAGTTCAGTGTTTTACGATAAATATTTTAATTTTAATATTAATAATATTTTAATTTTAAAGTTGAAAATTTTTTTGATTTTTGTCGAGATTTTCGTCGAATTTTGACATCCGGAGCGGTCTATTGCCCATAACTCCGGACTTATTGGGAATAACGTCTTATGTTTGGTACCGTTAGAAAGAAAATTTAATTTTCTATCATATACAGAAAATATCAGTGTTCTAGGATAAATAGTTATCGAGAAAACTTCTGATAAATTTAAAAATTTCAAAAATATAAGTTTGACTATAACTGCAAAACTATTGTAAATTTTGTGGTTTTCTCGACGTTAATTGACCTCCTGGTCCCCGGAACATTTTACATAAGTGAGGATAAAAATATTGATCATTTTAGATATAGTGTAGCCGTAATTTACAAAATAAAAACAAGTAATTTTTTAAAAGCTTTTTTGAACATGACCTAAAATTTTTTCCGAGATATCAACTTGAATTTGATACCGTTCGATCGATTTTTGCGATAGCTCCAATAGTTTCGTCGTTTAAAAAGTAAAAATAGTCAAAATTGTTGAATGTTAAATGCGTTTTTCTTTGAAAGTTTCCAAAGCTTCGATTTTCGGTTATAATCCAATACGCTCTTGTTGGTATATTCCTACAATTTTTTTTGAAATATTTTAAAAACTCTTAACACTTATTAAAATTAACAATTAATATCACCGTTAAAATCGCAATGACTCTACAAATGTCTAAAAAATTATTAATTTTTTTTTTATTATTACTAAAACCAAAAAAATTGAGGTTCAAATCGGGCCAATTTTTTTTCAACACATTTTGCTATTATTTTCACCCACCTTGAAAATACTTATAGCCCTCTGCTGTTGAATTTCCGGCGGTATCGGCTGCGGTGGCGGCACACTCGCCACCATAAACGGATTCATCCTGGGACTCGGTGTCTTCTTCTCAAAACTTTCACAACTCGTAATATTATCACTGGAAATGGTCGATTTTCGCATTTGAAGCAACGTATTAGTGTCATATTTAATCGAATTTAGCTCAACTTTATACTTGTCATGAATCTGTTTCGTATATTTAGCCGCCATATCATTCGTTTCGTCATCAGTCGACGAAACTTCCTTCGTCTTTTTCAAAAGTGTCTCATCAAGACTACAACTCTGACGCAACTTCGGTTTTTCCCCCTCATCAACATCGGTTTTAACATTTGGCAACACTTCCTTCTCCAAATACCCCTCCGAGTCGGTACTTGAACTCAAAGTGTCCTCTTCTTGCTTAAAATCTGACAATTTGAATGGTCGAGGTTTCTCAATTAGGTCAAGATTTTCGTCTTCACTGTCTTGCACAACCGTTTCGGGGATATTTATAGTTAAGTGAATATAGGACTCGCATAGAAACTCCCACTTGTTCTGCAATCTTCTCAAAAACTGTTCAACGTAGTCCAAATCATTAGTACACTTGACTTTCCCATCCTTCCCAAGCAACTCCTTCAAATCCTTGGGTTTAATCGAGTACTTCTCAATCCCATCGAGACACAACTCGATCAAAACAATTATTTGGACCACTTCGGACGTGTTCGCTTGCGTGTACAAATTCGCAGCTTTGCTCAAATTACCCACTTTTTGAGTCAGAAACTTCAAACCAGGCCTCACATCAAACTGCTTAGCTCGGGCATTGCTCACATCCAAACACTTCAAAAGTATATCGACATGTTTGGCATTAACATGGGTCAAAATCCCACGCAAACTACACGAATTGATTTGCAAAATGTTCAAAATCGGGGTAATATGGTTCAAATTTTGCAAAAGTGCACTGGAAATCGTCTGAATGAGCATTTGGTGGGCTAAAATCCCCACAACGAGATTCCTAAATGGTACCCTCACAATGTACAAATCCGGGTTCAAAATGGACGACATGTCAAGCGGGTACAGGAGAAAAACATAACTGCGATCGTCAATTGTCATACTAGCGTCACACTCGCACACTTTGTCACATTTAGGACAGTTGCGTTGACATTGCATGAGAAAAACTTGTTGGGCAAGCTCGTACAACCTCTCGTTTTCGGAAATGGTACTATCCTTGCGGGCTGCAACCTTAACTGTGGCCAAATCACCGTAGAAACTATCGGAATTTTCCTTAAAAGCTAGGGTTAGTTGGTGGAGAGGGTTGAGGGAGATGGTACAAGCCCTGTGGAGGGCTACAACCAAAATTTCCCATTGCCCCCCAGTTAGGATTTTGCCAGCGCTGAGAATCACATGTCGGATACAGGAAGTACCCAAACGGGCTATGTTCTCACTCGGTTGGGTTACACACTCAATGAGGATCAAAAGGAGTTGTTTGAGGGCTAAAGTCGCAGCTGGGTTTTCCACAAAATTCCCAAAACCTTGCAAATGGTGCAAATAATCAACCACAAGCTCACTAGCCAAGCCGCAACAGTGTTTAAAATTCTGCCAGATTTCGCCCGGTTTCTGGATTTTGCTATTTTGACGCATCCAGTTTTGAACCATTGGGAGTACCAAATGGTTTATGGAGTACAACCCGAAATTGACACCTGGGTTGTCGATCAAGTCCCTCAAAAGTTTGAAGAGGGTTTCAACCACGAATGGTTGGTTTTTATGAGCCGACATGATGGAAGCCGAAGAAAGACCCTCAAGGAGGATGTACCATATTTTCAAAACGTTACTTTGACGGTCCATTTTGGTCAAAGTAATGCCACTCGATTCGCACAATTCCAAGTCGTGTCGAGTACTCAAAATTGAGTAACTTATCGGATCGTAGAGGTCTTGGTTGAAATTGACAACTTCAATGTTTTGGATGATTGGATCAACTACTTGAGGATCGGTGTCAATACTCATGCGATGGGTCATGTTGAAATTGGGGCATTTGGGCATGTTGTACATCATTGACAAGATGGCGGCGCAATTTTGGAGGAGTTTGAGGCTCTCGATGCATAAATCGACAGGTCCGAGGACTAGTTTTGAGGGAAAATCGTCTTTTGTCTCCAAAAAGGACCCTTTCTTCTCTTGTGGCTTCACTTGAGGCTCGATTTCCTCAAAATTGGTGTTTTTGATGTGCGACAAAAGACACAAAATATAATCGAGAGCCGCGTTGGCAAACACCAACGTGTTATCTGTAGATAGAAAAATCCGGAAAACATCCAAAATGGCCGCTGCGTTGTTCTTCGCATTTGCCACCCTCAAAGTGCCGAATAGTGGCCGCCAACCCGAGCAGATTTCAGTCCTATTGGCTTCAACAAACTCGCAAAGACATGACACGATCTGGTCTTGAACGTCCAAATCACACAGCTCCAAACATAGCAAATTTTCGAAGGGTTTGATTAGGGCTTCGTTGAAATGGAAGTGTGGTAGTTCGGCTTGCTCGTTCAACAGAGCGGTAACTGCGTCGTGGATGCATTGGACTGCTTTTTTCGAGATTGTGCGGTCTTTGTGACATGCCGCTTGCATGAAATGGGGGCCTACAATCGACCAGACTTTCATGGTGTGGATGAGGGGGCGCCCAGAGCGGATACATTTGAGGGTTACTTCGCCAATTCGGTGGAGGAGTAGAGTGGCGGGGGGTTTTTGATGGGACTCCAGCTCTTTTTTCCACCATTTTTTCTGCTGACGAGGGGCGTCCTCGTAACGGGTGAAGAGCTGTAAAGAAAAAAAAACATTTCTCAAAAATAGGCTTTTATTTTTTAAAAATAAAAAAATTAAAATAAGTAAAAATTTTTCTTTTTTTTAAGAGAAAAAAATTTTGCTTCCGTATTGCCATTGAAAATGTTCTTCTCTTAAAAAATAATAATTTCTACATTTTTTTTAATAAAAGCTTATTTTAAAAAAATACAGGGTGTTTTAAATAAAAAATTTGAAAAATAATAGTAAAAGCAAAAGCTAGTTTCCGAAGCGATAACTCAAAACATTGAAGTTCAAATCCGTATTAAGTTAATTTTTTTTTTATACTTTTTACTAAATTTCTTGTATATTATATTTTTTATATGATTAAATAACTATAAAAATAATTTTTCCTTAACTAATTATTAAAAATGAGGTTCAAACTCAATCTACACAAAATGACAACTCAAAAAGTCGAGTTTCAAACCTGGATCACGTTAACTGTTTTATTTTTTAATTTTTATAAACATAAATAATTAAAAAAATAATACTAATTACAAAAAAGTGTTTTTTTTCAGGTCTTTAACAAATTTTGTTGTATACAGGGTAGTAAAAAAAGATTGTAAAATATTTCAGGAGGTAATAGTATGAACCAAAACAAACAAGAAAGTTTTAGTAAACATGCAATGTGACGGTTTTGGAGATATCAAAAATTATTCGTTTTTTGAAAGCTGAAACATTTATTTGCAATCTGCTGGAACAAAAAAAAAGAAGCTACTAGTAAGAATTCTAAAAAATTTCACATTCCAAAATTGTTTATTTTGGTTTATACTTAAATATTTTACAATCTTTTTCTAACGCCCTGTATTTTTTTATACAGGCTGTTCCGTTTTTATTATTAAAAATTTAAACAGATGATAAAATATTCAATTTTAAGACAAAAGTTTCCTTTAAACATGTTTAAAAAATACTATGTAAGGGGTGCATCATTTAATGAGTTTTTTCAATATTTCCGAAACCATTTGATATAAAATTACAAAATTTGGTACAATTGATAAACTTGATACACCTAAACGAATTTAAAGATAAAATGTAAATTTTTTAATCAGGGGCGTCCTAAACTATGAGGGGGGCTAGGGTATAAGAGCTATCCTAACTGTTTAGGCTGTAGTTTTTTGTCAGTTTCAACAACAAAAATCTAAATTTTATAATCTTTCACAAAAAACAGAGGTCTCAACTTACCGTTTTTATGTAAAATCAGTTTAAAATGTATGTCACAGAACATAAAAATTAAATTTTACCCAATGTCCACTGATTAAAAATTTCAACATTTGATCTTTGAATTTATTTAGGTGTATAGGGGATATCAGATGTATTGAAATTTGTAATTTTATCTATTCTACAACATTAAAAAAGCACTCTTTTCAGGAGGCGTAGCTCCTTTACATAGTATTTTTCGATATATGTTTATAAGAAACTTCTGTCTTAAAATTGAATATTTTATCATTTGTTTAAATTTGTAACAATAAAAATGAAACACCCTGTATATTTTTATTTTCCACATTTTAGTCTTTCTTTATATATTGTTTTATGAAATACTTTCAAACACAAAGAAATTTGTACATTATTGAATAGTATTGAATCTCTCAAATAGCGATGTTGAAATTTCAATCCTTAAGATCCTCATTCCTGTGGGAGATAGGAGGATTGGTTTTGTCCTTAGAAACCCCAGCAACTCGTAGGGTTTTTTCCGCTCTATCAAATAGTGTTGGTACCACCTTCGTACGACAATTAGCGTTCGAGATATTGATAATTGGTTATAACAATTGTTTTGTGCAAAAATTCGGTAGTAGACAAACCTGTGTATGCGACGCTTTGCACAACTCCGTCAAGAAGCTACAAAGCCCCGGCAGAGACAGCCTCAACGCCGCTGAATGAAACAACTCGTCGGCTTTTTGTGACAAAACGCAACAAACTTTCGCGGCATGAACTCCTCGCAAAATGCCCTGACTTTGGGCATTGTGGGCGCCACTCCGTTCCACAATTTCGGCAATCGAGGCATCGGAGGAGTTTGCAGAGGCATACGAGGCATTATGTAGAAAACTGTAAACGTCCACGCTACAACCCAAACCTATTAAAAAAAAACTAGATTATTTTGACTTATACCAAGTCTCTTCGTCGTTACTGATATTGAACGTCATGTTAAGTCTCTCACTGTTGGTGTAAGTGCTTGAGGTCACAGTATTGTTTTGGGTGTTTTGGGCGACCATGAGGAGTTGCGTGGACCCAGTTTTGCTAAAAAGGGCATGTTCGAGGTTGGCTACAGCCACACAAGCGGAGAAGACATGAGGCCAGCAAGTGGAACTGTGCGAACCAAGGGCCAGCCCTTTGGATAATAGGACATCCAAGGATAGGGCATGGGAAGCCGGGAGTTTGGCCCCTTGAGGCTTACAAGAAGAGGCAGAAAGTAACGACAAGATACTGCAACTCCGGGACTGCAACTTCAAAGTGTTACTAAGACTGGCAGCCTAAAAAAAATCGAGTCAAAAAAGGACTTCAAAATCTTGATTTTGAACCTTATGTAAGCCTTCAAGACACGCAGTAATGATATCATCACGTATCCTTTGGCGGTACTTTTGCCGAGCCCTTCGTGCCACCAGTCGACTCAAGGCTGAAGTCCCAGCAAAGGTGTTTTTCTCGCCGAGTGGTGCCCCCAAAACTGAAACCACAGAAGCCCAACAACATGTCAAAACCCTCCGGGAGAGTTTCACTCCGGCTTCCACTTCAGGACTACTCTCTGGACTTCCATGGACTTTTTGCAACTTTTGCCAGTCGGAAAGTAGCTGCGATGGGCACAAACCCCCAACATCTGTCAAAAGATTGACCAAAGCTGGTTGTTGGGGCGATTTGGGGTCATACCCCGCCGTCAACAACAACGACTTAGCCAAGACATTTTGGTACAATTCGCACAACCAAGTCGCTGAAACATAAACCAAAACGCCACTCCCATGGATCTCCTCCACAAACTGGGCCTCTGTGATGGGCACATTGCTACTCCCATCATGGTTCCTCCCTTGAATCAACTTCAAATCAAGCAAAAGCGCCGAATACGTGGCCAAATAAACCCCATCAGCGTTCATAATCGTTGAAATCTCGTAACTTTGAGCCGAATTATGTTGGCAACACTTGGAGGCAAATTCTTGCAAAACTTCATCAACTTGAATCGATGATCTTAGAGACAAAAGGTTCGGTAAAAGTATATTTTGTAGAGTTTTGACGAAATGACGGGCATTGTGACGTTCCACGTCAGTATTGCACTCCTCTAAACCACTCCGGCCCAAATTTAGCGACTTTGGAAGTTTGTGCAACTTCTGGAGTTGCTGATTGGTTAGAAAACTGTCATCGTCCATTATACTGTCTTCTGATTGGCTCCCGTACTCTTCGGGACCTTCCGTCGCGCCGGAACAATCCGATTCGGAGCCGCCTTCGATATCGGGAACATTACCCTCAATCCCACTACTGTCAGAGTCACTTTGACATTTTAAATTTGCCACCACGTCCCTGATAATAACAGTGATAATAGTGATAATAATGATAATAATATTTGTACCGGTAGGGCTTCGGAAGCCTTGCCAATGACTGATAAGTCAAAGGTCCAGTATAGTCAGCTTGTTCCAAGGTCACATATCTCAAATTAGCGATTTCAGCGCCTTCTTGATTGAGTCCCTCGCCTCTGCAAAGGGCCTCAAGTGAGCCTAAAAGGGCCCCCACACACTCCACACTAGCCAAAAGTACATTCGTATCGCTACATTGTGATGACTCCTCGATCGAGTCCATAATTCTAAAAAAAAAAAAGTTGGACTTGTTTTCATTATAAATTGGGGGAATTACAGCCGGATTATAGCCATGTCGTCCCCCGCATGTCTATGAATAGCCCCACTTAGTAGCAAAAGGTCGGCGAGACGTCCTGGTGATCTCAGAAGTTCACGAGCGGCCCTTAAAGGTTCAAGTCTTTTGGTAGGACTCGGGAGGAGGAGCATACGATGGAAAAGGGCTTCAAGGACGGGACGAAGGGCACGCTCCCGTCCTACAAGACGCACAACTTGGATACCAATACTGTAGATGATTTTACTTTGATTGGTGGTGAGAGAGTGGCCAGTGGGGTCACCCGGAGCCCCCAGAAGGGATAAAAGGGCGGGGCAAAAGCGCTGCCAGAGAAAAGTAGTGAAGTGGATGTTGGAATGCACAGTGTGCGGAAGGGTGTTAACAAGAGTCAGGAGACATTCCAGGAGAAAAATTGTTAAATCAGTTGATTTAAGTTGCCTGAAACTGAAAAATAGAGAAGAAACTTCTCATTTGAGTCCTTACGTTTTGGATTCTTCTAGTCTACTACACAAATACTGCATCACCGGAATAGCTTCATTAAAACACGCCACTGCTGATGTTTTTGTATACACCATCTCAGCACTACTACCAGAATTCTTGTGTTTTTGCTGCTGTTGCAAAATCTCTTGACACTCCTCGTCCAAAAAAGTACAAAACGCGGTCAAAGTCTGGCTTGCTGCTGCTTGAGCAGCTGCCCTCACAGGCTGAGTCCCATTCTCGTAGGCCTCCCCACATCTTGTTATGAGAAGCATAACCAAACGCCCATTCAAGGCCCAACTTGCCGAACATGCCAAGTTGAGGACTACCCTCAAAATATGGACTTGGGTATCTTCGCACTGAGCCAACATAGAAGACGTGGAGAGGAGGAGTTGCGCGGGGAGCCAAAGAGAGTCATCTTCGGGTTCAGTGCCCGACTGGAACCGCTCGTCCCGCACAATTTTCTGCAAAAATAATAATATGTTAAAACACGAGCCACAGACGAGTTTAAAATTCCAAACACTTGCTGGAATTGCCTATAATGAGTGTTGTATACTATTTATGTCCCCAACATTGAAGACAAAAAATCCCCTAGACTGTTAACGCACCCAAACGAGACGCAAAATAGGCAATCTAGGTTGGCACTAGGCGACTTGTTGCGTCAGTGTCAGGACTTACATTGAGTCCTGTCAAGGCCAATGAGACCAGTTTGCTTTTTCTGCTTTCTAGGGCTAGTTTAAGGGGGACGAAGCAGGCGGTGCGGAGCTCGTGGCTGGGGCTGCGGAGGAGGTTGTTCTGGTTGCATAATAAGTCTGAAATGGTTTGATTGAAAGTGGTTTGGGGTCGGTTTTATTCGGGGACTCACCGTGGGCTTCTTGTGCGCTCTGTTTCAAATTCGAGAGTTTCGTTCCGGTTGATTCTTTGACGATGTTGAGGAGTAAGTCTTCCATTGTGTGATAATCAAGCAGCTAACATATTGCGGATTGATGACTAGACTGTTGTGACTGAGCATGTCTGGGGAAAATCAATACTTGAGGAGGATCAACAAGTGGATCTAGTAAAATGTTTGGAACGGAAATGTAGTAATGAATGACGCAGTTTCCATATCCTCTGATAAGGAGAGAATTGGGTGAATATTGAAATGTGTCAAAGAGATCTCAATGTGTTTCAAAATCATTGTTTATTTCTTTTTTTTTGTTTCCGAGCATTAATAATTTTGTCAGGTTTTTTGTAAAAGGATTTGTTGAGGACATAATAAAATAAAACTCAAATTAATCAACAGTTAATTTTTTTCATTACAAAAAAGTTTTATTGGTTGCCTATCCCCGGGCGCTCTACACGTGTCTCTCCACCTGTCCGTGCCGTTTGGCGTCGCCACTGTCGCACTTTCATTTCACGTGACAGAACAGTTCTATTTGTGTTTCACCAACTTCAGTCTGGCACAACATACGATCCGAAGGTTGCATTGTAAATTCGCAAGTTTTTCCTCAAACCCTCAAAAATCACACAATCCTCAATCCCTCCGTCGAGTGTGCAGTGCTAGTGAGTGCTTGAACCATGTTTCCCTCACCGGATCTCCTCACACAGCAAGTTGTTATGTGATTTCGGTAGGCAAACACTTCATTGTCCCATGTTTACGCAATTAATTGCAAGGATTTGTTAAATTTTTGCACCTGAACGACAGTTCGCCCACTGTCATTCTGTGGTATGCCAAACGTCACTCTTGACGTCAAAATCACCGCCCCCGCGCCTCTCACTTTGAAAAAAATAATGTAAATCTCTGTAAATATCTCGCGGTCGAGCTTGAAAACATCACGGAGAGGATTTTGGCCAAATTGTGACACTTGGGAGTGGAGAAAGGTGTTTCGAACGGGCGCACTTTCGGGCCTGGGGACCGATGCACTATTTTTAGAGAGTCCTACCTGTTTTTCTGCTTTAACTCAATCAAAAGCCTTGACCCCGAGGGCGATTTCCGGTAATGATGTTACACTCGTACCAATTAACACGATTTTCAGGGTGGTAACACTGATTAGAAAAAATTTGATTACTCAATTGGACTTGACAAATGGTGGGACATGGCCACTTTGATGGGATATTTACAACGAGGTCGATGACTGTAACATGACTCCGGGCGGGCAAAATTCCGATAAATTAATTGTTTTGAAGAGGTTTTAATTTGAGTAATTGGAACGTTGACAGTGATTTTTCGGTAACTGGATCGAAATGATGCATCTGTTTGGAAAAAAATCAAGAGGTGTCAACATACAAGTGATTAGAGGTGTGAATGTCACCCAGACGGTGGCATATTTGAAATTCCGTCCGTTTCTAATAATATTTCGGCTTCTACGGGAAAACCGATCGATCGAATAGGTGGCTTGGCCAGTGTTGGCAATTAGCAAAAACAAAAATAGAATATACCTACATTATTTTGGTGTTTACCGATTAAAAATACTCATTTTACGTAACCGGCAGTGATTGATTCGAGTTAAAAGGAAAAAGTCACCAAGACGCAAATTTTATTTTTGGGGGAAAATCTCACAGACTTTTTTATCAAAATCGGTGCAATATTTTTATCGATAAGTTCAATGACATGGGGAAAAAATTGCGCAATAATATATTGAATGGTTCCTTTTTCTTTATAATGGGATATTTTTGGTTAATCACAAGGTGGCGAGTGCGTGCCAATATCACACCACCTGTTTACACTTGACGATATTGCCAACAATACAACATTAATTTTTTATTGGCCACAAACAAGATTTCTACGAAAATCGGAGAAACTTTGTAAACAACTCGAGCAAAGAAAGAGGAATTTCGTAAAAATAGAGACGACAAACCGAAACTTGGAAAAAATGTTTTAAATATAACATGTTGACTACCAGAGAAATTAAAGGAGGCTTTGGAAACAAAAAAATTATGGCCATTTTTGACGTTTCCGTACAATTTTTCTGTCTTTTTTTATTTCACAATATGTATAATTAAAATTCCATCCCTTACTTTTTACTCGCACAGGTATAGTTCTTTGTAAAAAAGACAAAAAAAAAAAATGCCAAGTGAAATAAAATACCAGGAACATGGAAAAAATGTTAAAAAAATTCTATCTATAACAATCTCGAAGTTATGAGAGTTTAAATTTTGCACTTTAACTTTTTTATTTCTTTGGAAAAAAAATTTCCAAGCTTTTGTTTTTTCTACAGGCTATTAAAAGAGGAAACAAGGAAGCTGTATCCTAAATTGGAACTCTGTTTCATGTTATTTTTAATGTTATTTGTGGCTTTTATTGCCAATTTTTTTGTACCTTTACCAAATAATTCTAAAAAAAACATATACAAGTTCATCATTTTTTAAACATTTTTTTAATGTTCCTGATATCTTACTTGGCATTTTTCTTTTTTTTGTCTTTTTACAAAACACCCTGTATATAAATTGTTCGTGTCAAAATAATTGAAAAAGCCATGCTATATCATTGACATATGGAACTGTATCTCTATTTCACTTTAGATAAAAACTATTGAGGATATGTTATATGTCATGTGTGACATGCGACATTTTCTAAATGTCATTGCTGACACTCTTAATGACGCTTCTATCAACTTAACAACACTTTACTGTTTATAAGAAAAAATGAAGTATACATAAAAAATCAAGCAAAATTGTTCTCAGTCTTTCAACATTAATTTTTTTGCACTAAAATTATTTAAAACTAAAGTAAACCAATAAAATAAACGCAACTGAGTTAAAAATAATGTTGAAAGTAAATTATTTCAAACTATAAACGGATTAAAGTTGAACTTTTACCACAAATCGTACCACAAAGTGGTAAACTCACTTTCTAAACTGTAACTTTGACGTAATTTATCTTAATCAAGGAAGTGGACAAAAGAGGACGAAATCTGGTTTAAATTAAAATCCATTAGTTCCTCTAAAACCACTTGACTTATTTTTATAAAAGTTTACAGGCATCGTGAACCATTGAAAGCCCTTTTTTTCCAGCAATTTCACTCTTACCAGTGGCGTACATACGGGCACGACACTGGATATTTTAATTTTATTTTTTATTAGTGTTATTTTTCGATGTAGAATATGTGGTTGCAATTTTTCGAAATATGGTATAAAATCCCCTGATTGCTTTGCTTTAAAGAGTGAGAAAAATTTTTTTTTAATCAGATTGCTGGTAATTAGAAGTTTTTTCGCAAATTTCTTTAAATATCAAAAAGTACAGGCTGTCCGGAAAGTCGTGCACCTCCGTGACACTGTATTTTGCATTTCGAATTCAAAGTTTTGTGTTCTGCATTTACTTTATTATCATAACAATAAAAATATTTCTTCGAAATTGTAGTTCTTATCTAATTGTTAATATTGTTTTTTTTTTTAATACAAAATGATCCAGAATTAGTCTGTTGACAACAGAATTAAAAGAATTTTCTTTTTCAGCTGTTTGCAACACTGCAATAGGAAATGGTTTAATTGAGAGATATTTAACGTGAAAAATTATAGGTTATGTCATTAGTAGTGAATATCGTTAACCAGAATTCGAATCATAAATCGCAGTTCTAAAATATGTCATCCCAATGAATATATCATGTTAGGTTAGGTTAGTTAGAGTAATCAGAGGTATCATTTAAGAATTAAATTCAGTATTGCCAACAGACTCAGTCTTTGTAGATCACTTTGTATTTTAATCAGGCCACCGCTTGCTTTGTTAAAAATGCGATTTTTTTGTTGATTGGTGTTTTTCTTGCAGCTACATCATAATGGGTGGCCATGTTTGGCAGAAGGAGACGCAGGTCGTCCACCATCCGTGTGATGCAGCTATTCCATGAGCTAAAACAGCAATTTCCCACCGTTCCCGACCACGTGGTAAACGCCTGTATCGCCTCCTACGCCCATTCAAACTCCCCCCACAAAGACACCACCATCCGGGAGTTACTGGAAGCGGCAGCCCAAAACCAAGAGCCGATGGGCCGTTCTCCTCCTCCTCCATCTCAACCTTCACCGCCCCCATCCCACCCTCCAGCAACCGCCGAACGAACAAGCGAAATGAACGCGAGTGCGAGTGACATAAATCAGAATGTTGTCAAATACACTAAAAAGCACGAATCGGTGAGTGTGTGCACGGAATCAAAAAGTAAGTTTTTTGTCAAAAGACCGGACACTTTGGAACTTCAACCATCAGAAAAATGCAAAGACGTTCACAAACTCTTAAATTCGGATAAACCGCCACGGTCACCCAAACGGGGCACTCCTCGACTCAAAAGACTGCAAGATGAAGGCAAGAAAGAGACAGCGTCGACTCCCACCCAAACCACTGACACTCTTCGTGGGGGCGCCAACAGTGTCAATCTCTCCCTCAACATCAACCTCCTCCCGAGCCCCACCACGCGGCGCAAATCCGTCCTCCAGGTCACCCCCCAGCAGCCCTGGCTCCAGGAGCCCCTCAGTCCGAGGAGTTACACCAGTGTTAACCTCACTCTGCGTCCCCCTTCGTCCGAACCACAGCCCCCTATTGACATAACCTCCCAGAACTCGAGTCTGACTTACTCCACGAGCAGTTTTGATTCGCAAAAGGGACTCCAGAGTCGGCTTCAGATCACAGTTGGGCCCGGGGGTGGGAGTGTTTCGTCGACACGGGCGAGGCCCCGGAGTAGTTATCACCCGGAGCAAGCCGTCGAGGAGGTGGTGCCGTACAGGGCCGGCTCCTTGACTAATCTTGCGACGAGCAGCGAACGTAAGTACTCACCTGGCGAAGGATTAATCAAAAATTTTGGCGAGGAGTTGAAGGAAATGCTCAACGCGTTATTAATGTAACAAATCGCAGTAACGGGACTTCACAGGTATCTGCGGTTTACAAATCAGGTGTTTGCAAAGTGGGGGCTATAAATAGCACGCCCACGGGATTTAGAGGGCGTTATTTTGGACGAAACAAGGACGAAATTTCACTAATTATAGATGGGTTGGTTCATTACGCGGAAATAAATGGAAATTGACAAGAAATTTCTCACTCATCGAGAATTATCAATTTTTTATTTAGTTATAACTGGTTTTCGGATTATCAGCACCTGTGTTAACCACGTGATCGTTCTCGGTAATTTGATTTATCAACGTAACCTTGACTTCTCTTATCATTTTTTTTTTCTTTAAACTTGCTCGATATTTTAGCTAAATTATTCAACTTTTGTCACAGACAATCAAATAAATAAAGGTTTTTCGTGTCATTACACGCAAAAAATTCGATTTATTTTGATAAAGTATTTGTTGTGCTATATTTAGCCCAAATGTAATGATAATAATCACCAAGTGATAAATTAATACCTTGAAATTGTTTGTTTCTTGAATAAATAAAATCACAAGAAACATAATTTTTTTGACAGATTGTGAGAACTGAGGCGGCCATGTGTATTTAAATATCAAATTTGTAGTTCATAGAAAGCCATGAGTATGCCACTCGTGGCCAAATCAGAAAAATGGTAAATGATCATATCATATGAATAAAATTACAAGAAACATAATTTTTTGACAGATTGCGTGAATTTAGGCGGCCATGTATAGATAAATGTTAAATTTGTAGTCAATGATTAATAAAGCAGTCAGTGGCGTGTTGTAGATTCTAGTATTGCCATTTATTTTGTCACAAAGAAAACTAATTCGATTATGCTATTTATGCCTAAATTCTAAAAAAAGTTGATAACAAAATTCATTAATAAAAAAACTTCAAAATGTTTTAGTTATATATAAAATTAAAGAAACATTTTTTTACTGATTTTGGGAATTGAGGCGGCCATGTGTAGTTAACTGTCAAATTTGTAGTCAAATAGACCATGGTTTGTGAAGGCAGGGGCCTAGATTCTAGAATTGCCATTAATTTTGTCACAAAAAAAATTATTTGAGTATGACATTTGAGGTCAAGTCGAAAAAAAGTTAATGTAAAAATTTTTGTGAAAATTTTTGTTCGTTGGTTAAATAAAAATGCAATAAACATTTTTGACAGATTGTGAGAGTTGAGGCGGCCATGTAGTTCAATAGAAAGCCATGGTTGCATAGATTCTAGTTTTGTTATTAATTTGGCTACAATAAAACTAATTTGAGTATGCCATTTGTGTACATTAATTTGTTTATGCTATTTATGCCAAAATTCTAGAAAAAGTTGATGACAGAAAAATTATTAAAAAAAACTTGAAAATGTGTTAGTTTGTTGTAGAAATAAAATTGAAATAAACATTTTTTTTACAGATTTTGGGAATTGAGGCGGCCATGTCTAGTTAACTGTCAAATTTGTAGTCATATAGGCCATAGTTTGTGAAGTCAGTGGCGTAGATTCTAGAATTGCCATTAATTTTGTCATAAAAAATTATTTGAGAATGACATTTGAGGTCAAGTCCAAAAAAAGTTGGTGACAGAAAATTTATGAAAAAAATTGTGGAAATTTTTGTTCGTTGATTAAATAAAATTACAAGAAACACATTTTTTTGCCAGATTACGGGAATTGAAGCGGTCATGTGTAGATAAATGTGAAATCTGTTGTCACATAGAAGGTCATGGTTTATCAAGCCAGTGGCGTAGATTGTTACAAAATAACTAATTTAAGTGTGCCCAAATCCCGAAAAAGCTATAACAGAAAATTTATTCAAAAGAGTTCTTGAAAATTTTTTGTTTGTTCTATAAATGAAATTACAAGAAAAATAATTTTTAACACATTGCGGCCATGCAAATTGAGGCCATGTGTATATAAATGTGGCGTAGATTTTAGAATTGTCATTAATTTTGTCACAAAAAAGCTAAGTATGCTGTTTGAGTTCGAATCTCAAAAAAGTTGTTGACAGAAAATTTATTAACAAAAACCTGGAAATGTGATAGTTTGTTATATAAATAAAATTACAAGAAACATTTTTTTGACAGATTGTCGGAATTGAGGCAGCCATGTGTGGATAACTGTTAAATTTGTAGTCAAAGCCAGTGGCGTAGATTCTAGAATTGTCATCAATTTCGTCACAAAAAAAACTAATTTGAGTGACATTGAACCCCAAAAAAGTTGTTGCTAGAAAATTTAAAACAAAAAAATGTCCCTGATTGACGCCAACCGCGATGCGTATTTTTGCACCGACCCGTAAAGTTCGACCTTTTCGTTGATAAAAACACAATCGTCGACATTTTTTCGCTCGAAATAAACAGTTTTCTGTCGTCATTAAATGTATCAATGTCACGTTTAATACGTCGTCGATTTTTTTACCACCTGTTGAATTTTTTTTTGAGAGGAGAAAAAAATTGGCATAGAGTCGACAAGGTCGATAAGGACGTGAATTTAAAAATATATTTTTTTAATTTTTTTCTGTAATTGTAAGTTCATATTTTATAAGAACTTTCAGTTTCCGGAAATTTGTAATTATAGAATTTCTTTTGTCAAAAAGAAAATATTTGGTAATGCGTCATTTGTTTTCATTAATTTGTGTCGCCTTGAAAAGACTAGTAGCTTTCAACACCAAATGTTAAGTAACAGATATGAATCATTGGACGCTAATGTTTTATTCATTGATTTAGGTTCATTGGAATTACTTTCAAATGAGAACCGAAGATATGCACAAATCATGTTAATTAAGTTACCAATTTCATTTTGTTTACACTGTGTAGCCTTAAAAAAATTGTTAAGTTGTTCGACGCAACTTTTTAAGCACCTTGTATAATATTACGTCATGTGTATAATTGGTTGCATAACTTATAAATTTTTGTGGCAAATAAAAATTAACACAAATTACACACGCACTAAATTTTTCACTTAAGTACCCTAACGGCCTTCTAAATAATCTTACCTTGGCTGAAAGTCGTAAACATCCCACAATAATAGAACACGTTGAAATTTTATAAAAAAAAACGAATTTTCATGAGAACACGTTTCTTATCATAGCAAGCAACTTCCGCCGGTTTAAAATTGCAACAATAGTCGCTAAATCGTAAATAAACAACCATTTTTATGACTATGTTTTTTACAGAATTTTCCTCAACTTATCGCATTTATCTTTCTGTCGTCATGGGTGTGTTTCCCTGCAATTTTTCTTGTTGTTATTTTACTTTTTTTAGCCCCCGTGATACTGAAACAACAGGCCCGAATCGACCGTTTGAAAATCGAGCTAAGATCGGAGAAAGCCAAACTGGAGGTGATGCAAAAAGAGGTGACCGATTTGGAAGACCGCAACCGCCCCCTTGCCATCCAACCCACCGATGCGGAAGTGGAAAAACAGCTGCGACGAGAAATCAAGCATTTGCAGTATCAATGCGAACAGCTAGCCCTCGAAGTGGACAAAAGTACGATTTTTTAGTTATTTTTTTAATGTGAAATTAATTTGTTGTTGCAGATAGTGATTTGCAGGAAGACTTCTATCATAACATTTATACGGGTCAGAGGGGCCCTTTGAATCTAGACGGCCGTCGCTACACCCAGCCCACTGCGTTTCAAGACAACGAAGGTCCGAAATGGAATTGTCACTTGTGTACATTCCTTAATCATCCAGACTTGGATAAATGTGAACAGTGCGAAATGGCGAGGATATTACACGGTAAAAGTCCCTCAAATCCGAATATTAATTACCAAAATTCGACTAATTACAATATTGTGCCTTCGTACAGTCTTCCGAACTTTCTCGAGACGAGTAGAGGACCGATGGTGGTCAACCGACCCATCGGTTTTCTCCTCAATAATAACAATGATGTCACAAGGCCCAATTAAGTGGCTGTGATTGTACTTTTTCAACTGTGATAGTTTGAAAAATTGTTATTTTTAGTACCTTATGTATATTTGTTGAAGTAATAAAGTTATTGTATTGTTCTAATTTTTGTGTTTTTTCATTTATAGTTTCTGCAGCTCCAGGTGATAATATTCACATTCATGTAACTCCAAGACTATCTAGACGTAAGATATTGCGTGTTGTGTGATTTTACTAGAGCTTTTAACCTGCATGTGTAGTGTGTGCGAAAAACTAAACGCAAGGTAAGTACGGGTTCGGTTTTGACGCTAACTCCCGAGTTTCAAATTAATTTCTGCGTCATATTTCAGTATTAAACGCATTTTTTGAAGTTGGTAACGGAGTCAATGACCAGAAATTGACATGATTTTGTTTTATATAACCTAACATTTTTTGACATTTATATAATTAAGTAGCAGTTGTTTATGTATCAAGGCACTGAAGTTTTATGTTTCTTTACGAATGACTTTACAGCCGAGCTGTATATTTTTTTTTCCGAAATCGGGCAAAAGACAAAACAAAAAACCTAGCTACTTTTTTTGAGTTTAGGAAACCCAACACGAACTTAAACCACTTTTAAATTATGTATCTATTAATTTATTTATTTTTTAATTATAAAAATTCCTAGATTTGTACAGAATTTTGGAAAAAATCCCTTTCCTTTTTGGATAGTTAAAAATCCCTAGATTTAGAGATAAATTCTCATACATGACAACCATGGTTCACCAGTTCAGTGTTGTCAGATTTCTCGTTCTAATTGCATTTGACAATTAAAATTTTTGGTATTTGACGTATGCGGTACCCAAAATGCTCGAAAATAGCTTGAATTGCATTAGTTTCGGTGAAATATGTTGAACTGCAACAATTTCGTACTTGAAAACGACAGTGATGACCAAAATATTGCATAAAATGTCGCCAAAAAACAGTGTCACAAAATTGCATATTATGCAACTGTTTTCAGTTACATTGTAACACCGAAATAGAAAAAATGATTTATTGAATTGCATAAAAACACGCCAAATATAAATTTCAACTAAAACTTTAAAATTTTAGTTTCAACCGTCAATCATATTGACAATAAGGGGTGGCTTACATTGATGTTTTTTGAAATGGTATAAATCTGATGTTAAAAATTCCGTGTCCTCAATTGTACCATCTCGACCATAAATCGCAAAATATTCCGCCACCATACGAAACCACCAAACAGGAAAAATATTTGTAAAATTAAATGCAATACTTATAAACTTTTCATATTAGTGTGCATCGAAGTAGTCGTTGAAAGGGATCATTTTAAGGTAGCAACCATGCGAAAATTCAAACAATCCCATCCTCAATCTTCCCAAAAAATTATTTTCTTAAATAAATATGTGTTTTGAGGCAGCAAAAAATAATTAAAATTAACAACGTAATTAACATAGGGTAGCATACATAATGATTTTTGTCATTATTGATGTGATTAAATTTGTTCTGAATGACATTAATGACACTTTTTGTGTGAATCAGCCTTTAAATTAAAGATGCATTTAAACTTCTACAACCCACTTGGTGCACATTAATATAAAACAGAATATACATTTTAGCAACTGCTGGATTGTGTGTATCTTATGACAACGACTTGACAACACTGTTATTAATGTTTGCAACCAACAATACACAAATAGTGTTATACAGTGTTATAATGCTTAATGAACCATTAATGTTAGTGATAGAAAAATCTATTGGCAACGCTGAATTATTGGTTTCTAATTTATTATGTCAAAAAATGTTTCAGGTGACGGCTAAATCAGCACTCGCCCGTCGCAAATGAATGATAATTGGCTATAAAAGTTTAATGCTTGAATTTGAAAGTCAAAGTTGCCAAACTAAAATTTTAAATTTGACTTGAGGCAAAAATCACAATTATTTACAGTCACCCGGTATTTTTGTGCTGATTTTAGACTCTTCACTGACGATTTTATTCAACTTCCAAATTGATTATTTTTGAAAAGAAAGAAAATCATTATACAATTGTGTTCAGGTCATTAGTGGCATTTCCAACATAAGAAAATGTAATTTTTAGGATGCCAATGTTATTCTTGAGCTTTATAAACGTGAAAACATTTTTCCGTCAGGTTGTTGTAACTTTTAAAAGTCACTAAACTGTTTTTTTTTGCAGGTGTCGTACACTCTTGGGTTTTATAATAGGAACAGGTAATTAAGAGAATGACGAACTGCTATTTTTTTATTTTCTTTACAAATTTGTTAAACCAAACAAATAATTGCTCACTTAAGATGTGTAAATGATTAGGCGACATTTTGTTAAGTTTGTGAATGTACATATTTTATTGTAAATTAAGACAAAAAAATGCTTATTTTGATAAAATTGAAATTTATTAAACCGCAGTCCCTCTCTCCAGGTTCTGTTTAATTTCAGCCGTGTGTTCCCCGTAAAACCGGTCCAACTTTTTATTAAACTTGGCATTTCTCTCATTAATGTAATCAATATCAGCGTCGTCATTATGTGTCCTTCTCCTCGAATATTTGTTCCTTTTCGCAATTTGATTTTCGAGATTTTTCACCATGTTGTCGATAGCCTCAGGCCGGTCCTGGTGCAACCCGTGTATGATCACATGCGGGCCCCCATAGAACGCCTCCCCATACCTCTCCTTCTCCTCCTCGTACTTCTCCATGTCCTTGGGCCCCATACTCCTCACCAGTCGATTATACTGCCGGAAGGTCGCCGCCTCAAAATCCGAAAATCCCTGATCAGGATTCTTCTTTTTCTTCTTCCTCTCAATCTTCTCAGCGTCAACTGCTGAAATATCGAGGAGTTTCTGCCTGTCGTAGTCTTCCCCAGTCTTCGCGGACTCCTCCCGAGCCTTCTGATCATTCAAAATCCATTCTGCACGCTTTTTACGAGACTCCCAATTGGCCGGGAGCTTGTTTCGGGCGTCCTCAGCGACAACTTCCTGGTGGTTGTGGGTTCGGGCTTCGTTACGCAAAGTGTGCAAGTTGCGGAGGCGTTTCATGCGTTCGCGTTGGCGGTCGGCGAAACTCACGGACTTGTCTTCGGGGGGCGACTCACTGGTGCTCATCTTAAGCTAAAACAGGAATTTTTGTACGAAAACAAATTGGGGCGTTTTTAGGTTAGCTGTCAACTGGTGTGACAGTGACAGCTAGCAGAAATGGCCGAGTGTTCGTTTACACGAAGTGTATTGCTGGTTGCCCATAAACAGAAGGAAATTACGAAAATGCGTTCAGTGGAGATTGTCACTTCGACTATATTTATTATTAATTTTCTTATTGTAAAATTGTATTCCGAAGTAATTTGATGTCAAAATGCAAGATTCCGTTACTCACTAAACAAATTCAATTTAAGAAATGAAATGTTTTTAAATTAGGAGTAATTTTAGCTGATAAATTGTTGAATCGTTATAAGTATTACTCTTGAAATGATTTATCAAATCTAGTGTAAAAACTAATTTCAGATAACTTAATAAAAGTCGAGTGAAAGATATTAAAAATTGCTACCAATATTCGAGATAAAAATCAAGATTAAATTAGAGATAATTATTATTTGAACGTGTAATTTATATTTAAACTGTTTTAAGCATAAAAAGTTTAGGATAATTAATACAGTTCAATTGTTTTATAAAAATAATTTATTCATAACAAAGAATAAACAGGGAAAGTATTCGTTGAACGACATTCGTTTAGAACTAAATAGTGGTTCAGTGAATGTGGTCACTTCATTTTTCTTAAAATTTTAACAAATAAAACAACGTCATTGCCAAAACAGCCCCAACTCCGGACCCTAGAACCCTGACCCCCGATCCTGGCGCCGGCTTATTGGCCACATATCCGCTTATAATCGACGCTTCAATTCCACATTCATTTGTTCCTCTTTTAATTTTAAACAACCCGCCTAATTTTGCCCATTCTTTCCCCCACGAATTCGCAACCAACCAATAGGGAACTCCATTTTCCGTCCCCCAGCCAATAATTTTAACAGCATGACGTCCAACCTCAACACCACTTATATGAGAATAAACCCCTAAACAGAGAAATTAGCTAGAAAAGCGCAGTGTTGCCACTTACCGCTTTGATAAAATTGGAAATCTTCATAAACTTCATAGCCGGCGATGACTGGACCATTTTTCAATATTTCATTTTGGATACTCGTGACACTTCCCGGAATTTGATAAGGGGATCCACCGACTTGCTTATCAGTGTCGTAGGATGTGGCATATTTGGCGTTTTGACAAGTTTTACTACACGTAGGCGCAATCCCATATATGAAACTCGATGCAGAGTAGGGTTGGCAGCCCTGAATTAAATTTGTAGGTGATTCCCCCAATTGACAAGGTTACAACTCACCCTTGACGTGTTGTAATCACCTCCAGACACGACTCCTGACGTCATATAATACTGCCAAGCGTAAAGAGTGTAACCCCCATTACATTTTTTTCCACAATTACTACAACAATTGATGAGATCTTCTGGCGAAAATTCGAATTTTACTGTCCCATTGGTTGCTATACACAATCGGTCCGACATGACTTCAGCCGTAGAAAATGCCTGAGTTGCATACATAATTTTTTTTCTACATTTTTCGGGGACTTACCCAACACGAGCCACAACGACCTTGATTACGAATATTTCCAATTACGTCTTTACACTGGGGCCAATATTCTCGAGCGTCTGGAGTCTCAGGGATTGCCCTTCGGGTTTTTTGGGGTTCTTGCAATTCAAGTTTGAAGTTGGGATCTGGGTGTATTCCCAAAAATCCTAAGCGGGATTCGATGTCATCAATAGTATTAATTCCAGCTTTCCATGCTGATTGTTGGGAATTAATTTCTTCGATAAGAGTAACGTTGGGTTTTGACCATGATAATGGCAGTAAAGCACACAAAAAGATTATTTTTTGCATTTTGTTGTCACTATTATTTTATACTAAAAGTAGTTGAAATTATCCTATAATTTATACTAATTTGAGCTGTTGTTATCTATTTAGTTGGATTACAAAGAATGACAAAAAAGAGGGGTGACGTGAGAACTTGACAAATATATAATAATACAGGGTGCGCCAAAATTTGCGCCCCATAGAAAAATGCCATGTAGGATAAGATACCAAGAACATGGAGTAAAATGTAAAAAAAAATCTTATCTACAAAAATTTCGGAGTTATTGGAGTTTAAATTTTGCATTTTGATTATTTATTTCTGTTGAAAAAATAATTTTCCAAGTTTTTTGCTATTAGAAGAGAAAACAAGAAAGTTGTATACTAAATTGTTATTTGTGACTTTTATTGGCAAAATTTTTATACCTTTACTAAATAATTATAAAAAAACATATACAAGATCATCAGTATTATTAAATAAACATTAAAAAATGTCAAATGTCAAAAAATATTTGTCAAATTTTTTGACAGATAGAATTTTTTAAACATTTTTTCCATGTTCCTGGTATCTTATCTTACTTGAAATTTTTCACTGGGGCGCGAGTTCTGGCGCACCTGTATAATCTTTTTTATAACAATTTAGTGATTTTTGACATGCTGTGCCAAACTCTCACGAAAAAACAGTTTTTAGCTTAAAAATCTGCTTGAACTTTCGAACAAGGAAAAATTTTTATCATTTTCGTCTTAATTCTGTGTTTTTTTGGCTTGTTTTTAACCAATTTTGATAAATAATTCTATCTAAAACACGTGCTAAAATTCTCAAGAAATGTAATTTTTGATATAATATGTTGATTTTTCAGTTAGTTTTAGCGAAATCTTGCAAAAAAACCTGAAATTGTCGTATAAAAACGTGCTTAAAAATATTCTCGGCTTATTTTTTCTTATTTTGATTAAAAACCAGTTAAATCTAGTGGAACAAACAAAATAACATCAATATCAATTGTTTTTGTGATTTTTAAGCGTGTTTGGACAAGATTTTGCAAAATAAATGAACTTCTGGTTTAAAAACAAAGTAAGTTGAGTGAAACAAGCCAAAAATAATATCAATTTCCATTTAATTTAATATTAGAAGAGAAAACAAGAAAGCTGTATACTAAATTGTAACTCTGTTTAATGTTATTTGATGTTTCGCCAGTCGCTGCAGTGACCTCGGGTATAATCCAGTAGTGCACTTAAGATGTGTGCGTTAAAATGGAGCTAGAGATGTGGTTTCCATATGTAAAAAAAATTAACTAAATCTTCTGTTTCGACAGTAGCTTCATGTAGTAAACTTAAATGTATGTTTCTTTTTTATTTAAATCAACTATGAAAGCTTATTTATTACAAAATTAAATTATTTTAGTTATTTAGACAATTAAAAAAAAGAATTTTTAAATTTTCGAAGCAAAATAAATCAGGTGATTTATTGCATTTAATATCACTTGAAAGTGAGTTATCAGATGAGAAAGCATTTGTTGAAAACATTTTCAAAAAAAGGTTTAGAAAGCTTTAGAAGTGGTTTGAAAAAGATTTGCCCTTAAATAACATTAAACTTCTGCACTGCTCAATAAGCAGTGTGCATTTTTAAAACAAACAAAACTTTTTATTTGCTTTAATTACGTAGGTACTAATACTACTTTGTTTTAAGTAAATAGACAGTTTTTGTTTATTTTAATGACTAATAAGAACAAAGAAGGTGAGATTGACCATTTTTAAGCAAAAGCAAATTCTTAAAGCAAATACTTTTCTAAAAATGCAATTTTAAGTATGATTTCTATGTTTGATTAGCAAACGTTAACTTCAAAAAATTATATCTTGAAAACTACTCGGTATATTTTTTTGAAAATTTGGATTACAATTAATAAAAAGATGCTCTACACGATGGTGATAATGAAAATAAATACTCGTAGTTTTCTTAGATTTTTTTTGATTTACTTAACAATGTTCGAAAAAAAGTTCGCAAATATTAAATTTCAAATTGCATACCATTCCAAAGGGAATCCTTTATCCTTTGGATAAACTTTCTTGTGTGAAGGAAATCGGCTTAATATTATGGGTATTGATTTTTTAAAGTTAAATTATATTATAAATTAATTTAAATTAGAAAAAAATAATTTAGTTCAAAGTTTTTAGACTTTTTGAAAAAAAATTTAGTGCATTTGAGTTGTCTTAAAATGATATACAGAGTGTTCCAATGAAAACGCCGAAACAAGTCAATTTTTTTCTGAGGGGGGCATTTTTTGACGCCCTGTATTATATTTCCAAAACACATAAAAAATAAAAAAAAACATTTCTGAAGCACATTTAACCTAAATTATAAAAATATATATAGGGTTATTCATAAGTATAACGCAATTTTTGAACCTCAAAAACGACCTATAAAATGATGTTAATTTTTATAAAAACTCGTGTCCTATCTCTACTAATAAGAATTTTACAGCCCTTGGAATTTGGGTATGGAAATTTGTTTTTTTTTATAATAACTTTGGAACCATTTGACCAAATATTATAAAATTTGGAATAGTTACTTGCGAGAACATATCTTTTAAACTAGTGATTACGAAAACTGGATACATCTACTCAATTTCCGGTTCCCACAGTTGCAGGTCACATTTTCTGTTTTTTAATTTTTTTGGCTTTTTAACACTAATATTTTGCTTTAATCGAAAGAGTAATCAATTTCGAATAAAAAACTCGTAACCTTTAATACCTCTAAAATGGAGCATTTTAAAGATAAATATTTTAATTTAAAGTGAAAAAACCACAAGTACCACAAAAACCTCAAGTACTACTCCAGTAGTTCTGGATCTGAGGTTAGGGTATTAGAGTCCGGAGTTGGGGCTGTTTTGGCATTGATTTTGTTTTATTTGTTAAAATTTTAATAAAAATGAAGTGACTACAACCACTGAACCACTTTTTAGTTGTCTAAGAAATACCGTTCAAAGGATACTTTCTCGTGTTTGTCTAAAATAAAACTGAATTACGTTTCGTATATTTTATTTTGTAGTATTTTTTATAAATAAAATATTGGTACAAAGCAATTAAATTTTGTTATTATTTTAAACTCTTCTTTTAAGAAAACATTTCATAATAAGTGTTATAACAAGTTAATTCAACACTTGACTTTTATCTAAAGTATCACCAAGAAAACAAATGTTAATATCTTTTATATCAAAATCATGCTTATCATTTCCTCTCGACTTTTATTAATTTATCTGAAACTAGTTTTACATCATATTTCATAACTTATTCCAGGAATAGCACTGATAGCGTTTTTGCAAATCTCCCAATAAAAAATACGATTAATTTCATAACATTTCAGAATTTTCTTATAAAAAATGATTCTAATAAAAAGCAAAGTGACCACATCTACTGAACTTTAATCCCTTGAAGTCACAAAAATTACGCGCAAAAATTTTTACGTAAAAAATTCTAAAACTGCATCAATTTTTATTTTAAATTTAATTATTGTGTCTTCTTGTTGAAGTGACAATCTCCGCTGAACTCATTTTTGTAATTGCATTAGTGTTTTTCTTCCTAAATAAAGACATTATTTGTATAAAATAATAACGTTATTGTTATTCTTTTTAAACATCTTAATGTCTTATGTTTCCTATTCAATTTTTTAAATTAACAATTAGAACATTTTTGACAAATGACAGTTCAAAGAATACTTTCACGTGAAATTTGTCGAAAAAAATACTTGAGATAAAATTTGTTAAAAAAACTACTTTCAACCATGATTGAAGCATTACTTGTGCATATTACGTTTTTCATGTCTTGTTTAAATTTTTTACATCAAACTTCTAGTTCTTTTTTATCTAACTTGCACTTTATTGTTATTTCGAAAAATCACAGGAACAACTCTCAAACATAGATAACAGACCCCAAATCTTTCTATAAAAGTGCTATCAATCTAATAACTGCCAATACGTAATACAACCGATAACACAATGCGAAAAATAATCTTCTTTTGTGCTTTAACACTACCATTATCATGGTCAAAACCCAGCAAGACATCCTTTCAGCTCATCCAGGAGATAAATTCCCGACAAACATCCTGGAAAGCTGGACTTAACTCCCTTAAAAACATCAAATCCCGCCTGGGCTTTTTGGGACTTCACCCAGATTCCGACTACAAAATTGCAACCAAACACCACAAAATCGACCAAACGTCAATTCCGGAGACTTTCGATGCTCGGGATAAATGGCCCGAATGCAAAGACTTCATCGGGAATATACGGGATCAAGGAGCTTGCGGCTCGTGCTGGGTAAGACCCCGAAAAAAAAATACAAAAAAATAATGTATGCAATTCAGGCGTTTGCTTCAACCGAAGTTATGTCAGACCGGTTATGCATTGTGACCAATGGCGAAACAAAATTTGAGTTTTCCCCCGAAAATCTACTGACATGTTGTGAGATTTGTCGTTATAACTGTGTTGGGGGGTACACAGCACAAGCGTGGAATTTTCTTATCAATGAGGGAATTGTATCTGGGGGTGATTACAACTCAAGCGAAGTAAGTTATTGCACAATAATTGGGGGAATTACATGTTACAATTCAGGGTTGCCAACCTTACTCCGAATCAGCTTTCAAAAACGGTGTCGTTCCCAAATGTGTCAAAACTTGTCAAAATAACAACTATGACGTAAAATATAACGATGATAAGCATTACGGTGACAGTTTTTACACACTTGAGACAAATGTCAGTCAAATACAAGTGGAAATTATGACAAATGGACCAGTAATGGCGACGTTTAACGTTTTTGAGGATTTTGTATACTACCAAGATGGTGTTTTTAATCAACGCAACTATGTTGCATTCTGGTCAATTTTTTTATTTTTAGGTGTTTATTATCACGTAAGCGGTGAAATGATTGCACGACATGTTGTCAAAGTTATAGGGTGGGGGACAGAAAACGGCGTTCCTTATTGGTTGATTGCTAATTCGTGGGGAACATGGTGGGGGAAGTTAGAGGGATTTGTTAAAATAAGGCAGGAGACGAATGAATGTGCGATTGAACAAGAAATGGCGGCGGGGGAGGTGCATATTGGAAATAAAAAATCGACAACAGGATAAAAAGGGTGGAGTTAAGGGCTGTCTTAGTGATAAGGTTATTTTTATCATATGTTGAAACGATAAATACAATATAAAAATACAAAGTGATTTTAAAAAACTGATTAAAAAAATGTTTAGTGAACCTCTTAGGCAACCATATATACACATACCAAGTTTTTATTTTTATAACCAAATTGAAATATGATTTATTTATAATAGAAACAATACGTAAACCCACGACATCATGAACATGAGTATTTTTATTGCAATTATTGGAAAACGTCAACAAATTCGCTTTGATCGACACTCGAACGCACAATTGTTGAGGTTATGTTCAAATTTCAAACCAAACAATTTGTGAGTTTATTTTTTTACAAAAATGAGTGCAGATCGCCAAAGCTTGGCTAAAAAACTCCTACTAGGTAAAGGCAAAGACGCCGCTGAACAACGAATGAATCGCCGACAGGTAATTCGTTTTTAGCCCCCCTGAAAACTAAAAAAAAATTTCAGCGCCTTGTGCAACACTTCAAATCGTTACGAATTGAAACCATCGATCGCTTCAGGAGAATGAGTCACGACGATCTAACATACGAGAATTTAACTGAAATAAAAAAATGTATTTTGTCAACTTTAGACACCAAAGACTTGATTGATGATGAGGAAGAAATGCTCCAGTTTATCGACGATTTGGATAAGGAAATGACTGTGCTTTTGTTCGAGCAACATGAGAAGGAAACTAGTGAGGAAATTGACTCTATTACTAATTTAATGCCTAAATGTGGTCTTTGTGGTGATTTTGTGGTGCAAAGTGAGGTTTGTGAAGCTTGTGTGGAGGAGCTAAGTCTCTGATTTGGTAGAAAAGTTTCTATTTTCGTAATAAGTACAAATTAATTTAAGACCGTCTCATTGTTAACATTGTGTTAATTTCCCAAATAATCCTCCTCAAGTGGTCAATCACATCCTTCAGTTGTTTGTTTTTCAAAATCACCTGCTCCATGACCTCCTTACACTCCTCACAAGCCAGTCTGTAAGCCTCTGAATTCTTCTTCTCGTCGTGTTTTGGGTCATGTTCGTCTTTGAAAGGAATCAGACTTTCAATGTGCGTGTATTCCATGCCCTGGAGTTGGCAATTTTCATTGCACTTCTCGTAAATGAGCCTCAATCTCTTGAAAAGTACTCTAATGGTGCGCAACTGCTCCTGAACCTTGGCCTTCTTCTCATTACTGGCGTTGGACGACTGAGGGGTGCCATTGGGGGGCTGTATCGTCTTCAAAGTCTGGAACACCTCCTGTGTCCGACTCACAATGTCCTGAACTGTCTCTTGCCCAATCCGACACAAGGAGGCTGTATTAAATTCCTTTGATTGTTGTTGCTGCTGCTGTGCTTGGATTTGCGGGGCTGGCGCTGCTGTGCCCCCTTGTTGCACCATTTGCGACTGATTGGCTTGCATCGCGTGGTGTTGCAAATTGTTTGAAAATTCTGGAAAACTCAAATTGGTAAATTTTAATTGGTTGTGGTAAAGTACCCATCGAGCCTTGTTGCATCTGTTGGTGTTGGGCGATTTGGGTACCAGGGTTGATGGTGTATTGTTGGTTTAACTGGCCCATAATTTGGGTGTTTCCTTGCATGGGTGGGTTGTTCAAGGTTGAGGCCATTTGGGATATCATGGGGTTGGTCATTTGGTTGCCCATGGATGTCTGCATGTGGACGGGTAGTTGGTTTTGCATGGTTGTGCCCATTTGGTTCTGCATTGTTGACGCAAATTGGTTTCGGAGGGCGGCTTGTTGCGAATTGTTTAAACCTTGCATAAAGTGGTGCTGGGGGCCCGACATTTTGCACAAATTCGATAAAAGTGCATTAAAAAGTCTTATTTTGGATGATTCTTGCACTTTTTTCGGACCAATGACACAATAACATAACCTCGAAACAGTGACAATTAAAATCTAACAATAATGTGTTTTAATTTATTTCTGATGTAGTAAAATAGTGATTTATGCGACTTTTTGTAGAAAAAACATCGAATTAACTGCGTAAAACTACAAAATTTGTAATTTTTAGCACATTTTGTTTGCGTTTCAGGAAATTTAGAAATCCGAATTTGCAGAAATGTTTTTTTCATGTGGTCAATTTAACTTCTTAGTTTGGCAACCTTGACTTCAAATTCAAATGATTTTATTCGGGAAAGTAATTAAATTAAAGCAAGTAAATGAATTAATAATCAACTGAAATTTTTAAAATTTTATTTGCATTATTCTTTGGTATGTCATATTGGAAATGTGAAACGGCCTTTAGTATGTTCTTGGCATTTTCACTGTGAAATGTTAAATTTGACGTTAAAGCTTTTTAAGTTTCGCAAACATTTATTTGTAAACGCAAATTTCCTTAATAAAGTTTAAAAAAAGTTTGCGGTTTATTTGCACCCAACGGGAATATATGAATTTTTCATAGACAGGTGAGGAAACAAATTTGTCATTTTTTGATAGCCCACTGAGGAATAAAATTGACAAAATAATAGTCCCTTAAAAAGTAAAAAATTATTCAATGCATTAAAGTTGATGTCTTTGCTTGATTGTCAGCCAATCAAAAATGAAAGTTTTAGTTTCAAAAATTCCATTCTATTGTCAATATAAAAAATAACTGTTTCAAGAATAAAAGTACGTGGACGATGTGTATTACAGGTTGCATAACATTTACAAAAAAATGTTTTGTTTTGAAACTTGTAAACATTAACATTGTTTTACTTTAAATAAATAATTTTACTTAATTTGTTATAAAAAATGTGGTTTCAAAATGATGCGTTTTGTGTACTTTTTTAGTCTTAAATAATAATAATAATAAAAATAAAATAACAAAAATAAAATATCTAATTAAAGTTTCACTTGCATCGTAGTTTCCTAAAACCACACCATTTTTTTGAATTTTGTCAGTTTTTTTTGTTCGAAAAGGGCTTATTAGAGTTGTGATAATAATACTTACTTTAGAGCTTTTGACATATCAAATCACTTATACGAAAATTATAAATTGAAGCTACGAAATCGCTTTTTCTCTGCCAATATGTTTATTTTTTCTTGATCTTTGACGTAAAAGCATTACATAATATTTTTTTAGATATGTATCATTATAATAATTTGAGCTACTTCCACTCCAGTTTTAACACTGGAATCATTCTAAATTAATATAATTTATAAAAATAATTATTTAAAATCTAATTTTAGGCCAAAATGAAGCAACTTGTGCTATTTCAAATCGATTTGGCTCAGTTTTAAGCCGGAAATCTACCTGAATATACGTATTTCAACAAAATACACTTTTTGTCAAAATAAAGCGATTCAATGTTTCAAATTCACTATGACTTTTACCGAAATTAATTATTACCTACTACTACAAGGATAAACATATTAAATAAGGTCATCACTGTTATGTCATATAACCAACGTAATTAACTGGGTTGGACGCCCAAATTTCGAATAAATTTTCCTCTTTGTTTGTTCGAAGGTCACCCCCATTCTACGCACGAATTCCTAGTTTAGGATGATCGATGGGTCAAATTCTTGTACAATGATAACAAAAAAATTCATTGGAAAAATCATTTATTGTTTTTTTCTTTGTTACAAAAAAAATTATGATGGCGCCCACCAAGGCCGCATTCTGGGAAAAGTAGTTTCGACCATTTGTACTAAATTACTACTAAATTTTTGTGCGTCGTATAAGTGGGTGAAGTCCTTGTAAATGAATACTTTATTATTTGGTGGTGAATCTTGTCAAACTAGACTTGCGATCAATGCTAACAAAAATGCGACACCTGCGTACACTTTCGGTTTTTCCCCCGAATTGCATCCACTCTCGTCACATTCGTAACATCTCACACTTTTCACGGGAACTGTGTTTTGTCCAGCAGTGGCGGCCCTTGTTTCAAAATCTTTTTTTAAGTCGGGGCATCCATTTTTAGGTAGGCAACCTTTCATCACGAACGGTTCTTTCCCTATTTTACTTTAAAAAATTACACAAATAATGGTAAAAAATTCTATACCTGTCTCCACAACTAGCTTGTGACAAGCATAATCAAAATCAGTTATTCGAATCGCAGGGTTATTTGCAATCTGTTTGGACAAATTGTCTTCACAATCTTCAAGTTTGTATTTGAAAAATCCCGGGACTTTCGGGCCGTTTGGGTCATTCACCCAACATTCGAAACTGAAAACTGCACCAAAGTTGGGGAAAAGTGAAAAAATTATTTTACCGTTTTCAACAATTGCGAGAACAAGAAGAATGAGGAACTTCATCTCGAATCAATATGAAGACTGAAAACACTGCTGAAAGTGTTCTGTGACTGAAAGTGAAATAGGAAATAGGCCAAGTTCCTGTAAGTGGGGACTAATGGAAATGTGTTATGTCAGTTGCATATCCCAGCACTTGGTAATTTTTAAGAGTATTTTCTGTTAAATTGTATGAAGGGAAAAAAAATAAAAATAAAATAACTATTTTGCTATAACGAATTTTAAAAATTCATACAATTGCGTTACACAAAAATTCTTATGCAACCAGATATACACCCATGTGCGCAAACATGCCAACAATTATCAACTTAAAAAATAGAAAAATCGCGCGTATTTAGATGGATTATTAAAAGTGAGTTGTTGTTGAACACTTTTTTTATTCAAAACACTGAAACAAGCAATGTTACAATTAAAATAACACACCCAAACGACTGTTTTGCCACACCCACATTACACCTATCTTCATAACACTCAAAGCAATTAAAATCGTCGTAATTACCCAACCTGTAGTTGTTTTCGTTCATGTGATTAACAGCATTTTTAGCCAAATTACATCCCCCTCGGGGGACACATCCTCTAATTGAGGTTCGCTTGCTTCCTGGAAAAAAATTAAACAATTTTTTTAACTATTATTTACTCACCTGAAGGTGTAACAATTTTGTAACAACTGTAGTTAAGGTTTTGCGTAATTTGTAAAGTTGCTTTGCCCATTCCTTGCATTATTAGCAAACTTTTAAAGTTGGTCTCGCAATTTTGCAGATTTGTTCGGAATTGGCCTGATCGTAATCCGACAAGATTCGTTGAGTAGCAAACGAGACAAAAACCTACTTTGAAAATGTTACAAAAATCAATAATTTGTGCAATTTTTACCGGTGTGAAGCGAAAAGAGGAAAACAAGGATTTTCATTTTACGAAAGTGAATCTACTCTGAAATAGATGCTAATTGGTGTTGGGTTTATAGTCTCAAAGCAAAAATATTTACAATACGATTCTACTATTTTTAGAATAGATTAAATACAGCGCTTGCCAATAATCGGCCTCGGAAGACGTAAAATAACCCAAAATAGTCCATAAGAAAGTACAAATATCAACAAGATAGTCCATAAATTGTACACACGTGTAATGTCAGTTGCATAATTTTTCCAAAAATTCTAAATACCGGGTGGTGATTTTTACCTCATCAGTTTGGCAACCTTGACTTTCAAATTCAAACGTTAAACTTTTATAGGCAATTGTCATTTATTTGTTGATTTAGCCGCACCTGAGACATTTATTTTTAGGTGGCATGTGACAAAACTTGTCAAATTTTCGTAAATGGGGTTAAAAATTGGGTTTGTTATTCTTTTTCTACCGTTCATTCTTGGCGTCGGTGGTAAAAATTTTACTTTTTCAATGTTTTGACTGTTTCTCGAAAATTGGATTATTTTTGCAGTTTTTTCTCTCGTGTGTCACAAACAGACAGAAACTAATCAAACAGACTTAATAGAATGTGATGCAAGTAATGTTAAAACTTTAGAAGAAAATCCTGAAATAAGAAAAAAAATGGCGAATTTTAGATGTTACACTAATACGATTTTAGACAAAAGTAACCTAACCGTTATAACGAAGGGGTGTACCATAGAAAAAGGGTGTTGGGACATTGTAAAGAATAAAATGTCTGAACCAGAAAACGAGTGAATAGAGTGTAACACAAATTTGTGTAATTCGGCAAAAAAACTGGGTTTCTTACAACTTGCACCATTATTCCTACTCATTGCAGGAAGAATGTTTTAAATAAATGTGAATTCTGTTAAATTGCAATGATTAGTATAGGCAACGTTCTCAGACTTTGCGTTTTGTTGGTTGCCTAACTTGGTTGCAATTTATGATCACAACTGTTGTCTTATTAATGGGGCTGTAACAAAACAATCACTCCGAACCCCTATGTACATAAAAAATATTTATATACAATCGAGTAAGTAAAATGTAAAATAAATTTAAATCGTGCAATTGTGTAATGTTGGTTGCATAAAATTTCAGATTTTTGGAAAAACAATTTAAAAATTGTGTTTTTGCTTTATTTTTAGGTGGCTTGTAGCAAACCCTGTCACATTTTTGCAAATGGGGTTAAAAATTGAGCTTGTCGTTCTTTTCCTGTTCATTCTCGCCGTCGGTGGTAAAAATTTCACTTTTACGATATTTTTGTTTGATTATTTTTGCAGTTGTTTCTCTCCTGTGTATAGAAGCGGGGACAATAACGGGCCAAACAGAGATAAAAGAATGCGATGCAAGTAATCTTGAAACTTTGGAGACTGACAACGGGACTGAAGAAGAAGACGAGAGAAATGAAACTCATTCAAGGGCAAAAGAAGAATACCCTGAAGAAAGGGAGAAAAAAGTGGTCGAATTTAGGTGTTTCACGACTTCGGCTTCAATTGGACGAAAGCGCAGCGTCATGAAGGGGTGCACCATGAAAAATGGGTGCTTAAAAATAAAAAGGCGGCTAAAGAAGGCAAATTTAAAACAAATTATGTGTAAGGAATGTGGGACGCATCTGTGTAATTCGGCGAAAAAAATGTTTTTTTTACAAATTGCACCGTTGTTATTACTACTCATTGCAGGGAGAGTGCTCTAAATAAAAGTAAACCGATAAGTGAACAAAACTTTTAATTCTAATTTATTACAACAGTTTGAACACTAAAACTGGCAAAGAGAGTGAAAAAAAAGTGAAAAGATGCGTTTTCGGGGCGGAATTGCACAAAGCCCCCTCGCATTCGTAGCACTTGGCATCACCTGAAAAGGGCAACATGCTCGTGAGGGCCCCCTCCATCAAGCCACAGCCCCCTTTCGGGACACATCCCTTCACAATTGCGGTTTGTCCTAGTGCAATAAATCAGTTTAGGATATACAAAAAAAATAAAATTACCGTCTCCTTGAACCACGAATTTAAAACAGGTCATGTCGAGTTTAGACACGTCCAATCTTCGTTCGAATTTTTTCAAACTTTGACTGCAGTCTTGGGGAGAGTGCTCTGAGACTCCTTTGGCCAAAGCTTCCAGATTTGTGGAGTAACATTCCATGCAAAATGCTATTTTTTTGAATAAATTTAATAAATTTATTCTTAAAAATGTTTGCTACTCACAGTTTTTGATGGAAATGATTGCGAAAAGTGCGAAAATGAGGAATTTCATTTTTGTGTGTTTCGTGAAGAGTGATTTGGAGGCGACTGAAACTATTACGAAATCGTCGTCTAGTCGCCAGTGGTGTTCTGGTGCGCAATATACAAAATTAAAGCAATTTAAGGATGAAATTCGTCTAATTTTAATCACCACAACATCACTTTTGAATTGTTACACTCGTTGAGTCACAAAAAAAAATAAAAATAATAAATACTTAAAATAAAATTTCTACAAATAACAACACTTGCATTTGTTTCTTTATATTTAGATGTTTGTTTTTAGATTCAAATTAATGGTGATTTCATGAGTAGTGTCAAGGTCAAACCTTATAATTTTAATTTTGTTCTTCCTACTGCTAAAAATTACGAAAACGTGTTTATATTTTTAAAATTGGTCACGTTTCAAATCCAAAATAACGATAAATCCCGATTTAAACACATCGGTGCAGGATAATTGATTTTTGAATTAAATTAATTGCAAATTCCGGGAAGAAAACCGGAAAAATCCGGTTTGTAAGATATTGACGGGGATAAAAGTCTGCATCTGCGACTATGCGCTCTACAGACAAAAGCTTTTTCAGGGATGAAAGTCCAACTGACCCGAATTGCATTTTTTAACTTATGATTTCATAAATTTTAAAATTTCATATCCACATCATTTCCTGAAAAGATAATAACCAAAAAACGCTTTATTTATTTTCATTAAATACTTTGAAATAAATTTCCGATCAAAGTTTCCTTTGATTTTGAAATTATGTTGGTAACGTAAACTGTGTCACATCGTCATGGCCGTTGGTATGGGCGTCACCTGGCGCAATTTGATATCACCATTTCAGTGTTACCAACTTAATTACAACATTATAAAAATGCGCCTCTTTTAATTATTATTTATTTATTCATTTAAGAAAAGAACTCTTGATTTTCTTGATAGAGATTTTAAATATCAAAAAATAAAAATACAACCAATTTTAATTATTTAATCGGATTTCACAAGTTAGATGTGATAAAGAAAATCGTAACAATTGGAATTTTTTATATTCCTATCAAGATATTGACGTTAAAAAATTGCGTTTTTAAAGTTTATAAAATCTTTATATTTAGAAAAACGAAGATGTTGTGATTTTTAAAAACTGCACGATTTGTTTAATTATATCCAACACCCTGTATAACAAAAGGACAGGACAATTATACCAATATGCAAAAAACTAAAAAAAAATTAACTAAAATTTATTTATTTTGATTTTCTGGTTTAAAACTATGAAATCGTCCACTGATTCCCAATAACTGTGTCCTCATCAATTAAGAGTTCACAATGAAGTCATTCAGTGACGTCACAAATCAATTAAGTTGCAACAATCGCAAATTTATCCGCTCGAATGTGTAAATGTTTAGCTTTTCGCCTGAAATAATACACACAAAAATCGAAAATAGTTTATTCGAAATTCACCCAATAAATATTACATAACTGTTTATAAAAAATAAAAAAGCGATGACAAATCCAGACGCACTAATTATAGCAACTTTGTTGCAGTTATTTCCCTCACATTCGAAACATTTCGTGTCATCAGCCAAGTGAATTATTCTGTTTTCCATCATTTTGAAACCGTTGATTAGAGATTGTTTCAAAATATCGCAATTTCCGGTCGGAATACAACCTTTGATGTCCACAGAATTGCCATGAGGGTCTTGAAATGGAAAAATAGTAAACACGAAATTAAAATCCGGGGGAAAAACCTGTGCCAACTATCTTAAAACAACTAATTTCCTTATCATCCGGTAGGGGAATCCCTACGGGGAGTATCCCCCTCCCCTGTTCCCGGCAATTTTTTATCTCGTGAGTCCGATTGAAAACCTCACTTTTTGGACTAATGTAAATCTCCGAAATGTAACAAAAAGTCGCCGACACTTAAACCAAATTGAGAGATTTTGTCACAACACGAAATTTTTACCTCGCTCAATGGAAATAAAAATGAGAAAACAGACCAAAACCCCGGTCCGCATTCTTGTGGGTGTTTGAATCGAGAGTTTACGCACAACTGAGATTCCGAGAGAGAATTTTCATTTTATTTTCTCAAACTTGGGTTTAATTAGGACAACCAACAATGATGGGTATTGATCGTTTCAATGGGCAAGGCTTCGAAAACACTGTTTAAAAATAAAATTCAAGGAATTTAGGGAGGAGTCGGGATTGATTTATTGTAGTTCGTTGCAATGAAGTGTTAATAGGCAAATTATCATATTTTTTGCTCTTATTTTACCATAAAAAAGCATTAATTTAAGTTTATTAAAAAAAAGCGTTGAGAAACATGGTGTATGTGTAAAACTGGTTGCCTATTCCAACGTTTTTTGTAATTTGTTGCGTTAATAGGTGAGAATGATAAATCAATAAGTAAATTATCATGTTCTTGCTTGTATTTTACTATAAAAATAACAGTTAACTAAAAAATTAGAATTAAAAAATATAATTGGTGTATAATTGGTTGCCGGTTTCAATGTTTTATACTTTAAGTAAAAAAGTTAAAAATTATATAATTTGTTGATGAGGGGTTATGATGGGTTAATAAACAAATTATTTTTATTTTACTATAAAAGACCATTTATTTGTGTTAATTTCTAAGTTGAGAAAAATGTTGCATAATTGGTTGCCTACCTCAATGTTTTAAATTTTAGTAAAGAAGTTAAAAATCAGGCCAAAGATCACAATAACCGTTCTGAACTGTTCCCTCGATGCTTTATTACAATTTTTTCCCTCACATTCGACACATTTGACTGGGAATCGTGACAGTTTGGCGTAATTGGGTTTCAACATATCACAACTACTTTTCGGAGCACAGCCTTTAACTACCACTTCTCCAAAATCTAGCAAAAAAACAGTTATAAAAAAATCAAAATTGATAATTGTTACCTCTTTGCACAAATAAACTAAAACACCGTAAATCACTCTCGGGGAGATTTTCAAGCGGTTTTAAATTTTGAATTTTTCGAACTTGATTGATGTAAGTTTTGCAGTCTAATTCAATGTTGGGAGTCAGACCCAAAATTGCGGCTTTTGGGCTTGTGGAGTTTGACGAAAGACATGTTAAAGACAAAACTGAAATTTTTAATTCATTGTGGGGTAATAAAGGGTGAAAAATTACCATTTTTGGCGAGTGCTAGGCAGAAAAGTGTCACAATTAGAGCCATAATTGATCACTGAGGTAAAATCGTGTCATATGGTCGGATTATTTCGAGCAATAATTGATTTAATCAATTACGGAAAAGACTATGATAACTATTATCGCGCGATATTTACATATGCACACTTGAGCGAGTTAATAATGGTTATGAGCTATGAGTTTACATTAAAGGTGACCAAATTACACCTCGGTTATTAATAGAAATTTCAATAAAAGTCGGCGTATAAAAAGAAAATTTATTTTAAAAATAATGTAAAAACTACAACCTAAAGCTCTAATCTACACTTTGTGACATCAAAAGCGTCCACTACAAAATATATAGTATTTAGAGGAGTATATAGTATAATCAACAAATCTGAAAAGTTTCAAGTATTTCATAGAAAAATAGTCCACTTATGAGCAACATAGTAACATACATTTTTATATATGTAAAGTTGGTAACTAAATTACAATCACAACGTTACTTTACAACATGAAAAGCACAGCAGCTAGGACAACCCCCACGAAAGTATATCCAGTGAATTTCGTTGCGGAGTTACACTTATCGCTGTTACAAGTGAAGCAATCCATATCTTCAATATCCCCATCGATATTTGAGAAAAAACTTAGAGTTTTAGCGACGGCCCTGCAGGCGCCCCCCAGGTTGGGCATGCATCCTCTAGCCACGTATTCACTCCCGTCTTTGGCTGAAAAAGGTTTGAGTCTTGACTCAAGTTGGTGAAAATCAAATATCCCAACCTTTAGCAACGAGTTTGACGCATTCCTTGGGGATCCACCCGGAGAGAATTCCAGATTCGTCGTCGCAATTCACGGAATTGTAGGTGAAACTCGCGAGGCCGTAATTGCAGAATTTGCTCTCGCTGGAGTCGCATTTGTAGCAGGTCAAAGCCAAGGCTAAAACATGGTTCAAGTGGTCAAGGGGGCGCTGAGGGAAATTAAGTTGGCAACATTGACAAGTCGTATTTTTTTAAATGGTACTATTATTAGGTTATGGGTTTGATACAGTGTTGCTAGGCTGGTGAAGTTTCACCAGATCTGGTGATTTTTGAATCTTTTTCGGGCATGTTTCACGTTTTTTAACCGAATCTTGATTGTCATTAAATTTTCTTAAAAAAATTGAACAACCACTAAATTAGTTAAAAATAGTTCTATTCGTTGTTTACAAGATGTTACTAGAAATGGCAAGTTACTTTTTCGAATGCTTTTTCAGCTAGAAACACAATTATTTCGCAAAATTTGTAAAAATCACTGAATTAGGCCGAAAATGTCATTTTTGGTTGCCTATCTCAACGTTTTAAAATTGTAGTGATGAAGTTAAAAATTAAGTAATTTGGGAGGTGGGGGTAATGGTTTAATAGACGAATTTTCATGTTTTTGCTTTTATTTTACTATAAAAAACCATTATTTATGTAAATTTTCAAGTTGAAAAAAAAAGCTGCATAATTGGTTGCCTACCTCAACGTTATAAAATTTGAATGAAGATATTAAAAACCAGGTTTAAGTCACACTAATCGCCCCAAACTCTTCCTTCGGTGCTTTATTACAAAATTTCCTTCAAAACAAGCTAAAAATTTAACAAGACAGCAAAAATGCTGTTATTTTTGCTTTTTTCGAGTGTTTAAACACGTTTTTAGATAAAAACAAAAAAAAATTGAAAAATTTCCTTTAGCCAGGCTGGATAATTACAAAATTAAATCGAAATCGAGAGAAAATCTTATCTAAACGTGCTTAAAAATCACAAAAATAAATTGATATTGACGTTATTTCGTTCATTTCGCTCGATTTGACTAGTTTTTGAGCAAATAAGTCGAAGAAACATAAAATTTGGTCGAATTTGCTTTGAAGTGCGTTTTTGTACTAAAATTTTTCGCGAGATTTCCCTAAAGCAAACCAAGAAATCAATAAATAAAGTCAAAAATAACATAATTTTAGCATCTTTCGGGGTTTTAACAAGATTTTTTTTTTAGCTAGAAACGCATTTATTTCGCAAAATTGGGTTAAAAACCCACAGAATTGAGCCAAAATGATGTGATTTTTGGCTTTTTAAGCTGAAAACTCCGTTTTTTTTTTCGTGAGGTTTTGCCATACCGAGTCACAAATTGCCTTATATTTTTACTCAACTCTTAGGCTTTAACCACTTAATTTATGTAAAAAAATGTAATCTGGTAAAAACAGGTGTAAACTTGGCAACGTTTTTAACTCGAAACTGTGAATTTTTTTTTGAGATGGCAATACTGAATGATACTATTATTAGGGTATTGATTTGATAAGGTGAGTGAACCGAAAATCGATAAGTTATTGTCCGGTGTGGTCATTTTTATTTATTTACGAAACTTAATTCAGGTTTTGTGGTAATCCGTGACTAATAAGGTTATGAAATTGAATCAGGGATTTGACCTCGACTGCCCATGGAATTTATTATGCTGATAAGTGTGCAAAAATGTTTAGTCTGAGAAAAATTTTATTTACTAGGTTATTTTTTTCAAAGAATCTCTTAAGTACTGCAGTTTTATTTATTATTTGTATTTGTAAATGTGATAAAGACAACAAAAACCTTTTATTGCAAACATTTTCAACTCAAGGTTACATTAAGGTGGTCACATTATTTTTAGAAGTGACTAGACTTAAAAATCACACTAATCAGAGCCCACTTAAATCATGAATCAAAGGGAAAATCAAATTCTTTGTTTAAAAAATACAAATGTCGTGTCAAGGTTGGATAAATTATTCTATAATCCAACAATTTAATTATTTTATTGCCAGAATACCAAGCAAAAGACTTGAAACAAGATTTTCATTGTTTACATCCCTTTAATTTGTAAAATGAAATGTTTGTTAAATATAAACATGAGTCACTGACTCACTCATTTTATTGCTTTAGAAAATAAAATGGCACATTAATAAGTCATGAGCAATTTTTTATCTACCTAAACAGATATTTTAAAATTTCCCCAACTTTTGAAATTTGAAAGAATTAGCTTCTAATTGAATTTATCTGCGGATACACAACCCACTAACAAGATTACATAACAATCGAGTCCCAATTTACTGTAATAAAATCTGAACAAATATTTATTTCCTCTCAGCCCAAACAATTACACCTTTTTGACGTCATGAGCCCACCTCTGAGTCATCCACCTTGACCAATTACCAAAAAAATAATTAATGAAAAAATTCACCTGAGCTGATGATTAGAAGGAAAGCAAACGCTTGCAAGGTTCTAGCGCCCATGATGGTACTAAAAAATGAAGAAATCACTACACTATAAAATACACCAGTTGAATGGCAAAACACGACGAAGAATGAAGAGACTAGGGCACCCCACCAAAAGCGAGAGTGTTAAAGGAGGCCATTGGCGAAGAGGCAAATGTGTGAGGGGAGATCAGAGGCGATTCGCGTTGTTGACTCATAAAATTGTCACGCAATCTTTTTATAAAAACGTGCCAACCGTTTCATTTAAATAAAACCAAGTTTTATTTTCATATTACAAATTAGGTTTCAATGAAGTGTCAAGTGTGTGGACCCCTTTAGTGTTTTTTTGTGTGAATTTTTTTAATTTTGTAATCTTTGAAACGGAGGAGAAGTGCGGGATGTGTGGTTCCTTTAGGTGTGGAGAATCAATATCTGGGGCTGTTGATGGAGCCAGAAGGGCGTCAGTGCGACTGGAGGGTTGCGGGATGAAGGGAATTGCACGATATGGCCTATATAATTTAATCACACGTTTATTTTTGCTAAATCGGGCTTGAATTGAGTGTTTTGAGGTCATGGGGGTTAAATCCGTCCTCAAAAAACTCTTCGTGCCTGTGGATTTATCATTGCCTTGGTCAAAATCAAGTATACTCATTAAAAAAACATTCAGTTTTTATTCACAAATGTTGAAATTTTGATAAAAGCCAATTTCAAAAAACCAAAATGCTTGTATACAGGGTGATTCGTATAAAACTATGACGCTGACCTTGAATACAACCAGTAACACATTAATCATTGATGACTTGATTCTTTAGTTTTTATTCACAATTGTTGAAATTTTGATAAAAGTCAATTTCAAAGTACCAAAATGTTTATATACAGGATGATTCGTATAAAACTATAACGCTGACCTTGAATACAATCAACACATTAATCATTGATGACTTGATTCATAAAATTAATAATTTAATTTGTCATTATCTACGTTTTGGACATCCTTGGTTGTCTTCTCGTGAAGGATGTCCAAACATATGAAGAACTAAAAAGAGTTTCAAAATGATTGACATCTCGGTAGGTCATTTAAGGTTGTAACATTGGTTCTTTGACAGTTCTAGGTTGTTCATTTTTGTACGATTGCATTCACTGGTTGAAGATACGTCAAATTCACAGTTTGTGACATTTATTTTGGTTTTTAAGAGTTTTTGAAATAAGTGAAATGTCATTTTTTATGAAGTATCGCTATCTAAAGAATGTTCACATATTTTTTTGGAACTAAAACACCTACCGAGATGTCAATTATTTTTCGTTCTATGAAATCTATACTGACTTGATTCATATAATTAGTAATTTAATTTGTCATTATCTACGTTTTGGACATCCTTGACATAAACCTATCAGATAGGTATTGTCATTTTGTGAAGGATGTCCAAACATATAAAAACTAAAGAGCGTTTTAAAATGATTGATATCTTGGTCATTTTTTTGACAGTTCTAGGTTGTTCATCTTTGTTCGATTGCACCCACTGGTTGCAGATACGTCAAATTCACTATTTGTGACATTTATTATGTTTTTTTTGTGAAATAAGTGAATTTTTTATGAAGTATCTAAAGAATGTTTACATATGTTTTTTTGGAACTAAAATTAAAGTCTGGTTTACCTACCGAGATGTCAATCATTTTGAAACGTTCTATAAAATCTATACTATTTTGGGTTGGGTTGGTAAGGCTTGTAGTGTGATATGAATCATCCTGTAGATAAATTTTTGGCTTAAAACGTGTGGAGAATTATCGACAATTTTAAAAATACCCGTTTTATTTAAAATTTCGAAAATTATGATCAATTTTCTAGTCTCATTAAAAATCAGTTTTCATGAGTTTGTGTCAAAAATTTAATTTCTATCACTTTTACAAGCCATAAATTCAATCAAAACTGTGAAGCTTCCATTGAATTTGTCAAAATTTCGTTATTACCCCTTATGACGGTTGATGTTTTCTGTCAACCTGCTGTCAACTATCAATTGATATCTTCTATCTATCTATCTTTTGTTTGTCACTACAAACCAACTTAACCAAATTTATGGCAACCTATTCACGAATATCCCTAAATCCTAGGATGTAATTTCTTGTGGATATAATAATAATATGTATTCTAACCCGACTTTTTTAGAACTGTCACTTTTGATAAATATGTTCCTAAAAAAACAATTAGATCTTTAAAGTTGGATTTACATAACTCAATTTTTACAAATTTACGCGGGGAAGTGGCTACTAGGAATTGACCGCCACTTTAGTTTGAATTTGTAAAATCATTTTTTAGTTTTTGTGGTCAAATTATCTCTTGAAATTTAGTTTGAAAACATTTTCTTTCAAAAAAATGTAATGTTGGTAACGCATATACTAAAATGTATTTTAAACGTAATTATATAACCACACTTTTTCGACCGAGCCGAGTGGACAAAAGTCAACGAAACCTGGTTTATGTAAACAGAGGAACATTTGAATGTTGTTTTCAGAAGAGTAGCAAAAAATATCGTAAAAAAATTCTAATAGTATTTTCGAAAAAGAAAAAAGTGTGTATTTAAGATTGTTTTTGGTTTTAAATTAATTTTCACCCCACCGTTAAAAATTTATTAGTCGGCCACTACTAAGTAAACAAAAATAAGACACATTAAAGCAAGATTCCACTGAAAGTTTGTCGCATTTTCCCCATTGCATTCGTGCCTTCTGCAGGTTTTGCAGTCATAAAACTCAAAAAACGTCGTGTTCTCATGCTTCTTCCCCATCCGTTTTTGAAAATACTCACAGGCGTTTTTATAGTACGCAAACCGCTCAAACATACACGACTGAAACGTTAAATTCCTCACTTCATGATCTGCAAACAGCCAAATAGTCACAAAATACTCATTTAACGCAGTGTTAATTAATACACGCTGTAAAAGTCTTGTTGTCTTGGTAAATCCCCACATGTCCCTTGTACCCATAAATGACTTTCATGCACAGCTTTTTGACGTTTTTCTGAGACAGAGACGGCCCAAACAGGTGGTAAATATCGAAATTGGTGAGAAAATTGGGCTCTAAGAAATACTCGAGCATGGAATGTTCGCGGTTTACCTTAAATGTGTCACAAGTCATTTTATTCGGAGTGTCCGATTTGTCATTTGCCTCGCAATTTTCACTGAAATCGGCACAAAAGTAACAAGTGCGGACCGAAAATACTGCAAAATTGTGTAAAAACAATCACAAAAAGGTTTCACAATCACCTGACGTTCGAAATATTGACAAAACCAAAAAAATTAGTTGAAGTATCATACTTCAGTCATTCTTGTTCAAACAAAACACAATTTCACTCAAAAATCTATTTATTGAATTACATAAAATGTGATAACACACAAAAGGCCCAACATAATCCCTGGATTTGTTCCAGAATTGCATAAATCTTCATTGCATGTGAAACACTCATCAACGATATACCCATAAAGTTTACGGTCTTCTCTATAATCAATACAAAAGTCGTTTTGTTCTTTTATAAGGCAGTGACGACCGACGAAAGTTTGGTTCGTGGCATTATCTAAAAAAAATTATTTAAAATCGTATTTTTGTCAATTTTGTTAAATTACGATGCTCAGTATAGGCAACACATTCATAAGTTGCGTTTTGTTGGTTGCCTAACTTGGTGTAAAATTCGTAACAGTTTGTGACTGTGACTGTTGTCTTGTTGATGGGGCTGTAACAGTCATTGTTTTTCACTGCGGAGCAATCGTAACATTCCAAGGCCCCACCTACACAATAAAATATACGAGTTTTGTGCTTTGTAAAATGGTCCTAATTTTCACATTCCCGCCAAATTTAAAACTGAAAAAATTGAAACTTACTCAACGAAATAAATGAGCAAAGAAGTGTCACAACAACGGTTTTCACCATTCTGCCAGCTCGATTTTGGCAAAAACTGATCTATGTTTCGAATTGTTTCCTTTATTATAGGGTTGATCAGTAAACATCGAGTTTTATTATTTTTTGGCCATAAACCTGATTGCAATGCAATGTTTGAGTAGTGAAATCATGAAATGAGTAAAAAAGGTGTGCGACATTTTTCCAACTATAACGAATTTCTATTGCAAGTCGTTTATGAAGGTTTATCAAGGTTTCGTAACAGAATTTCACAAGAATTTGAAAATTGGCGCTTTGTAATCCACTCCCCATCCCATGTTACGTCACTGGGATTTACTGTCATAATCAGTCATAGCCGTAGATGTTTACTCTTTGTTAAAAAACGCTTAACATATAAAAATAACGATAAAAATTCGTAAAAAGGCTTTTTTTTTGGTGAATTTTTGCTAAAATGGGTGACAACAGTGTTGTTTACTGGTATTCCAATCTTGAGAAACATTTGTGTGGTTATTGCAAAAACCCGAATGGAAATGTGTCCCACGGTATTCACATAAATTTTGAAAATTCTTCATGATGGGGGTTCATTTTCAGGGATGTGGGCAAAAATCCTTTCAGTTGAAGACTACCAAAATTTGATCGATAGAGGATGGAGACGCTCGGGAAGTTACTGTTACAAGCCTCTAATGAACGAAATTTGTTGCCCCATGTACACCATTAAGTATGTTAATCCCTAATTTGCAAAATATGAACAATTTTTGTAAAATTTTGAGGTTATGTTATCCGTCAAATTTCAGATGCGACGCTTTGAATTTTCAATTATCCAAATCCCAGAAGAAAGTGATTAAAAAGTTCAATAAATTCCTGAAAGACGGAGTTTTGCACAAAAATACAAATTATCAGGATTGTCAGGACAGTATTTCTGAATTTGTCCCTAGAGAGATTCCCGTTCCCGCCCACGTATTAGATAAAGAAGTTGTGATAAATTGTGAGAAAAATGAAGGAGATTCTAGTCAAATTGCAGCCCCCAGTGTGTCTCAGGTCACAGAAGCCGTCCCTGGTACGAGTTCCCTGCCAAAAACTGGCGTCGGGGCTGATCCCAGCAAGCCCCCTTGCAAGAAAGCAAAAATACTTCGAATGGAAAGGAAGAAAGAGAAATTACAAAAGAAGGGAATTGTCTTTGAGAAGAAACCAGTCGCAAATGAGCAAAAAACCCTCGAAGAATTGCTAAATGAGACAGTCCCGGATAGCAAACACAAAATCAGGGTAGGCTAATCGTCAGTGCCAACTTTTAACAATCAGTGGTGCCAGCACAAAAAAAGTAAATTAACCAGATTATGGTTTAAAGGTCGAAGGTCATGTTTTTACAAAAATCTTCCAAAAACGTGCATAAACGCTTGTTTTTAACTGAATATTTACGTTTTTACCTGAAAAACATGCTAAAACATTTAAAAAAAGACAAAAATAATAACTTGATTTGTTTTTTAGTAAAATCTTGCAAAGCACTGAGATTTTACTTCAAAAAGGTGCTTAAAGACTTGGAAATGATAAAGGAGTACTATTTTTGATCAAATTTGTGTTTTCGGCATATTTTTTGACAAAATTTCACTCCAAAAACGAGCTAAATCGTATTAATTTTGATTAATTATTTAATTTTTTTAACGAACTAAATAGAGCAAAACAAGCTGAAATAATATCAATCTAAACTGGTAAATTTGCAGCTAGTTTTATTTTAATTTTTTAGCAAATTTTTCTGTGTATTTATTTCAAAAACGTGCCCAACACTTAAAAAATGCAAAAATGACCCTAAGTAATTTTGGGTTCATTTGGTAAATTTTTACTTTGTTTTTAACGCAATTTTGCGAAATATTTATGTTGTTACCCTTAAAAACATGCCAAAACACTTGAAAAAGGCAAAAATAATGACTCGATTTTGTGTTTTTTGTAGCAAAATTTCGCAAAAAATTGATGTTTTAGGTCAAAGACGCGTTTAAAAAAGGTTAAGTAACACCATTTTCGATCAAATTTTGTGTTTTTCTGGCTTATTTTTTGAAAAAATTTTACTCAAAAACGGGTAAAATCGAATGAAACAAACGAAACAACACCAATTATGTCTTATTTTTAGAATTTTTAGGCATGTTTTGTTAAAATTTTGCAAAATAAATGAACTAAATAGATCGAAACAAGCTAAAACTATGTTAATTTCAATAATTTGGTAAATTTTCATCTTGGTTTCTTTTTCTAATTTCATTTTTTAGAAAAAAATTTTGTAAAAACTTTGGATTTATTTTAAATACGTGTTCACAACTCTGAAAATGCAAAAAACACTAATTTTAGTTTAATTTTTGGTTTATTTTTAACGAAATTTTACGAAATATTTACGTTTTTACCTTAAAAACATGCTAAAACACTTAAAAAAGTCAAAACTAATGACTTGATTTTGTGGTTTTTAGTAAAATCCCACAAAAAAAACGAAGTTTTAGTTCACAAAAGCGCGTAGAAACTTCAAAAAATTAAAGCAACACCATTTTCGATCAAAGTTTGTGTTTTTCTGGCGTATTTTTTTTTACAAGATTTTTCTCAAAAACGAACAAAATCAAATGAAACAAACGAAATAACATCAATTATGATGTATTTTTAGAATTTCTAGGCATGTTTTGCTAAAGTTTTGCAAAATAAATGAACTAAATAGAGCGAAACAAGCTAAAACTATGTTCATTTCAATTAATTTTTGTATTTTATTTTTTAGCAAATTTTTTTGAAAAAACTTTGGATTTATTTCAAATACATGCTCAGCACTCTCAAAATGCAAAAATAGAATCGATTTTAGCCTAATTTTGTACTTTTTTTATTTTTAACGAAATATTTACTTTTTTACCCTAAAAGCATGTTAAAACACTTGAGAAATGCAAAAAATGACTTGATTTTGTGTTTTTTCTTACCAAAATTTCACAAATAACTGAGGTTTTACTTCAAATATAACGCGCTTAAAACTTGACTTTTCGACCAAATTTTGTGTTTTTCGACTTATTTTTTGACATAATTTAACTCAAAAACGACCTAAATCGTATGAAAGAAACGAAATAATATCATTTTGATTTATTTTTGTAATTTTTTGGCATGTTCTTTGCACAATAAATGAGTCTCGTTCGTAAACGAACCAAATAGAGCGAATAATGTCAATTTTAATCTAATTTGGTTTTTCGGTTCGTTTTTTACGAAATTTTATATTTTTGGTCAAACAGTTTACCAAAACTCTAAGAAAAAGGCCAAAATAATGCACTTTTCGACACAATTTAGTGACATCTCTTAAAAGGCAAATAAAACTGTTTTCTTAGCTAATTAATTTGGTGGTTTTTGAACTTATTTTTCGGAAAATTTAGCAAATGGCGTAAAAATCACCAGATATGGTGAAATTTCACTGGCAACACTGCTACCACTGAAATTCACTAAACAGTTTTATTAGAATAGTTATTCTTTTCTCAGCTTGAACTAATAAACACGAGCCGACGTAGCGCAGAGTGGGAAAATTTGAAACAGCTCGAATTCGAGTTGTACAAAAAGTACCAAATGTGCGTTCATGGCGACCCCCCTGGGAAATGTACGATGGAGAGTTTCCAAAGATTTTTAATAAATTCCCCTCTTCAGGTACCAGAAATTTCATAAGCAGAGTAAAAGAATAACTGTTAAGTGTGTAGTAAAAATTAATTGATTGTTAATTGGTCATAGATAACGCTCGAGCAAATACATGAAAATCACAAGTATTTTCACCTAACTGCCAGTTTGTTTGCAAAGTATCAAATGGCGGTGCATAATGAGCCCCCCGGGGATTGCGATGAGCATCAATATCTCAATTTTTTAGTTGATACACCTTTGCAGGTATGTTTTACTCTGTTTTTGGACTCATTGGGCAAAAATTGAACGTCGAGCTCATTTTTTTTGGGTTGCAGAATATCAGGTTTTCGAGGGACTCAGAGTTGGGTTTTGGGTCCTTCCACCAACTCTATTGGTTGGATGATAAGCTGATAGCAGTGGGAGTTATTGATATTTTGCCGAAGTGTGTCAGTGCTGTGTATTTTTTCTACGACCCGGATTACAGGGACTTGACTTTGGGGACCTATGGATCATTACGGTAGTGTCGTATCAACAAGAAATTACTAGGATTTAGGGATATTCGTGAAAAGGTTGCCATAAATTTGGTTAGGTTGGTTTTTGGTGACAAACAAAAGATATCATAAGCAGTGTCAAAATTTAGGTTAAGTCACCTGTCATTCAATTGACAGTTGACAGGTTGACAGAAAACGTCAACCGTTAACAACAAGGAAATTTCTAGTTACAAACAACATGAAAAACGTAATTTTCCTAAAAGTTTAAATCCTAGGTTCTGATTTCTTGTTGACAAATCTGTTGATAGTTTTTAAGTGAAAATTTTCTCTAATTGTTAATTTCAGTGAAGTTGAATTTGCGAGAACTCTTCATGGTAAAATCTCAACGATTGACTCCTACTATATGGGTTTTTACATCCACTCGTGTCCCAAGATGAGATACAAGGGAAAGTTGAGTCCTTCATATCTACTTTGCCCCGAGACTTATCATTGGATCCCTATCGAAAAAAGTTTGGGGAAACTCGAAGTTAGTAAATATTCGAGGTTAGACAAAGTCGAGGCTGTGGATGAAAATTTGTGTACTTCACGAGATGTTGATGAAATTAAGATTTTATACAACAGAAAACTCGTTTTGTTTAAACAATACAAGAGGAAATTTGGCGGTCACGATTTGTTTGATACAATCGGACGGCTAATTGGCCAGAAGTGTGCAAAGTCGATTATTTTCATCGCCGATAATTAAGCGAATTGTGGTTATTTTTTATTTTTTAATAAATGTGCTTAAGAACTATGTGTGTTATTTGGCGTACTGGAAGTACATCGGTAAAAAGAGACCGACAATGCACTCAAATGGGTAAACTAGTGTCGTCCTTTTCTACCGATGTACTAGTGAAGAAAATGGGACCCGAAACTGTGCTCATCTCATTTAAATATCGATTTTTTTCAGGTTTTACATTTAAAAAAATTCAGGAGTATAAAAGGCCGCGAAATATTGCCATTTATTGTGATTTAGAAACTTTTAGCAATGTTTTTAAATAGTAAAGTTAATAAAAATCGTTAATTTGAACCTTGAAACACCCGGTATAAAAAACTTGAAATTTTTGTCGTGTTGGAATTAACGATAAACTATACATCGTCCGTAAAGTAGTACTTTTCCGGACTAATATGCCATTTTTTCAATTTTTCAAATGGAATATTTTTTCACTTATGCTTAATAAATGAACGTTAAAGATTTTTTATGAATTATGGTAAAATAGTAAAATTTTTTCATTTTAAAGTGGTGGTTACTCAAAATTTATGGTATTTGTCATATTTTTTCATTTATTAGGGTTTAGGATTTTTTTGTGGCGGGTTCAACTTAGTAAATGTTAAATTAGACTAAAATTTCCGACAAATGTAAAATAAAAATTGTATAGATATGTTAATATGTTCTACTTTTACAAAAAATATCAAAGTTGAAAAAAATTAATAAAAGTTAATAAAAAAAAGTTAATTTGTTGCTTTTTGGCGTTACAATAATGATATTGTCTTATTTGAGACCATGCAACTAGATTTTATTAACTTTTTATATTTTTTTAACTTAATTAATTTTTAGTAAAACATATTGCACATATGTCTGTACTAAGAAAACTAAAACCTTTCAAATTATGAAGAAAAAAATATGGGTTGCAATTTGAAATTAGAAATTTGAATACCTAGGTATAGCCCAAAATTTATTATGACATTTAGAAAAATTCTAAAATTGCCAGCTTGTACCTACTATATGAAAAGCCATTTAATTAGTTTTTTCAATTTTTGAAATCGGGTCATAAATAAAAATTCAACTGCGCCTGCCCGTTTTTTAAATATCACTCTGTATAATAAAGTAAATAAAACTCATAATTTCATTAGTTTGAAAGTGGTGCATATAAAACTTATTAATAAAACTTGAAATTTTGATTTAAAAATAAATAAAAATTTCTAGAAACGCAATGATTTTGACGAACTTTCTGATTGAAATTCTCTTCACGTGCATAAAATAATTACGAGCAATTAAAACGTTTTCGTGGTTAATTACGTGCAAATTCGTTAATTACTTTGCATTTTTTCTGCGCACAATTTGCATAGAAATGAGATGAAGCACAGGGGGGTGTTTTTTTTGCAATTATCCAACAATGCAAAGTATTTAAACCGTTCATTGATGCAGAAATGACATCAAAACCGGTGACCTATACTGCATTCTCAAGGTTGTTTGAAAAGATTTTTGTGAATATAAAGTATAGAACCAAGCGGTTTTTTTTTAATCATTTGCCTTCAGAAAATAATAATTAATATAAATTAAAATAATATAAAAAACGTAATCGTGTTTTGAGAACAAAATTTTGTTTTTGTGAAAATTGCAATTTATGTAAATTTTGTTTTATTAAATATAAATTTAAATAATAAATAATTAAACTACCCAAAATAATATGTTGTGCGCCCAATTTTGGATTTTCTTTAAACGATTCAGCAAAATCTTTTAAAAATGTTAGATTTTCATTACACGTAAAAGCCGAAAATTTTTTGTTGGTAAATGTTGATAATAATAATAGTCAGAATTTTGGTTAAAAAATGCACCAAATTCAAGAAATAGATTTACAGTCAAATGCTGCAATTTCATGTTTTAATCTAAGAAAAAATCGAAAAATATAGTCTGAACTAAAATTTGCAATTTTGGCTTCAATCCAACGAAATCTATTAAAATCGTTCGGATTTCTATTAAAAAATAAGCAAAAAATCACCCAAAACAACCAAAAAAGTTGTTCTTTCTTTAAACAATAGGCTAGAAAATAATGAAAATATCACAAAATCTTAAAAATAAACAAAATTAACTGTAACTGCTTTCATTGAAAAATTTTTCGATCAAAATGCGATTTATGAAGAATAAAGAATAATTTTTGGCATCCATCTAGTAATCATTTAGATAGATATTCATTGAAAAATAAGCAATTTTATAAAAATAATAATTAATATAATTTAAAGTACTATAAAAAATGTGATGGTATTTTGGGAACAAAATTTTGTTTTATTTTTGAGTTACGCGATTTTTTTGTAAAAATTGCAATTTATGTAAAAAAAAAATTTTCATAAAATTAAATATAAAGTAGATATTTGTAATGTTGTAATCCTTAGATCATAACCTTCATGAGAAAAATGGTTTCATAGTGGGTTACCATTTAAGTTAAAAAAATATATTTTTTTGTAGAACTCAAAAAATTCTTGAGAAAACATCACATTTTTGTAGTACCTACATACTTTATTAGTTTTTCCAAAAAATAAATAGTTTAAGCAAAAAACGGTTTGTTCCATACTTTTTATTCACCTATGTGTATGTATTTCAAAAAGTAGCTGAATAAAGTCTTGTTATCACTGCAATTGCATTTCAGCATATCTTCGCGATTAATTGAACAAAATTTCAAATTTCAAAAAATTTTCCGTTCAACAATAATAATAAGATAAAACTGTCCAAAATAACAATTGCGCCCAATTTTGGATTTCTTTGAAACGATTCAACAAAATCTGTTAAGCCGTAAAAGCCGAAAAAGTATTTTGTGTTGATAAATGGGCTTGAAAACAATATGAAATTTAAAAAAATAGACAGAATTTTCGTTAAAAATGCACCAAATCCAAGAAACAGATTTACAGTCAAATACTGCTATTTCATGTTTTAATTTAAAAAAAGTTCGAAAAATATGATCTGAACTAAAATTTGCATTTTGGCTTTAATCTATTGAAGTCGTTTAGATTTCTATTAAAATATAAGCAGCAAAAAATTACCCAAAACAGCCAAAAAGTTGTTCTCTTTCTAAAAAAACAGGCTAAAAACCAATGAAAATAACACAAAATCTTAAAAATAAACAAAATTAACTGTAACTGCTTTCATAAAACAAAATTTGTCAAAAAAAATGAAGAATAATTTTTTGTATCTTTCTCTTAAATTCATTTAGATATTTATTGAAAAATAAGCAATTTTACGATTTGTTTCATTAATTCATATAAAACTCATAAATGAGAAGTATTTTCGTCTAAAACGAATTAAATTAAACATAAATATTTATTAATTCATTTAACAAAACAAAGTCATGGTGTTACATAACAAACACAATTTTGAAATTTTTAATTTCAAATTCCTCTTTTTTCTGATTCAAGTTGAAGGTGAGTTACATAATGGAGCATCATCGCTGTGGGAAAAATTTGGCTAATAATCATGTTGACACTATTTAACTTAATACTAGATAATTAAAAAAACGTCAGTCGTGTAAAAATCTTTATAAAGTTAAAATACAGTCACAACAGATAAAATAAATTAGTTTAAACTTTGGTATTTTCATCGGCGTCCCCCACTTTGACTGTAATCTCGCTGGTGTTGTCGAAGGCCGGATTTTGGATGCCGACTTTTTGGCTTTCTTTGGGGGCATTCCACGCCTGAATCTCGGCCCTTCCGAAAATGCAAAAGACTAGACCACAAATGATGTAAACCAAAGCACCGATGCAGAAAATAACGTGCCATTCGTTCATGCCGTTCTGGAATTTTTTACAAATCAGAATTGTGCTTTTTTGGTTGGTCATTTTACGTTTTGGGCTGTGATTTGGCCCACGATTATGGGCGAGATGAACCCGGTGGTGCTCCCAATGCAGTTGGCGATGCCATACAACGATCCGGCGTAATTCGGGGCCAAATCTTGCGAATTTTGCAAATTAGTTAAAGTGGAAGCGCCGTTCGAGCCCAGCGAGAGGGTGAGGAGCACTATGGACCAAGTGACGTCACATCCGGTCAGGTTGAGCACCAGGAGGAGCGCCCCAGGGATGATGTGTGCTAATTTTTTTAAAATTGTGTGGTGTTTACAAAAAAGTACATGGGTAAAGAGAGACAAACTATGCACTCAAATGGGAAAAACTAGTGTCGTTCTTTTCTACCAGGTACTAGTTGAGTCAAATTTTAATAATTAAACTAAAATTGTACTAAAAAAAAGAAACCTGAAAACGGTACCCGAAACATGTGATTTTTGCAGGAAAATTTTACACAAATTTTATTATGTTTGAAATAATCGAGGGGCCGTTAACTCTGGAATTAGTTGTACAAATTTTTGTAATTTAATCGTAATTACTTGGAATTATTTGGGAGTTTATAGCATTATTAAAATTATTATTAGATTGTCTGGAATCACTATAATAGGGAATTAATGGAATTTTTCTTGAATTACTGGATTTTTTTCCAGAATTTCTTTTGAGTATTGCACTGAACTATCAGAAACAATTTGAAATTACAGGAATTATTTTAGAATTACAAAAATTAAGTTGGAATTACAGGAATTAATTTGAAATTATAGAATTTAATCTGAAAACAACGGAATTACGATGGATTAATAGAATTGAATTACCGGAATTACTTGTAAATTTGAATATAAAATATCGTAATTAATTTGGAATTACAGAAATTATTTTGATATTACGAAAATTAAATTGCAATTACGGAAATTATGTTGGAATTTATTGTACAAATTTTTGGAATCTAATAGAAATTGCTTGGAAGTATTTGAAATTTTTTCTTTGGATGCTTATCTGGAATTACTGGAATTTTTCTGGAATTACTGGAGTTCTTTTTGGAATTATCTGGGATAATCTCTTTTGAAAATGATGTTGAATTTCTTAAAAGTATTGGAATTATTTTGGAACTACAGGAATTATTTTTTGAAATGACTGAAATTGTGGTTGAATTTTTGTGAAAATGGAATTAGTTGTAGAATTGTTTTTCAAATCAAGTTCTGGAATTGGTTGTACAAATTTTTGGAACTTAATCAAAATTGCTTGGAATTATTTGGAATTGAATTACCGGAATTACTTGTAAATTTCAAAATTACGTTGAATATCTTAGAAATATAGTAATTAATTTGGAATTACAGAAATTATTTTGATGTTACGAAAATTATTTTGATATTATGAAAATTAAATTGCGATTATGGAAATTATGTTGGAATTTATTTAGAATTATGTATGGGAAATATTTAATTACTTATCTGAATTATTTGTAAATTATTGAAATTAATTTTTTTTGAAGTTACTGGAATTATTAAGTTGGAATTAGGTTGAAATTATACAAATTAATCTAAAAACAATGGAATTGCGACGAAATAATAAAGTTGCTGGAATTAAATTACCAGAATTATTTGTAAATTACTAAAATTTTTCTAGCTGAAATTGAGTTTCGGTGAAATTTTTTTGAATTGGAATTTGGAATTACAGGAATTAATTTAGAATTATAGGAATTGAATTAATCTAAAAACAATGGAATTACGATTGATTAATTGAATTACTGGAATTGAATTACCGGAATTACTTATAAATTACAAAATTACGTTGAATATCTTAGAAGTATCGTAATTAATTTGGAATTACAGAAATTATTTTGATATTACGAAAATTAAGTTGGTATTACGCAAATTATGTTGGAATTAATTTAGAACTATAGGAATTACGATGAATCCATTATTAATCAATATCCACTATTAATCAATAGAGTTACTGAAAAATTTCGGTAGAATTTTTTTTAATTACTTATCCGAATTATTTGTAAATTACTGGATTTTTTTTGAAATTACTAATTTTTTTTTTTAATTACTGGACTTGGAATTAATCTAAAAACAATGAAATTACGACGAAATAATAGAGTTACTGGAATTGAATTCCCAGAATTATTTGTAAATTACTAAAATTTTTCTAGAATTACTGGGTTTTTTTTGGAATTAGTAGAATTCTTTTTAGAATTATCGGAAATAATTTATTCTTTTAAAACTTACGTTGAATTTCTTAAAACAATGGATTAATTTGAAATTACTGGAATTATTTTGGAATTACGATAATTAAATTGGAATTATCCAATTAATTGGAATTACACTAAAACCAATAAAATTTTGGTGGAATTTTTTGTAATTGGAATTAGTTGTACACATTTTTTTTTAAGTTAACGCACCCTCGGAATTAATAAATTCACTACCTAAAAACTATATTTTTTTTGACATCGTCCGTAAAGTAGTACTTTTCCGTACTGATATGTCATTTATACAATTATACAATTTTACATTTATTCTGATTTAGAAAATTTTATCGATGTTTTTAAATTTTTAGTGAAGTAAAAAAAAATCATTATTTCTATTAATTTGAAAGAGGTGTTTTTGTAATTTTCCGATTATTGCTATTTTTCTGGGATTTTACTTACAAAATAGGATGAATCCTTTTCGGACCACAGTAGTCGATAACACTTTCCTCTGTCTTATAAAATCCCCAATAAATCCAAAAATGAACCCAAAAATCAGTCGTGCCAAATAGGGCAGTGCTGCCAAAATCCCAGTGTGCCCCAAATTGAACCCCAAAACACTTGAGAGAAATTTCGGTCCTGCTGTCATCAAAAAGTACAACCCCCACAGATTCCCAAAGTGTAAAACAATCAACGCCCAGAATGGAATCGACAAAAAGATGTTTTTATAAGGGGGCAAACCCTGAAAATTTTTATTAGTACCCCAAGCCGGCCATTTTACAAATAATACTTTTGTGGGTTTTACTGAATCGCCCAAACTCTTCATTATGTAAATTTTCTCGTCTTCGCTAATTCTTGGATGCACTTCAGGCCTATCGGCCACCAAAATAATCCACAAAATGCACCAAAGTAGTACCAACCCCCCGTTAATAAAAAACGACCACGACCACCCCAAACCCTCAATTATGGCCCCCAGAAGCGGCCATGTTGCCACAGTGCCGAAAGTGCCTCCCAAGAGGGCCCCTATAAACTTGCCTTTCTCCTCCGGGGGGGCCCACCGCGAGACCAGACAGTGCAGACACGGGTAAACCACCCCCTGAAAAAATAGCGAAATTTTCTTTGGATTGTCTGTAATTACTGGAATTTTTGTGGAATTACTGGAATTCTTTTTGGAATTATCGGAGACTATTTCCCTCATAAAATTTAAGCCAATCAAATTTTTAAATTCAAATTGTCGATAATTTGCCCGTGTGCTAAATTACCACGAATCTGATTGGATGAATCTCAGAAATTTGAAATATTTGATTTACGTAAATTTTTTTTGACATACATTTTTTTTTATTTTTCATAATGAAAATATTGTTTCTGTAAATTTTGTTCGGGAAATAGTCTGCAAAATACCCCCCAGAATTTTGAAAATTCTGAAAATTACGTAGAACTATGTATTGGAATTATTTTGGAATTACGAAAATTAAGTTGGAATTATAGGAATTAATCTGAAAACAATGGAATGATTGGAATTTCGGTGAATTTTTTTAGAATTATTAGAATTTTTCTAAAATTACTAATTCTTTTTGAAATAATCGAAGATTTCTAATCATAATTTGGAATTACAAGAATTAATTTGGAATTATAGGAATTACTGCAATTACGGTTAACTTTTTTTGGAATTGGAATTAGTTGTATGTACATATTATTTTCAAGTTAACGACCCCTCGAATGATTATAAACGAAAAATTCAACAACAAAAATATTTCAAAAACCTGTTTTTTTTTTCTAATATTTTTTGTTTCCTTTTTTTTTGTTTATTTGTTAACTATTTCATATAGGTACTGTTGTTTTATTTTTTATTTCGCGTATTATTGACACTTTAAGTTTCACGAAAGAAAATTTTGATTTAATTAAGTATGTAATGTAAAAAAATATTTCTAAACATTATTGCAATATTTAAAAAATTTCTTTCATTTTGATAATAAAATTATAAAAATTTTCTTTGGATTATTGTCTGGAATTACTGGAATTATTTGTGAATTACGGGAATTTTTCTGAAATTACTGGGTTTTTCTTTGAAATTTTCGGAGACAATTTCTTTTGATAATTACGAATTTCTTACAACTATTGGAATTATTTTGGAATTACGAAAATTAAGTTGGAATTATATAGGAATAAATTATTGGAATTACTGAAATTTCGGTGGATTTTTTTTGGAAGTGAAATTAGTTCAATTTTTTCCAAATTAAATTCTGAAATTGGTTGTACAAATTTTTGGACTTTCATCGATTTTGCTTGAAAGTATTTCAAATTTTAAATTATTTCTGAATTACGGAAATTTTTCTGGAATTACTGGAGTTCTTATTGTGATTATCGGAGATAATTTCTCTTAAAAATTACATTGAATTTTTTGGAATTATTATGAATTACGAAAATGAAGTTGGAATTATAGGAATTAATTGAAATGGAATTACTAGAATTTCGGTGGAATTTTTTTTGAATTGAAATTAGAAAAAACTACAAAGAGAGAATAAATGAATAAAAAAAAATAGGGCCCCTATTTTGTCAATTTGTAGCACTCACCCCACAAAGTCCGGTCAAAAACCTCGACAAAATCAACGCAATGTAACTCCAGGAGGCCATCAAGGGCCCCAAAAGGGTCAAAAACCCGCTTGCCAAAGTCGCAATCATCACAGTCCGCGTCGGCCCGAATTTCTCCCCTAGGACTCCGCCAGGGATGCACGTGATGGTGTACCCCCAGAAATACGACCCTAAGATGAGACTTTGGACATTCGAGTCCCAATCGTACCGAGTCCCGTACTGAAAATTCGCGTTTTTGGACGTTTTTTCACGATTTGGACTTACATCCGGTGGTGCTGTCAGGGCTTGATACGTGCGATTCCCGGAGTTTTCGCGGTTAATCCGGGCACATTCCGGCTCGGAATCGCTGGAATTCGCATTGCTAGGCTCCACCATAGCAATGAGATTGATCGAGATGTTGACTCGCATCATGTAGGTGGTGAAACACGACGTGAACAGCATTATAGCTATCACAAATCGCGTGGAAAGCAACCCTATTAAAAGGGGTTTTATTCTAGTGATTTTGTGAAAAAAAACTCACCTTTTGGACACGTTATGGTCATCTTGAGCGCATAATTTAGAGAAATTGCTTGTTGTTTGCGTAACGTCTTGGCGAAATTAGGACAGAATTCAAATTTGTCACGTCTGAAATTGCGAAAAATCAAGGTTTTGTGCAGGGGCGGACTGGCAAATTTTTATATGGGGTGCTAAGTTGAAATGAGGGCCCAATATACAATACAATAAAAATATGTATAAAAACTACTTGTCACTTGATGTAGTAATTTTTTTTTTGAAGAAGTTTGTTTCCTCTATTGAGATTGGGACGTCAGTTGAAATCATGGTGGTTTAATAAACGAAAATAAAGTTTTTAGATGAACGTCTTCAGCGGCTTTTAATTTTTGTTTTTTTTTTTGTTTCTGTGCACCAAATTTATACTTATATTTAAATTTTTCCATTATTTATGCCCACTAATAATTAAAAAAAAATTAATTAAAATTACAACAAAAGACACTCTTTGATTTGGTGTAAACGGAAGTCTTGTAGAAGCTATACATTTCCGGTAGCAATAGGTCCTCCCAGTTTTTGTATCATAACTTCTTTTCGGCTTATTAATTTCTGTTTTTGATATCAAAAATTAAAAGCCCAATCATTTTTTTTACAAAAAAAGGTAGTTTTATATCGCCAAAATGTATCGTTCTCGAGTTATTTCAGTTTAAACTAAATTCTAAACCGCGCTGCAAAATTAGAATTTGCGTACCTTGGAAACAATCCACTACGAATGACATCGCTGTCAATGCTGTCACATTTAATGTCAATTTCATACAATCCAAAGGAACATTTGTTTATTTCTTGATGATCATAAAAGCTGTATTTTCTATTGCTTGATGAGTTGGATTAATAAATACTATGCTATCTATTGTCATTTGTAGAGGAGTATTCGTGATTAAAATTATGACACAAATTTTTGAATCATTTGTATAAATTCACGTGGAATTTTTCTTACATGCGTGTAAGACCTTATAAACAAAATTGAGCTAAAATTATTGAAATTATAGTTTTATTTGTTATGATGGCAATTTTTTAATTCCTTCAAACTTAGCCTCTGCGAAAAACGCAATTCAGCACTTCATGGATTAGCTCTATGCATTGTGGAAAGTTTGTTTACAAATTTAAAATTATTGATATTATTTCAATAAGCTCTTTACATAATAAGCTTACCATAATTGGGGGCCCGTAAGACTGGAGGGCCCGGGGTGCTGTGGCACTCCGGCACCCCTGGCCAGTCCGCCCCTGGTTTTGTGTCATTAAAAATGCCCTGTAATTGCCGTAATTACTTAACGACATCCTCAAAACATTCATTCAAAGCGGCAAAACTTTACATAAATCACAACCGACTGTTTTATGGTATGAAAATGGAATTAGTTGTAGAATTTTTTTTTCAAATCAAGTTGAATATCTTAGAAATATAGTAATTAATTTAGAATTACAGAAATTATTTTGATGTGAAAATTAAATTGCGATTACGGAAATTATGTTGGAATTTATTTAGAATTATGTACAGGAATTAATCCGAAAACAATGGAATTACGATGAATCCATTATTATTTCATATCTACTATTAATCACCAGATTTACTGAAAAATTACGGTAGATTTTTTTTTAATTACTTATCCGAATTATTTGTAAATTACTAAAATTTTTCTAGCTGAAATTGAGTTTCGGTGAAATTTTTTTGAATTGGAATTTGGAATTACAGGAATTAATTTAGAATTATAGGAATTGAATTAATCTAAAAACAATGGAATTACGATTGATTAATTGAATTACTGGAATTGAATTACCGGAATTACTTATAAATTACAAAATTACGTTGAATATCTTAGAAGTATCGTAATTAATTTGGAATTACAGAAATTATTTTGATATTACGAAAATTAAGTTGGTATTACGCAAATTATGTTGGAATTAATTTAGAACTATAGGAATTACGATGAATCCATTATTAATCAATATCCACTATTAATCAATAGAGTTACTGAAAAATTTCGGTAGAATTTTTTTTAATTACTTATCCGAATTATTTGTAAATTACTGAATTTTTTTTGAAATTAATTTTTTTTCGAATTACTGGAATTATTAAGTTAAAATTAGGTTGTAATTACAGAAATTAATTTAAAATTAATCTAAAGACAATGGAAAAGAATGGAATTGTGACGAAATAATAAAGTTGCTGGAATTGAATTACCAGAATTATTTGTAAATTACTAAAATTTTTCTAGAATTACTGGAATTTTATTGGAATTACTAGAATTCTTTTTGGAATTATCGGAGAAAATTTATTCTTTTTAAAAATTACGTTGAATTAAAACAGCAACCCTAATAAAAGGGGTTTTATTCGAGTGATTTTGTGAAAATAACTCACCTTTTGGACCGTTATGGTCATCTTGAGCGCATAATTTAGAGAAATTGCTTGTTGTTTGCGTAACCGAAGCTGTAATTGTTTTTCTAAATATTGGTCTTGGCGAAATTAGGACAGAATTCAAATTTGTCACGTCTGAAATTGCGAAAAATCAAGGTTTTGTGTCATTAAAAATGACTCGTAATTGCCGTAATTATTGAACGACATCCTCAAAACATGCGGCAAAACTTTGCATAAATCACAAACGACTGTTTTATGGTAGAGATAGCGAAATATTGGGTTTTACTTTTTATTTGTGTTTTTGTCCGTTTTTTGGTAGAAAAAAATCGCTCGCTCACCTCTAATCCCAATGTTTGAATAATGTAAACCGTCGCGGATCTTTCTGGATGATTTTTGTTTCGCACACAAATTCAACTTTCACAGTCGCGAAAACTGAGTGAAGTACTTACCGTTAGTAGCTATACCACCTCTACAACCCACCGATAAAAATAATAGGAAGCACATGCAAGTAATTTTATTTTATTGTTGATTCCGATGGTCTTATCTTCGTTGTTGGTAGAAGAATTATAACAGGATTTGCATTTAAATGCACGTCATCTTTGTCTGAAATTGTAAATAAATTATTTTTAATGCGTGTCATTAAAAAATAAACCAAACAAAAAATGAAACAATTGTCGATGAAAATGGAATGCGTAGTGTTGCCCTTCAATCCATTTTTTGACTATTCATAAATTTTCTTATCATTTTATTGGCAATAATTGTGCAGGGGGCATAATTTTCACGATTCGTAATCCCACCGATCGATAATTTTTATTTTGCGCATTTTTTTTATAATCTAATTGGTGGGCGTGGAATTTTCCACAATAGAAAAGCGAAAGTCATTAAAATAATTCAAACATTCCTGCACACCTTTCTGTTATCGAACAGTCCAGAATTTGGAACGATTACTTTTCGGAGCAAATCATCATTGTGGCATTTGTAATTATTCATTCACTAAATTATTCAATTTCAAAATTTGCTAACAATAATTAGAAATAATTGGAACAATAAGTTGTAAATTCTCCAATCGTGTAGTAACAAATAGCATGATTAGTAACCAGATTGAATGCAATGTCAGAATAAATGAAAAAATACAATAAAAGTAGTGTCTATAAAACAATAAAAACATTGTTTTTGTACGTATTTTGAATAGAAAGTAAGTTTTTTGGAGTAGAAAAATGAGTATTTTCTGCATTTTATTGTTTTTTTTAATTTTATCGTACTAAATTGTTTTTTTTAGAAAAGTAAATTAAAACACGAGTTATTACAGGCATTTATTCGAGTAAGGGGTTGGAATTCCGAAATGGTCTTCTGTTTCGAGTGTTTTAAATGTTTTTTCTATTTTGCGCGTTTTTTTTTAAAAAAAGAGGAAGATTTTTTAATTTAGTTAATGTATCATCGGTTGGTCACACTGAAGCATTGGAAAATTCAATTCGAACTAACATTTTTCATTATTGTAACAATTTAGTTTGAAATTCAGTTTGAAATTTTCCTATTTTGCGCTTTTTATTAATGAAAAAAAGGCAAATTTTTTAATTTATAAGCTAAAACAGTGTTATTCATGATACAGACTGACATTTCTTACTGTGCGTAATCTAGAAATGGATTCTTAAGATTTTTCATTGATGAGTTTGAAAGAAATTTAATTCTAACGGTATTGTCACCAACATTATAAACCAAAAATACACTAAACGAGTTCGTTAATAGTCTTGTTAAAAACATAAAAAAATTCAATATTAACAAATTGTAAGTGTGACGAAATGGCAGTTGTTAAAACAACAATTCTTATCTTTTGCGTCAAGGAGAAAAAAATTTAACGAAAAAAGTTTTTCAAGGCTTTCAATTTAGTAATTTTTCTACCGGCTTTATATAAAAAAACTTTATCTATTATTATTATCATTATTTTAAAATATACTTTAGTTTAAATTGTTTATATTTCCATTTTGTAAATAAAATATTTTTACTTAAAAAAAATCAATGTACTTCTTTCTCTTTTATTTACGTTTCTATCTACCGTGCGATCAAAAAAAAATAGAGTCGATTAAATTCTACAGTTGGCAACACTTTGGCTGGGAATCTGAAAATGACCATTCACCGTTTTCGTTTTTTGTACATACAGTAACAAAAAAAATTCTGCTTTAAAGTGAACATTATTTCACTCAAAAGGAATAAAACGCAAACTTGTCAAAGTTTCCGCTGACATTTGATGTTAAAAATCAGGATTGCCATCTGAAGGACTTCACCCACTCTAATTTATTTATATTATGATCTATTCTACAGAAAAAATGATGTTTTGTACCTTTTTTAGATTTCATCCTTTTATATTTCATTTCAAGATAAACTTCACTGTATTAAATTGACGCTCTTTATATAATTTCAAATAATAAATTGATAGAATTATATTATTGGAAGTAAAAGTTGTAGTTTACTTGGCAAAGCTGAACGTTTATTTTATTTTTTTTTAAATTCTGCTAAATTGTTTTATTTACAAACGTTTTGAAATCGAAACACTATAATTAGCAAGTAAATGAACAAAATAATTATTTACAAATAATGAAATCATAACAAATGTCCGGGTCAGTTTCGCGATTTGTGTTGAGAATTTTTAAGTATTTATTAATTTAACTAGTGCAGTTGGTAGTGCAAAATGTCGAATGCTAATTATCTACAATGTACCTCTCCAGAAATTGCTAAAGACAACATTGGTAAATGTTAAAAGTAAAAAATAGAATTTTACTCCGTATCACTTTTACTTGTAACATTTAGTCATAAAAGTGGTCACTTCTGTGACGTTTGCGGATAGAAGTCATTTAAGGAAATAAAAGAATGCTAAGTAACAAAATCACTTTATTAACTTAAAAGTCAACTAAAGAAATACACCGAATTTAAAACTTGTGTTATATCAAAATCGCCTGTTTTTGGTAACTTCCTCAGCACCTTATTCAGTTTCGTTTTAGTCAAATCTGATACAGATCCATCCCCGATAAGGTCGCTGAAACAAATAATAAGAAAATTGTACAAAAACCTCTCCACTTACTTACTCTTTTCCAAAACTGTACTTTTCAGTCAAAAACAAGGAGAGATTTTCTAAAATTGGCAATGAATGAAGTGCGACAAATTGTTCCCGACATATCTAAAAAAAAAAAAATGTATTTTTTCAATCAAGTGAAATGAAATTTCTCACTTTATTCATAATATCTACAGTTGAAGGATGCGTCCAATAACAATCATGAACTGAAACGAACGTAATCCCAGCTCTCTCGCAAAACAGCGATGTGAGCATCATGTGACTAGAATCAAGCGAATGTATGAAATTCGGAGGAAAGGCGTTTTTCTGTTTCATCACATTTGGTTTCCTGTAATAAAGCGATCAGTAAATAATTCAATTTTGATCAGTATAAAATGATAAATGATCAGTATTTAATTAATTTTTGCAAAGTAAAGAATTAAAAATGATCAGTATAATATATTTTGCACTGTAAAAATAATACTAAACATTTAAAACAACAAAAAATTTAAAGCATTTTTAATTCTTGGTTACATAACAATGTTTGGCCCCTGCGCAAAGATGTTATTTATTGTTGGTACTTATTTTTATATTACTGAATATTTATTATTATTGGAGGGTGGTATATGTATTAGCAAGAGCCCCTGCGCATGAATGATTTTAGCACAGGCTGGAAACTGTGCACAAATGGTAATCAGTCTTTGCACTGCTGTGCTCCTGATACCACAATTTTGTTTTTGAACGCTTTGCGATATTCCGATTTAGCTCGAAAACATTTCGTTTGGAAATGTGTGAATATTAAATTAATTAGTTTTGATAAACATTCATTCATTGTACAGGGTACTGCAATTTGGATGTCCGAATAGGGAATCTCCAAAACTAAGAGGTTTAGCCAAAAACGAGTAATACATTCTGGGGCTCATTTTTTGAGGAAATAATATTGCTTTAAACCGCATCCCGCTATCGTTTTTTGTTTTAGACTTATAGACAAAAATTCACATTTTAGCGAAATCTAAAAAAATTCATATCTTCGTTATTATAGAAGACACAGATTTGAGATAAAGCCATTTTACAGGCACTTTTTTACGTAGAATTTAATAATATAGTTAACAATTTTTTTCAGTTGTTTGTTTAGCCGTAAAAAATAAACTTGTATTTTTCTAAATGGGAATCATAGATATGGCTGTCATTTTTAAAAAGCTTGTTTTTTTCTTATTTAAAAAATTTATTATTTTTATTGTGTATTTATTATTTTTACTGGAATTTTTTATTTCTACTGCGCATTTATTATTTTACTCAGCATTTATTATTTTTACTGTGCATTTATTATTTCTACCGCGCATTTATTATATTTACTGCGCATTTATTATTTTACTGTGCATTTATTACTTTACTGTGTATTTATTATTTTTACTGTGCATTTATTATTTTTACTGTGCAATTATTATTTTTACTGAGCATTTATTATTTCTACTGTGTATTTATTACTTTTACTGGACATTTTTTATTTCTACTGCGCATTTATTATTTTACTCAGCATTTATTATTTTTACTGTGCATTTATTATTTCTACCGCGCATTTATTATATTTACTGCGCATTTATTATTTTACTGTGCATTTATTATTTTTACTGAGCATTTATTATTATGTTATATTTATTATGTTTACTGGACATTTTTTATTTCTACTGCGCATTTATTATTTTACTCAGCATTTATTATTTTTACTGTGCATTTATTATTTTACTGTGCACATATTATTGTTACTGTGCATATATTATTTTTACTGTGCATTTATAATTTTTACTGTGCATTTATTATTTTTACTGATCAAAAATACTTGTTTAAATAATATACTGTTCCCTAAATAAATTTACACACGAAACTTACTCAAACTCGTCCATATGGAACGGCTTGTAGACCAAAGATGTGCCTAAATTCTTGTACCTAATGTATGGTTGCACAATGGGCAGCCCCATGGGCGTCACCCATTCGACATGTTGCCCACTCATGGAAATCAATCGGGCACAGTCGGTGAACCAGTCTTGAATTTCCCTCGTCGACGTAAACATCGACCTCAATGAGTCGAAAGTACGACCAGTTAGGTACGAAGACGCCGCCCAGACTAAATCTTTCGGGAACTCATCAATATCCTTCAATTGTCTCGCGATTTGTAACCTCGCCCCAAACTTGGTAACCCCATAAACCGTCGTCATGATCGTCTGTTTGATCACTTTACGTTTGACAAACCCTTGAAGCGCCTTCGCCACTTCAACCCCATTCGCCGCATCCTCCATCCTCTGCTGCTCCACTAACGTCACCACAGCACTGTACACATCCTGGGGCACCTCTGAGGGGCACAAATTCACACTATACGCCCCTGCACTGTCCCTCCCCAATGCGGCGTAATGCTGTAAACCGTTGCAACTGCCGTCTTGATGCACCGGGAAGTGTGATCGGTATTTCTCGGGATTCCCCGATCTTATAGCTTTGGCGATTTCGATACAGCAGGCTAGGGTTTGCCAAGGCTCCTCGGATTCGGCCCACCATTGGCGGCCACTAAGGGGGTTATCAGCCGAATCGAGGATGTCCGCCATGATTGTCTCAACGTATGCCAAGCGATCGGTTATCGAGTCGCGTTTTTTCAAACCGGTGAGGTTGATTAAGTGCAATTTAAGCCAATTGAGACCCTGGGGGCCCAAAGGACGAGATTCGGCGAAAACTAGCATGGAGCGGGCCAAGTCTGAGCCCAGGTGGTTCAAATGGGGGGGCACGGGGTACACGCGCCCCCGGAAGTCCATGTTGTGCGGTAACCAAAATATATCAGACCGGAACTGAAAAACAAAGTAAAAATTGACATTGACAGTGATACTCACGTCATTTTGACTTTAGATACGTGAAATTTGACGTTTCAAAACGTTAAAGGCTGCTTTACAGTAAATTTTCAAAAATTTGGTGCAAGTAGATAAGTGAATTAAAAGTTAAGTTTTTTTAATGACAAAAAAATTTGGTGATTTCAACGAAAGATCGTGAGCCAAAAAGTGGCAAAGTTTTTAAAGTTGTTTTTTTAATACAATTAGAAATAATTTATTTTCCAGTTGACATTTTTGACAAAAACAAAGCCTATTTGGAAGATGTCAATTATTTTTAAAAGTTAAAAAATTGTTCTTTTTTGTTTTCCATATCAATACTTTGGACCCTATATTCTTGTTATATTTAAATTTTTATACAAGACCTATTTTACTTATTATTTTGTGTTTTGGAATAAAATTATTAATTAACTGTTATTTTTCTAAGGTTGCTCACCTTACATTAAAAGTGTGAAACGGCCCTTAGACAGACGTCATTTTCACGTTTTGAAGGTTTTGAAACGCCAAATTTGACGTTAAAGTTAAATACAGTAAATTTTCAGAAAGTGTCAAAAATTTTATTAATGAATTAATCAAAAACATGCAATTTTTTTAGTGAAGTTTTTATTGCATAAAAAATTCGGAGATTTTAGTGAAAAAGCAAGAAAATGGCATATTAAAATTTTTAAAGTTATTTTAATACAATTAGAAATGATTTATTTTCCAATTGACATTTTGTCATATACCAACTTATCAAAATTAAAGCTTATTTGAAAGATGTCAATCATTTAAAAGGGTCTTTCAAGTTAAAAAGTGTTGAAAAATTCTTCTTTTTTGTTTTCCGTTTAAATAACATCCTATGTTCTTATTATGTAATAGTATATTTAAATTTTTATACAGGGGTGCGCCAGAACTCGCACCCCAGAGAAAAATGTAAGGTAAGAATAAATGTCAAAATTATTTGACAGATAGAACTTTTTCCATGTTCTTGGTAAAGTATATTTCATTGAAATTGGCATAATAGGTGGCTATGGAATTTCGTATTTAAGTTTGTAGCCCTGTGCATGTCCCTGATATAACAGGGTTTTTGTTTTTCTTTGATCACCTACATGGTTTATTTAACTGACATGACTGACATTTGTATTCGTTTTTTCACTGTTTTCGTTGGTTGTTCGTTATTCCTACTATTTTTTCAAATTATAATTAAAAGTAGTTCTCTTCAGAACCCCAGATTTAAAGTACACGCTAAGGTATGTTTGAAAACATAATCAATTTCTTTTTGTTCCTGTTTTAGGCATTTTATGTTAATGGAATCAAGTATACCAATTTGAATTAAGCCAAATTATTTTATCCACGGCAAAACAAGATTTTTCAGGCTTCAGTACGCGAAGCTTCATTTTGTACAGATTTCCTTTTTCCACTCCGATCACAACAACTTTACCATTGTTTAAAAATTTACAATTTTGTCCTACATTTTTAATGACAAAATCCAAACCCCTTTTGGCTGCAACTTTCACGGAAAATAAATTGTGTTTCATCTCCGGTGTGAATAAAACGTCTTTTAAAATTCCTGGAAGCCACTTATTATCAACGAAATTCTGTATTTTCTACAAAGCAAATAGTGTATGTTTTTGGTGTCAAAACTACACCTACAAAGGGATGAAACTTTTTATGGAGAAAAACTCTCTCTGAAAACCTTTGAAAGAGAGTTCTTGAAAAATAAAATTTTAACTATCTTAACCTCAGTTTTTTTAGTGACAAATTTAGTTCCTTAATATGTAAAGCTTTTTTCATATTTAAAGCGCAGTTTACACAATCATGGCCTACTGTTATGCCAATTTAAATGAAATGGATTATATCTTTTATCTTACTTGAAATATTTCTCTGGGGTGCGAGTTCTGACACACCTTGTATACCTACTTACTTAATTTATGTTTTGGAATAAAATTAGTATAATTATTTTTAGTAATGTCCTGATTTCGAATTTGCTAAAGTTGGTTACTTTACATTAAAAGTGTGAAACGGCCCTTAGACAGACGTCATTTTGACGTTTTGGAGCCTTTGAAACATAAAATTTGACGTTAAAGCCTGCTTTACAGTAATTTTTTAGAAAGTGTCAAACATTTATTGTCAAGTGGATAAATGAATTAATCAAAAACATGCAATTTTTTTAATGAACGTAAGTTAAAAATTATATAAAAAAATTCGGAGTTTTCAGTGAAAGGTCAAGAGCCAGAAATTGACATAAATGTTTTTGAAGTTGTTTTAATACAATTAGAAATGATCATTTTCCAATTGACATTTTGTCTTCACAAAAATAAAGCCTATTTGAAAGATGTCAATCATTTAAGTGTCTTTCAAGTTAAAAATGATCAAATAATTGTTCTTTTTTGTTTTCCATATCAACATTTTCCATCCTATATTCTTATTTTATTTAAATTTTTGTATACTTACACAAGACCTATTTTGTTTTATATTTTGTGTTTTGGAATAAAATTACTACATGTGTTGTAACATATCTTATAATTATTTTTATTAATGTCCTTATTTTGAATATTCTAAAGTTGGTCACTGTACATGAAAAGTGTGAAACAGCTCTTAGACAGACGTCATTTTGACGTTTTGGAGACTTTGAAACATCAAATTTGACGTTAAAGCCTGCTATACAGTAAATTGATTGATAAGTGAATAAATAAGTTAATCAAAGACATGCAAAATATTTATCAAAGCACTGTTAACTTTTTTTAATGAAGGCATGTTTTAATTACAGAAAAAATTCGGTATTTTCAGTGAAAAGTCAAGAACCAAAAATTCTCATATTAAAGGTTTTGAAAATTGTTTTAATAGAATTAATATTCATTCATTTCATCGTCTGATATCAATAATTCAGTGTTGCAAACTTAATTTCAAGTGACAGATCACTTTGATCGGAAATTTATTAAATTTTATCAATACTAACGTGATTGGCCAGTGATAAGCGATACAAACAATCGCACCACAACGAATACATCTCAGCCTTCTTCCTCCTATACTGCAACTTCTGTCTAAACAATTTGAATTTCTCTGCCTTGTCCATATCATTCGTGACAGACTGAGGCTTCGCTAGCGCAGTCGGCGGTTCAGGAACATCCAATTTCGCCGATCCTCCCTTATTAAAAACCTCCAAAATGACATCCAAAATATCGGTATTAACCTTCCACGCCACTGCTGCCAACTGATTCAGTGCATCCAAAGGCGGATACAACTGCTGAAGCTCACTTTGATACAACCGCTGTTTCTGACACACGGCTTGTGGGGGCAATCTGACAACATCGCACGGCATTACCAAATACCCCCCGTTATCGACACAAGTCCATGGAACGGGTGGACAAAACATCGGGAGTTCATTCGCCGGAAAAGTCAACGTTTCCGGCATCGATGCCCGGAATAACCGGGACAAAACCGGATGCGGCTTCACCTCCTCCTTCAAAATCCGGCCCTGAGTCCGGAACACGGTATAAAAAGCCGGATGGTGGTTCCGATTCTTGACGTTGGCCTTCATGGCGTTAACATCGACTTTCAAATCGTGCATTACGATTTTATAGAGGAATTTCCCGATGGTTTGGAGCGTTGATGGGGACCAACCGCGATGATCCATAGTCAGAGTCGCCCCCTTGTCTTTCAAACTGTACTCGAACCATTGCCATTGCTGTCGGGGATTCACACAATGCATTTTCCCCGGTAAAACATCAAGAATCTCGTGTTGGTTTGCATAAGCCTCGCAATACCTCGAATGAATTGAGGTGACCTTATCCAAGACACCTGTCTTTTGTTTACGCAAAATTTTGTACCTCGCATAGACTTTATTCCCCAAATCGCGGTACAACTGGTTCACTGTTGGACTATAAGTCTCTGAACCCTCAGCGATTTGTTTCGCTTCGTTGACAAGGATTGTGACAAAGTCCCTAAGGGGGATACTCCTCAGGTAGATTTCGTGGTTAAGGGGGCTTTTTTGTGCAGCTAACGCACTCAAATCGCGACTGAAAGCCTTCGCAGCCGTCTCCTCCCAAACCCTGATTTGTTGGTTCATTATTTCGCGGTATTTGAGCACCTCCTCGGAGACTTTACCCCGATTTTCGATACTTTTAACGACCAAATGACCGGTTTTCTCCAACTCTAATTGTTTCTCAACAGCTGATTTCATAAAACCGCAAAAAAGCCCACTTTTGGGTTGTGTTTCTTGGGGCGGGAGTAATTGACTAGAGTGGTTCAAACTATTGACCAGTTCGTTTTTGTACTGAACCACTGGTTCGGTGTATTTTGGGGTATAACTAGGGTCGAATTTTTGCATTGTTGCCAAGACTATTTCTCGCTCATCGTTGAGGAAAATCCCCTCGTTGAGCATCCGATCGAAGGTGAAGCCCCCTGAAATGGCCTCTTTGGCATAAATCCGAATCTGTTTCAAATAATGGTCGTGAAAATTCGCCCTTCCGTAACACTCAAGAATCGCAATGTAACTCTGCATGTCAAACTTGACATTCTCCTTCCGTATCATCGCAATCACCTCTTCGAGTCGCGACGTTTCGCCCTTGGTGGCAAACCCCTTCAGTAGAGCATTGTAAACCTTGATACTTTTCATGGTAGAAAACGTCAAATCTTTCCCTCTTGTCGCGCGCTGGTTGTGGAAGATGAGCGCGTTTAGGCCCCGTGTCGGGGTTTGCAAACTGGCGCACATCTCTAAATACGACCCCAGGGTTTTGACCGAGATTTCATATCGCGCTTTTTTGCTTAAATTCATTTTGGGGACGGGGTCAGTGACCTCGCTTATCTCTGGCGGTTCCTCGATTATTTCGGGTTGTAAAGAGTCGATTTTTGGGATTGTTTCGAGGATTTCGTCGACGGGAAGTTGGGGCTCGATTTGGGGGATTTCGGTGATGGTGACAAGACGCGTTTCCTGGGTCTTGGCGTTGAGAATGTCGGTTTCTACGGCGGAAATGGGGTCAATCGCGGCCAAGTTGTTGTAGGTGTGCTCCTGGACGTGCTGGTTGTCTTTGGTCAAGTCTTTGAGTTTGTGGAGTTCACTGAGGTTTAGATTTGTTGAAGCGAGGAGTTTGAGGTCGTTCCAGGTTAATTTCTTGATGCAAGTTTTTTGTTGTTTTGCGTTTGACTCGGTTACTGTAATACTAGGGTTAAGACACGTTTCACGATTTTTGACACAACTTACCGACTAGTAGGTCATAATAGGATTTCTTTGATTTTGATCTTTTGCGGATCTTTTTTAGTACTAAATTGGGGTTAGTGCTAGTGGACTGGTTACGGGCACATGCTGTAACGGTATTTTTTCGTAAATGGTACCCTTTTTCACGTAATACTTACCAATACAGTAATTATTTAGTTGGGTCTTGAGAAGGCCGCCCTGGTCCCTAACCTTAAAATTTACATTTTCGCTGTTAAAACTGGATGACAAACTTGGCAACTTCCGCAAAGACGAAATTCGGGTGTTAAATAACCGATACATATTCGAGGAATCGTTATTTCATGTTAAAATTAGTAAAAAAGTGTAAAAAACGGTAATATTTGACATTCACGTGCACTCAACCACAGCCATCACAATTACATAAGTTTAGTACCGAAGTTACTCAGAAGAGGACGCAATTAAAATCTAAAAATTGTCAAATTCAAAGAAACAAGCATGAAAATGTTAAAAAAATACAAAACATGTTTTGTAATTAAATTTAGTGGCACATATAACGTAATAAAACCTAAAAAAAGTATTTATGTTACATTTTTTGCGCTCTTACAATAAACTGTAACAAACTTTGAACTTCTTACTACTGGTGTATAGATGGCCAAAAAACAAAAAATAAAGCATGGTTTTAATAATTGCACGCTCCGATCAGTTTTAACAAATCATCAAAAAATACAGTTTTTGCGTGAATTGCACACACTAATCCACCAATGTGACAACTCTAATTATTTTTTTTTAGAAAACAAAAGCTTACAATTACAGGAAACTGTATAGAAAAATTATGTCACGTCCGCAAATATTAAAAAAATACGAAATATGTTTAATAAAAAAATTTACGTTATTTTGTGTCTTTCAAAGAACTCTAACAAGCTTTGAGATAGTTACTACTGGTCTAAACACCGTGATTATTTAGGACTCTTTAAGTTGGCAACAGATTTGAAATTATTTTCGTTAATAATTTGTAACAATGCAACCGCATACCATTTTGCTTGACAAATACGTGACGGACAACTCCCCAAAATTGTTAAATTGTTGTTAATCAGAAGCCTACTCTAGTGGTTTTCTTGAAAAATTAAAGTCAGGATTGCCAACAGATTAATTCATTATTCATCAAGCCAAAAAACAAAAAATAAAAGATGGTTTTTGAATAAGTGGAACAATCAGGTTTTTGTGTTTTTGATAAGTTAACACAAATACCATTTTTTATGAGTCACAAGTGAGTCAACATTATAAAAAAACACAAGGAAACTGGATTCACAAAAATTATATCAAATTATATGTAAAATACTTACAAAAATACAAAATATGTTTAATTAATAAATTTGGAAGCACAAACACCGTAATAAAGTCATTGACTAACATGGGCGTCGTTACAAATTTTTTTAGAGAGGGGCAACCTCATCGCAGTTTAAAAATACATATTTTATTACAAACACAAAAACATGCTATACAAAATAGGAATATAAAACCATATTTTTTCTAACAGAAATTATAAATGAAAACATAAGACAGGAATCTCTAAAACTATAAATTGGAGTATGAAAGTGTAGAAGTTAAAAAAAAATAAAAAATAAAAAAATATAAAAATTATAAAAGTTAAGCATGAAATAACACAAATCAGTAAATACATGAACCAATAAATACTAAGAAAAATGGTAACTGGAAATCAAAACATAAAATAAAAACTCTTTCAAAATACATTTAAAAAACAATAACCAATAGAAATAAAAAAATTAAAAGAAATAAAAGTTTTAAATTTCGTTTTCTCAACCAAAATCATCTATGATAAAAAAAAATAAAAAATGTTCAATCGTGTTTTATACAAGATTTTTTTCAATTTGGTTGTGAAAAGCATAGGCATTAAATTCGAATTTAAAATCTGTGATTTCAATAATTTTCCAAAATCATACTAAGTCGTGGCGTTGCTATGAAAATAGTGTTATTTGTTTTCTTTGTCACATTTTTTAACACTAGTGATAAAATAAAGTCATATTTTATAACTTGTGATAAAATTAAACACATTTGACATCACAATGGTTGCTTTTCACAACAAAATTGGAAAAAAAAATAATTTACCGCTAACGGAATAAAACTTCTGAAAAATGTCTTAGGCTAACTTCCAGGGGTGGAGCGCATGCCCCACCTTGCCCCCCCCAAATGACGCCCATGTTCACTAACGTTTTTCTCGTTGCATTTATTGTTCTTACAGAAAACTGTAACAGGCCTTGAGGTTACCGCTACTGGTGTGTAGAGGGCTTGAGGGCAATGATTGAAGGGTGGTTTTGTACTATTTTTGAATAATTGCACCGATCAGTCTTCTTGTGCCCTTCGACAAGGCAACAAGAAGAAAACAGTTCTTCGGTGAGTCGCACACAGATCCACAGGTGAGTCAACTTTGCATAATCTTCATTTTCGAAAAAAATCACTTTGAATTGGAGCGGTGGAAAAAACCGCTCCTTGAAGTCGCCGCTTGATAAATCCAATTAATTTTGAAAAAAATCCGGGGCGCCAGCATAATTCGCAGCCATCTGTTAGTCTTTAGTTAAGAGAGTGGACCCCAACCCTCATCTTGCTTCTAGGAAGAGTCGATCAGCCTTGGGGGAAAGGTCGAATGGTCGGGTCATAGATACACAACTTATCGCGAAATAATTAAATTTCTTCTCGCATTAATTGATTTCGTGGTGTTTGTGTTTTTAGGACGATGTGTCGGTTTGTGTTAATTTTGGGTGTTATTGCCGCCACTTCCGCACCAGCAGCAGCTGTGGGAAGAAGCACAGTCACGTGAGTATCAAAAATAGTTCTTGATGAGGAAAATATAATAAGTCGTAATCACTTAATTTTCACTCAAAGAGTGTCGCCACTTGGGGGGTAAACGAACTTGGGTTTATTTATATATTCCATTCGCATCTGGACTGCACACAAGATGCACTTTGATGATTTATGTGGGTTTATGGGGCGATAAAGTCGAGATTTGATGTTTTTTTTTAGTAACGATGACATCCGTGATGCCATCCTTCAAGTGGTTAATGTTGTGCGGGCTACGGAGGATAAATTGGAAAGGCATGAGTACCGAGAAAGGGTACTGGGGGAGCAATTGAAAAAAGGCTTGATCTCAATTGATAAAAGAATCAAGCTTTTGGAGCCCTTTAAAGGAACGATTAATAGATTGGATCAGAGACTGGCGGCTGTCGAGACGATTTTGATGAAGGATGAACGAGAGAGGATTCAGCTGCAGAAGACCTTTGACACGGTGGAGGATATACAGAAGAATCTGCCTATTATTGTAGAGAAGTTGAAGAGCGATATTATTGATAAGGTAGGATTCTACAGAAAAAATAAACAAGTTTTGGTGTTTTTTTTTTTCTGTAAAAAATCTTTGCTCAACTTCCTCCTACGAGAATTAGCAAAGATGGTTCCTATATTTTGTTTTTTTCCTGATATTTTTTATTTCCTTTTTTCTTTTATTTATTTGTTTTTCATGTACTGTTTCAGGTACTGTTGTTTTATTTTTTTTCACGTATTATTAACATTTCAAATTTCACAAAAGGAAATATTTATTTAATTGATTAAACATTTTTGCAAATATTTGAAAAATTTTTCTTTGACTTATTTTTTTTAATCTCAAAAACTATAAAAATCGGTAAAGCAAGTTTAGTTATTTTGACTTCTTTTGAGCCCTACAATTACCTGTTAAAATATTTGCACAAACTTTAAAATTACGCTGTATTTAGTTTTAATTATACAAGATGAACAAAAAGTATGAATCCAAGTGTTTTTTTAATCATTCGTTTTCAGAAAATAATATTTTGTTGTGTTTTTGCGTTGTGCGATTTTTTGTCAAAATGGCAACTTATATGAAATTTTTTTTGCTAAAAAAAACTGTAGATAGATATAATCCTTAAATTATCTCATTTATAAAAGAAGAGTGTTTTATAGAGGGTTGCATCTGAAAAAATGAAGAATTTTGCAAACTCAAAACAAAAGAAAATTTGAAAAACCTTTCAGTTTTTTAAATTGTTACAAGGGGCCCTTAATTCTGAAATTAATTGTACAAATTTTTTGAATTTAGTCGAAATTGGAATTATTTGGAATTACTGGAATTCTTTTAGAAATGATCGGAGATAATTGTTTTGAAAATTACGTTGCATTTCTAAGAACTATCGGAATTAATTGGGAATTACAGAAATTAACTTGTAACCAATGAAATTATCGGAGTTTTCGTGAATTTTTTTAGAATTATTCGAATTTTTCTAAAATTACTAATTCTTTTTGCAAGTATCGGAGATAATTTCTTTTCATAATGACGTTGAATTTCTTCCAAGTATCAGAATAATTTTGGAATTATCGAAGTTACTGGAATTACGGTGTAATTTTTTTAGTATTGGAATTAATTCTACATATTATTTTCAAGTTAACGACCCCTCGAATTATAATTATTATTAAACTTGTTTTTTTCTCTAATATTTTGTGTTTCTTTTTTATTTTTATTTATTTGTTAACCATTTCATATAAGTATGGTTGTTTTATTTTTTTTTCTCGTATTATTGACACTTCAACTTTCACGAAAGAAATATGAATTTTATTAATTAAAAAAAAATTTTTTTAACATTTTTGCAATAATTAAAAAAAATCTTTGATTTTGATAATAACGATGTGATTTCTTCTCTTTTTTAATGTAGGTTATTTTATACTTCTAAACTTTTAGTTTTTGAAATAATTATTAATAAAAACCTCAAATTCAACAAAAATACATTTTTGAAGAACATCATCATCAATACCACCAATTTTACATTTTTTTTGTTAATTTTGCTGTAATCTAACTTGTAATCGAATGATTATAAAGATTGCCTTGTACTGGAAAAGTTACGAGAGCTGATTGTTGCGGTTGCGGTTTCTCCAAAAAAAAAACAAAAATTATTTCAAATTGGACTTGGATTTTTTGAGAAGTTAATAATAAACTTGAAACATAAATAAAACTTACAACTTGTAATAAATTTGCGCTTAAATGAACCATTAAATATTAGTTGATTTTCCAAATATTTAACACTTCGTAAAAATATTGATTCGGAAAGGAGCAAAAATATACAAAAATACAAAAACAAGTTTATTACCGTCTGTTCATAAAGTTCATAAACTTTAATCAAAACATTTCGAATCCTCTGCCATAAATAATCTTATGTTTATAACAGTTCCAAATCTGTTGAGCTTTTAAAAAATGTTGTACCAACTCATCTAGCAACACAGTTTTTTATGAAAATAAAAAACATTTAAATGCCAACGTTGCCACAATTCTTTTTTGCAGTTATCCAACTTGCAAGCTAACACCCCTAAATCGGACCCCCTCACCGCCCTCACCAAAGCCGACCTTGACAAACTCCAGTCGGACCTCGGCGGAAAAATCGACGAAGTCACCGAAACAATCAAATCGATGGAAAAAGACTTAAACAAAATGAAAGAAGAAAATAAAAACATGAGAGACTTGAACAACAAATCATCGGAGAATTTGGAAAAAGTCAAACGTCAATTAAACTCGAGCGAGCAACTTTTGGAGAAATACGAGAGCAAACTGGCGGAGTACAACAACAGGATTCCTGCCGTTCCAAGCAACTTCAAGGACCAGAGCAACTCGGACTTCCTCCAAGGTGGTTCCTTTCCAGTTTTACACTAGGTTACAAGCTAAAATTTCAGCCCTCGACGTGCAGAAATCCTCCATGGAGGCGATCCTCTCCAAGCTGGAGCACGTGCCCCAGCTGGCCGACCTCGAGTCCCTCCAGAACGCCACCCTGAAGGAGGGGCAAACCCTCCGGGACGACATCGCGAGCCGACACCGCGACGTCACGAAATCCATCGACGCCATCACCGGAAACATCGACAACCTCTCCCGGAAGTTTGCCTCCAGTTCGCAGAATATTCGCTCGGAGATCGAGAATTTGGGGAAGGTGGAGCAGGTGATGGTGCAGACGGCAGATAGTGTGCTGGATACGAAGAGGAGAGTGGAGTATGGAGTGCATCAGATAATTGCAGAAATGCAACAGTTGATTAAAGCGAGTTCCAAGGACGTGAATGATGCGATTAGTGAGAGGTTTGATACGTTCGAAATGTCCGTTTTGGATGAGGAGACGGGCGCTTTGGCCAATTTGACGGCGAAAATCGGACAGGAGATTGACCAAGTGTGGAGGCAGATTGGGATTATGCACCAGCAGATGAGTGCGAGCACGGACACGCTCAATAGACTGCAGAATCAGACGGATCAGTATGTGAATGGGTCGCTCAATGTCATGGACAACATGAAGGGAAAAGTAAGAATTTTTATGCACTCAAACCCCACCCTTAACTTTCCAACAAAAATAACAAAGTTGAATTAGTAACGAGAATTTTCAGAAATCGTGGTTGTAGTGACCTGACCTGACCTGACCGAGATTTTCAAACTATAAAACTTGTGTTTAGTATTGAATAAGAAATTTTACTGAATTCAAAAATTATTGTAAAGAAATCTGTCAAAATTGACAAAATGCTAAGTGTAATTTACCTCTATTTTGATTTTCTAATAGACATATTAAGCAAGTTACGTCATCATGTGCGATGTCTTAATAGTTAAAAGGCGACTAGATCAAATTTTGACTTTTAAAATTGACTTTACCAATTGTCATAACAATTCTTAAATCGATTAAAGTAAAAAAAAATGTATAAAAACGACATAAAGATGGCAAATTACGAAAAATAGTATAAAAAACTTGTTTCATATGAATGTAGACCTTGAAGCACTCATTCTTTTTAAACTCGAATTCGTGCTTCAAGACTAGTCTTATTGTTTTTCAATATAATAATATAATAATATTGACAAAATGCCAATTTTATGTACGCACTTAAAAAAGACGTTGTGATTGACGACGTACTTTACAGAAAAGCGTAAATTAAGGGTAACAAAGGGATTAAAAGGTAAGGAAGAAACAGTATCAAATATTAGTGTTGGAAAAAATTGTTATTTTTATGATTAAAAATGAGCTCAAATTAATTTAAATAGTGGTTTGCTACTTTAGTGATTTTTCTCTTTTAAAAATGTGCACTTTTGAACCATCTGTATAAAAATAACTGAGCTTTTAAATTTTTAAAACTAAAATTAAAAAAAAATAATTTACCTATTTTAAATTATTAAATAAATAGGGTTTAGCTTCGCCACATAAAGTATCACTTTTACTTCTAATAACATAAAATACTAATTTGTTTAATTTAAATAATGAAAAAATAGTTTTTTTGGTATTACAAACAATTTTTTAAAGCTATCAAAAACATATTCAAATTCGAATTTCTCTGTTTTTGAATACGTTCTCAAAGATAGCTTTTTATGAACACATTTTAGTCTCAAAATGAGTCTTTTGTTGACTTTTCAAATTAATTCCTAAAATGAAGTGTTTCGTAGACTTTTTCGGAAAAAGGCTCATTTCAAGGGATTATTTTGAAAAGTCCAAAAAATACTTACTTTAGGGACTACATTGTGTCTGTAAAATAGCTAATTTTGGGAGTATATACAAAAAATGCACTTTTCTTTTCTTATTTTTGTTGCAAATTTTTTATTAAGAATTATAAAATTATTGACTTGAAGTGGAAAAAATTCTACATAACTAAATGAAAAATAAATAATCGATACCGGTCATTGTGCCCAAATAATTTATAAAACTTGTGATGGTGACTTAAACATTGGTTTTTTGAGTAAATTTTCTTTTCTGAATTTTTGAAATTAATTGACGATTATTTTCCCTGTATTTCAGTTAGTTACAAATTGCCACTTTGTTGATTTTTTTCTTATAAAAATGACAACTTTTGACCTACCTGTATAAAAAACTGAGCTTTTAGAAATTTAAAACAAAAAATAAAAAAAAATATTTATTTTAAATTATTAAATAAATAACGTTCAGCTCATAAACTCTCACTTTTACTCCTTATAACATAACTAATTTGAAGAATGAATTAATAGTTATTTTTTGTTGCAAGTTCTTAAAATTCAGTTTGTTTTTTACAAACAATTTTTTAAAGCTCCCAAAAACACATTCAAATTCGAATTTCTCTGTTTTTTTGTATACGTTCTCAAATATAGCTTTTTTATGAACACATTTTAGCCTCTAAAATTAGTCTATTTCGGACTTTGTCAAATTAATTCCTAAAATAAAACGTTTTGTAGACTTTTTCGGAAAAAGACTCATTTTAGAGATTATTTTGAAAAGTCCAAAAGACTTGTTTTAGGGACTAAATTGTGTAAAATATTTTTGGGAGGATGTACAAAAAATGCACTTTTCTTATTTTATTGCAAATTTTTTGTCAAAAATTCAAAATTATTGACTTGAAGTGGAAAAAATTATTCTACATAACTAAATGAAAAATAGGAAATCTATACCGGTCATTAGGCCCAAATAATTTGGAAAACTTGTGATGGTGACTTAAACATTGATTTTTTTGAGTAAATTTTACTCTTTTGAATTTTTGAAATTAATTGACAATTATTTTCCCTGTATTTCAGTTAGCTACAAATTGCCACTTTGTTGATTTTTCTCTTATAAAAATGCCAACTTTTGGACCAGCTGTTTGTAAAAAATGACCTTTTACATGTTTTATATAATTTAAAAAATTTTAAATTTAAATAATAAAAAATGCACTTTCCTTATTTTTAAAGCAAACTTTTTGTTAAGAATTACATACATGGAGAACAGAAAATCTAAACTGTTGAATACGAAAGCAAAACAGATTATAAATAACTAAAATTTTAAAAGTCTAGTAAAAAACATAGGTGGATGCACTTAACTCTTTCTGTTTGATTTCCTCTAATTATAACCATGAGAAATAATAAACGCCAACTGAAAATAAAACAATAATTTTCATGATGAAAAATTACACATACGGGTCATTGAGCTCAAATTGGATAATAAATAATAATTTATCTTTTTCTTTCCACTAATATTTGCAAACTTATTATTTTTCGTACTTGCCACCTATGTTATAACAAATTGTTCCATTACAACAACAAAAAAAACGTTAATTTAAACTCTAGCACGTGTGATAAGTGCATTAAAAATCTCTAAAATATAATAATTTTTAAGATAATAAACGATTCTATTTTCGAGGATGACACTCTATTTATTCCTACATTGCGCAAATATTTCAATCAGCAATAAATTTTTAAATTTGTAGTGATTAGTAGTTTGAAACATAAATAAAAAATATTTACAAACAAGTAAATTTATCGGTTTATTGACAGAAATTTGTGATTATATAAACACATTTTTCCCAAATTTTTAAAACATCATTTTCACCATGATTAATCCTTGATACAGCACCCACACGTGCTGATAATTTTTCCATAAAATAAATAATAAATAAATATTTTGATTTGAATGAAAGTGCACACATCTTATCGCAATGTAAACAATTTGTCTTTCCGTAATTTCAAACGTTGTCAATTTTTATTTGATAACAGCAAGGTCAAGGCTATGTGAAAACTACCAATTTTTCTAGTGCCTTATTTTATGCAGCTCGGAATAAGAAAACTTATTTATAAGTACAGTAACTATTTTTCTTTTATAGGTATCAAAGCACATTTTTTTTTCTTTAAAATTCTTTTATCATGTCATCTTGAGTCTTAAAAATAAATTTTTATTTTAAAACACTCACAAATAATGAACTTTCCTTTACTTGTATTAACTACTATTGTGTTTAGTTTTTTAACGTGAAAATGTAAAAAGTCAAGTTCTGGTTGCCTTATATGTCCATCATTGTTTCACAACAAAAACAACGAACTTGAAGAATGCGAATTTTAATTAAAAAAACTGCGCTTGCGATCAGTATAATTATCTAATATTCTAGCCAGCTGCGTTGTTGACTTAAGCGTTTTATTATTTTTTAGGTGGGCACCATCACCAGCCGCATCACCGAAGTGGACGAAAATCTGAACTTCCTCCTGGGTAAATTATCCTTAGTGTCTCAAGAATTCAACCAGATCAAGACAGGCCTCGGCAAGGCCCTCGACGAGATGCGAGCCACATACAAGACAGTGCGAGAGAAGGTCAACGAGGGTCCAGGTCCCCATAAAATCGACGACCCCGCTTCAAATTAATTAACACTTAGGTTTAGTTTTTGTGTGTAACTACAACTAATAAAAATTGGAAGAAGTTTTTGGTAAAATAAGTGGGTTGCCACTTTGTGAATATTTATATTTATTTCATTTATGCAAATTATGCGCCTAGGTACAATATAGAATGCGAGATCGGCTGCAATGCAGCCAACCCTACAGATTTAAAATCTTCCACACTTTCAAATTGGTACTCAGTACGTACATCAGATCAGTATATTTTGATTTACTCACAGATTTTCGTATATTTTTCAAAATATTATTTAATTGCACACATTATGAAAATATATCTCGTATAAGAGGTTATACAAGGGGGTGGGAACAGAGGAGTGGGGGGGCATTTTCATGGTGATATGCAATTATCTTTATTAAATTCTCTGTGTCCTTAAATCTATGAAATTTTATTTACAATTTTAGGAATTTAGGTCGTTTCATTTTATCAAATCTGTGAGCAAAGTAAAACACTAATCAAATAATTCGAAAACAAACAAACGAAATGTAAACAAATATTTACAAGTTGCATATAGTGGCAGTGAACTATTTATAAACCCAACTTTTTTCTTCAATTTTATAATTCGATCAGAGTCGAGCTTTTTAAATAGACGAAAAGGCAAAAATACAGCTATGTTATCGTATAGGCGTTATTCACTCTGCCACACGTTCACAATATAATACTTACACGATTAGGACGGATGGGTACAACTCAACTCTTTTTTTACAAACAACAAAAAAGCAAAATCCTGGAGTTTCGAAGCGGTTTTATTGCGCAAATCGAGCCGTATTTTTGCCGAAATCTCGGTAACAATTGGGGAAAATCGACAAGGGGGACGTGTGCAAAACAAACTGGCCGGAAAAATACCTGTCGAAAACAAACAAAACGACGTTATTGCATGGACGTTTCGGTTCTGATATGTCGATCTACCAAACGAAAATTTTATCTCGTCCCCCTATGCACATTTTCCGGTTATTACATTCCTAAAATCTAGCTAAATTCAAAAAGTTCTCTTTTAAACAATATCTCAACAATTTGCATTTTCTTGTTATTTTTCTTTAGTGTTCATCTATCTACACTAGTGAGACATTTGGTTGACTAGTTGCAGGAATGAAAAGGATCGAAAAAAAGAAACAAAATTGTAAAAATAATATATTCAAATGGCGGGGCTATTTACACGCGAAGCGTGAACGGAATCAAGGCTACTTACACGCTATTAAACGAAATTTCATCAATCATTTCGTTCTCTTATAATAAAATTGTGAAAAACAAAAAAAATTTCAAAAAACAAAAAAGTATATAACCAAGCGTTTTCTGCTTAAACTATCTATTTTATAGAAAAACTAACTTATAAAAAACAAACCCATAAAAATAGACCAGTTTTGCGTTTTTTTTTTAATTTCTGGTTTATAACAATTTTGTCTAGACAGACTTTCTTATAAGGTTGCCAATTGAAAAAAAAAACAAATAAATAATAAAAACACAGAACTTGAAATTTTGAAAAAAATAAACCAAGGATGCAAACACTTTTTTAAACAATAAAATGTTTCTTAAAATCTTATTTCAAGCTGAATTGAATAAAAGTTACTCAATTATGAAAAAAGATCATATATATACATAATGAAATTGTAAAAAAACAAAAATACACCTAAAAGCAAAAAAGTATAGAGAGAATTTTGCGGAAAAACTTTATTTATGAAAAGCAAATCCATAAAAATGTGACCAGATTTAAATAATTTTTTTAATTTAGTTTATTTTAAGTTCTGCGTTTTTTTAATTGTTTGGTCTATACGTCATTTTTGTCTAAACAGACTTTCTTATAAGGTTGCCAATTGAAAAAAAAAATAAAAAATAAAAATACAAAACTTGAAAATTCGAAAAAAACACATTTACAGAACAACATTTACAAACAATCATAGATTGTTTTTGAATCAAAATAAGCAGTATTTCAATGTGCAAAATTTCAATAGACATTAAAATAGACTAAAGTTGCAAACATTTTAACAAAAATTGTTTCTTAAAAACTTGTGTGTATTATTTTAAGCTTGATTTTATCCCCAAGAATGAAAACATATCGCTAGTAAACATAACGAAATTGTGAAACCAAAAGACAAAGCATTTTCTGCTCAAACTATACAGGCTGTTAAAAAAAGATTGTAAATTATTTAATGAGGTAATAGGATGGACCAAAATAAAAGTTTTTATAAACATGGGTCCGCAAAGTAACGGTTTTGGAGATATTGAATGTGAAAATTTTTAGAATTTCTAGTTTATATGTTAATGGATTTATAATGAAATATAGGAAATAGGAAACTGTAAGAATTTGGCTAAAAGCTTCTCTTTTTTGTTTGCAAATAAATGTTTCAAAACATGAATAATTTTCGATATCTCCGAAACCGTGCAAAACTTAAGACTTTTTTGTCTGTTTTGGTCCATACTATTACTTCCTGAAATATTTTACAATCTTTTTTTAACACCTTGTATTTTTTGCGAAAATTAATTTATCAAAAACCAAACCCATAAAAATGTGACCAAGTTTAATGACATTATTTTTTCTTAAATTATCATTTATTTTAACAATTCTGTCTAGACAGACTTTCTGATAAAGTTGCCAAATGGAAAAAAAATACAAAACTAGAAATTTTGAAGACCATATTTATCGTACATAACCGAATCCACATCATATTGTTTTTGGGCCAAAATGGACCGTTTAATCAAAAACTGCTTAGTTCTTAACTTTGCTTGAAAAAAATTAATAAACATAAAAAATAAGCTAAGGTTTTAAACAAAACGTGTGTATTATTTTAAGCTAAATTATGTAGATAAAAACAAAGTAATTATGAAAATAAATATCAAAGTTTTTTTTATTAATACAGAGTGTGCCAGAATTCGCGCCCCAGAGAAAAATGTCATGTAAGGAACATGGAAAAAATGTGAAAAAATTCTATCTACAAAAATTTCGAAATTATAAGTTTAAATTTTGCACTTTAACTTTATTTATTTTTGTTGGAAAAATAATTTTCCAAGTTTTTTTGCTACAGGTTATTAGAAGAGGAAACAAGGGAACTGTATCTTAAATTGTAACTCTTTTATTTGCAAAATTTTTGAACCTTTACTAAATAATTATAAAAACATATATATCAACAAAATCATCAGTATCATTAAATAGACATAAAAAGATCTCAAATGTCAAAAAATAAATTTTTGAAATAATTTTTTAAACATTTTTTCCATGTTCCTGATATCTTATCTTACTTGAATTTTTTATCTGAGGCGCGAGTTCTAACACACCCTGTATAATATACCAGGTGAGTTAAGTTTTATCTGCACCTTCTCTTCATAATTAAACTAAAATTATGAAATAAAACAAGGTTTAATTCAATCATTTATCCGATAAACTCGTAAAAAAAACGATTTTATCAAAAAATCGTATTGCTGTTTTTCGTATAAACTGATCAAAAATTTTAGAAAATTAGAAAGAGATGTTTTGGGGCATGGGAACAAAACTTGACCCACCCGGTCGATATATTTTTTTCAACTTGATCAAAATAACTGATTAATTAATCAAAAACCGATTAGTTATTTGTGCTTCGGGACGAGGCGAAGCCGAGCAAAAAAATCATTTTAGAGACGTAAAATAGCTATTTTGTGTAGAAAAAATAATTTTAACGTGTATTTCCGTCCACGTTTCGCGTGTAAGCAGTCCGACGTATAAAAATAAAATATCTAACCAACAAAACAAATGCTGTCATAGGATGCACTTAATATCTAAAGGAATGTGATTGAATGTAAGCCACGATTTGTTGAATTTCGCCTCAGCCGAGAAAAAATCGTGTAAATAACAACGTGCCACATTAAAAGTGAACGGACGACCATCCAGAGGGCGCGCTTGTCGCACGGAACTATCAATTTACGTACCCTGTTTGTCACAGTAGCGAACACAAAACCGAAAATTTGTCGTTGTATGCCGATTGTAAAGTAACAAACTCAAGAAAAAAAATAAGAAAATGTGGAGGGGATAGGGACGAGGGAGAAGACTAAATGGATATTGCTAAAGGGAGGAAGACAGACAGCATCAGTCCGTAACAACACACATTATTTACAACCCGTAATGTTATTTTATGTACACTTAAAAGAAACGATGTCGATTCGTACCGGAAACAGACGACGGTTTTTTTTATTGTCACAGAACGGTACAAAGGGTTGTGGTGGTAGTTTCGTTTGAGGGCTTAAGGCGGGGGTTGTTTCTGCCGTGTGTTGCGTCCATTTTGCGGCGCTTCCGGTACGAATCGTCGCCTCTTTAACGGTCAACAAACTCGTTTTTTTCTTATTACAATAAAAACAGAAGGAACAATGGAGACTCACCAACGACACTCCCAAATCGGTTTGCACAAATCAACTCTTAAAAATTTACAAAAAAAAAAAAAAACTAAACGCACAGCACCTAAAACAATAACGCAACCGCCTATCAAAGGACATACCGTATTATACAATGTACAACTATGTACATATTGTCGTTTAATTTAAATATTTTTTAAGTCTGTGCGTGACACTAGCTCGTAGCTTGAAGTTTAGTATTTGTATGTATTTTTTGGTGATTTTTCATTTCTATTTGTTGGTAAAATAGTTGAGTTTTGAGGCACTCGAGTCATTCAATGTTTTGACAATGAATGACCCGAGTGTTTTCCCTAACTGCTCGTGCTGGCCATTGGGCTGACGGGTGACAGAGGGGTACATGTGGCGTCGCGGAGACACCCGTTCAAGGTAATGAGCAGTTTACGTGAGCCCGCGTGGTCCCTGTGTTCGCACAACCAGACGCCTTGCCACGTCCCTAAATTCAATTTGCCTTCGGTTATCGGAATCGTCAACGATGAGCCCAAAAAGCACGCCTTCACGTGGGCCGGCTGCAAAAATACAAACTACTGAAACTAGACATTCAACTATCATAATAAAGTTTAAAACCAAACCAAAGAATTTAGCAAGCGATTAGGCATTAAAAACACTACTCCCAAACCATTTAAAGACAAACCTATGATAAAGAAGTCTTTTTATCGACACAATTTAAATCTGTTAAAAAAAAACAACTCGAAAACTATGAGTCAATTTTTTGGAAAAGAAAAGTTTTATTTTTTTCCAACCGCGTATAACGTGTATGAATATACAGGGTGCGCCAGAACTCGCGCCCCAGAGAAAAATTCCATATAAGATAAGATACTAGGAACATGGAAAAAATGATAAAAAAATTTTATCTATAAAAATTTCGAAGTTATGGGGGTTTAAAGTTTATACTTTGACTCTATTTATTTCTGTTGGAAACATAATTTTCCAAGTTTTTTTGCTATAGGCTATTAAAAGAGGAAACAAGGAAGCTGTATCCTAAATTGAAACTCTGTTCAATGTTACTTGTGGCTTTTATTGGCAAAATTTTTGTCCCTTTACTAAATAATTCTAAAAAAACATATACAAAATCATCAGTATCATTAAATAGATATAAAAAAATGTCAAATGTCAAAAAATAAATGTCAAAATTTTTTTTAAACATTTTTTTCATGTTCCTGGTATCTTACCTTACTTGAAAATTTTCTCTGGGGCGCGAGTTCTGGCGCACCCTGTATGTATTATTAAAACTTATTGAAATACAAACGCCACCAAGCTCCCGGCATTTATTTCAGCTCTAAATTCATAGCTCTTTAATATACAGGGTGCGCCAGAACTCGCGCCCCAGAGAAAAATAAGGTAAGTACTAGGAACATGTAAAAAATGTTAAATAAAATTTTATCTATAAAAATTTCGAAGTTATGAGGTTTAAATTTTGCGCTTTGACTCTATTTATTTCTGTTGGAAAAATAATTTTATATATAATTTTTTTGCTACAGGGGAAAAATAATTTTATATATATTTTTTTTGCTACAGGCCATTAGAAGAAGATATAAGGAAGCTGTATCCTAAATTGTAACTCTGTTTAATGTTATTTGTGGCTTTTATTGGCAAAATTTTTGTACCTTTACTAAATAATTGTAAAAAAACAAATACAAGATCATCAGTATCATTAAATAGACATAAAAAAAGTCAATTTTTTTTGACAGATAGAATTTTTTAAACATTGTTTTCATGTTCCTGGTAGATACCAGGAAGAGGAGATTATCTTACTTAAAATTTTTCTCTGGGGCGCGAGTTCTGGTGCACCCTGTATTCATATAATTTTTTAATATTTGTCTCTCTACGATGTTTTATACACTTTTAAATGCCCTTGAAGTGCATTTCGATCGATTTTGAAATTTTCAATTTTTAGATTTTTGACAAAATTTTGGTCAATTTTTGGTACCCGAAACGGCCTATTGCTAATAACTTCGGAATTATTGGCGCTAGCTCCTTATGTTTGGCACCGTTGAAAAGTACATTTAATTTTCTATCATATAAAAAAAGATCATTTTCCTATGATAAATAGTTATGAAGAAAATTGCTGATAAAGTCAAAAATATCCCAAAATACAGGGTGTTAAAAAAATTGTAAAATATGTAAAATGGTAATAGTATGGTCCGCAAAGTGACGATTTTGGAGATATCGAAAATTTTTACGATTTTCACTAGAAGCTTCTCTTTTTTGTTTAAACAGACTGCAAATAAATGTTTCAAAAAAAAAAGAATAATTTTCGATATCTCCGAAACCGTTACTTTACAAACTCATGTTTGTTAAGATTTTGTTGCTTGTTTTGGTGCATATTATTACCTCCTATCTACTACCACTATCTTTTTTTAACACCCTGTATAAATTCCACTATAATTCTATTGCGAATTTTGCAGTGTTCTCGGCGCTAATCGACTTCCCGGAACATTTTACATACGTAAGGATTAAAACATTATTCATTTTAGATAAATAATGCGGTAATTAAAAAATAAAAAAAAAGAAAAAAAGAATTCTTAACTTTATCTCAAAAACAATATCTCGAAAACTACGCATCGCAGAGTATTTTAACTTGTTGCATCGTGATGTTACGTCTAGAAAACCATATTTCAAGTGTTTTTGCGACTTAAGGTTAATCAATTATATTTACGATTTACTACCCTAACTCCGTAGTTTTTTCATATTTCAATATTTCAACAAAAACTCAATTGATTACAAGCAAAGGTAAACTATGCCGTCATCTCAGCAAAATCACCCTCTATATCAAAAGTTTTTTATAAACCTTTAAGAAAAGAAAAAAAATGCGCTAACGTATACATGACTTTTTTTCAGTTTACTTTGGAATAGTTTTTCTAGTATCTACAAATTCAATTTATTATTTTTTACCGTTGATTTTAACAGAATTTAATTAAGATTAAAAACAGAGTAGTTTGGTCGAAGCCGTTTTTTAAATTTTAACTTCTTCCGACTTTAAACTTTTAATTTCATGGCTGTCATAGGTTTTTTTCTAAAAAAAATTCCAATTCCTCGGTTACTAGAATTTATATAATTTGGATTTTAAAGAAAAATCTTGATAAGTAGCACTTTAACTGGTACATTAGAAGTATTTTTGTACTCAAAATTCGTCAATTTGTGGAAATTTGATTATTTTACAAAAAAAATTGAAGAATTGAGTGATGGTAAAAAATATTAAACAAATATGGAAAAAAAATGTGCTTATTTCGAAGAGTATTTTCAGCTTTTGATTTCATCCAAGTCGCTATCTGAATTACTCTGTATTGTATTATAATAGTTTTCAAAGGTAGGTGTAGGCACTATAGGCCACTGATGAAGACTAAATTGCACATTTCTATTATTTCTTTTTTATAATAAGAATTTTAGCATCCATTGCTTTAAAAACAAAGCGAAAACATAATAATTTTATTGTTTCTTTTTGTATGAACTATTCAAAATTAATTAATACATATTATTAGGAATCGTATAAAAATTAAAAAAACTACACATACACAAAAAAAAATAAAATTTTTCATAGCAAATGCTGAATTTTGTGTATTAATTTTTGACATAAAACTGAAATACAGACTTATTACTGACTCAACCTGTATATTTTTTATGTATATTTTTTAAACAGATGCACATCTGTTTAATTGGTACATTCGTACTAATTAAAAAAATAGATATTCAGAGGAATCGAAGTATTTGGAAACTAATTCGGATTATGGAGGTTCCACTGTACCAATTTTATACAAAAAAAATTACAATAAACCGTTTCAGATTAAAATCAGATAGCCCAAAAATCACTACATTAGAATTCCTTAATACAATTTAACATTTATTTATAGTTAAAAAATAAAATTTAATTTCAAAGGAGCAAATTTTAAACGTTTTAAATTAAAATACACAACGTCGGGCAGTTTGTCAGAGACACAGGAATGGTGATTTTTCGATTCTGTAACGTCTCAGAGTTAATATTCTGTAAAAACACTGGTTTTTCCTCATTGACAACATAATTATTAGATGACATGTGAAGTTAGAGAAGTAGGTCAAGGTTTTTAGCATTTCTCCCATTAGCAACCTTTGGATAATCAATTAAGAGTGTTTTGAGTTAAGCTTGAAGAGTCGAGCAGCTTTGGTGGTCACGTGGGGCACTCACCATGTCGTCGGGGCCCTCGCACGAATGCCTATAGGGCAGCCCCTCAGGCACAATCTTGTTCAACATCATCTCCATGTCGTCTCTGACATCCGGATCCCAACTCTCGTTGAGTGCCAGACTGGCGCTGGTATGCAAGACTGCAATCAAAATAAGAATTAACCTAACGTCCCATGTTGGTGTCTTCGCTTACTCTGTACATGACAGAGGCCCATGGCGAACTGCGACAGTTCGGGCACCTGTCTGAGGATCTCTTCAGTGACCAGATGTACGCCCCTGTGTTGCGGCCTCAAATTGATTTTCTTCTGAAACCAGGCGGAATTACTTTGGATAATTCTCGCCGAAGAAGCCATGTTTGACTTGCTATCACTGTCGGTCGCCAGTTTGAACGTTTATTTTAACAACACTCACAAACAACCCAGACGATCAAACACCACTAAAACACTTCTTGGTATGGCTAGATTCATTATTATCATGAGCAAAACATCGCGGACATTGGTTTATTACAGTTCCAGAAGAAAATTAAAAAGGTTACAGGAGACTTGCCGCAGTGTGAGCGGTTCGTTTCTGACACTTCGGAAACATTCGGCTATGTTCGACCGGGCGCGACCCCAACCCGCCAAACTCAAAATCAAAAACTATTTCAAGTGGAAATCACCAAATCGAAATTTTGGTGAAAAAATTGGCCACAATATTGTTTGCCCATTAGTTAGGAATTTTCTTAAAAAATTATGGTTATTGTCCATTTTTAATTTATTTGTTAGTGGGGGTGGTGTGAATCAAGAACCGACATGACCTCCGTCTGTTTTTGACATTTGACAATTTCAACATTTTGGTTCTAAAGTTAAAAATTAACATTTCTTTCTGGCATTAAGTTTTTATGGGGCTTGGATTACGATTGTTATGATGATATAAAGGGTATAAATATTAGCTAAAACAGTTTTCCCCATCATAATCTACCTGACGGAATGATACACTTTTGACGTACGTCACTAGTCCTGCGTTACTTTAATCACATTTGTTAAAGTGAGATAAATAGCCTCACCGACTTTACACAAAACGTAGCAACCGAGTAACCAAGCTGTTTACAAATGTTAAAAATTGCATGTTCTAAATTCTTTTTTAGCTTTAGTTTCAAAATTGTTACTTTTTTTGCTTTTTTCACGTCTTCAAAATCAAAAACTGAAACTGCCAACCTGTTTTATTAAAAATTACTATGAATGAATTTGCTAGTGCTGCCAACATTGACTAAGAATTATTTAAAAGAAACAACATATTTTTCTTATAATGAGATCAAATTAAATTGAAACTGATAGTATTTTAATTTTTTGCTCAATTTAGCTGTCTTCTTAAAGAAAGTTTGTCAAAAATAATCCAAAACACTCAAATCTCGCGTTATTTTCCCTTTTCCAAGCCTTTAAGCACGTTTTTAAACTAAATTCTCATTTGTTCTGTGAGAGCACATTAAAACTCTCAAAAATCGATCATTAATTTATATGGATATTATTATTTTGACCTAAATAAATGTAATTAGAATTTATTTAGCAAGAAAAATCCTTAGTTTAAGTCAATTTTTATGAACAATATTTAAAAAAAATATCTCAAATTTATCAAAATTAGACATACAGCTAGAAATTCAATTATTTCTCCAAATTTTCTCAAAAATAAGTAGGATAAAAAATAACATGTGTTTTAGCACATTTATCAACAAGAAACGGAATTATTTTGCAAAATTTCATTAAAAACTCGAAAATTGACTTAATTAGGCCAAAAATGAGTGTTTTTTTGAATCTTTAAGCATTTTTTTTAAAGACAGCTCTTTAAATATTTTAGTTTGTTTCTGTCCACTTTGGCCCTTTTTCGAAAAAAAATATTTCAAATAACAAAAACATTCTGTGTTATTTACCCTTTTCAAGCCTTTAAGTACGTTTTTGAACTAAATTGTCATTTTTTCTATGCGATTACATTAGAATTATTAAAAATTGACCATTAATTTTTATAGATATTATTATTTAGCAATTCTTTTGACCTTAATAGGCGTAATTATAATTTATTTCACAAGGAAAATCGTTAAATTTAAATTAAATAAGTTTTTCTGGTTGATATAAAAAAAACAAAATTTTTGAATGTTTTCGAGGTTGTTCAGCCATATAAAAAATCGAGAATATGTTTTTAGGTTGAAATTGCATGTTCTAAATTCTTTTTTAGCTTTAGTTTCAAAATTGTTACCTTTTTTTTTTGCTTTTGCACGTCTTCAAAATCCAAAACCGGAACTGCCAACCTCTTTTATTAAAAATTACTATGAATGAATTTGCTAGTGGTGCCAACGTTGACTAACAATTATTTAAAAGAAACAATTATATTTTTCTTGTAATGAAAACAATAAACTGCGAAAATCAATAACTGGGACCACACATTCGATTAATTCCCGAGCAAATTAATCACAATTCTAGGCGTGTTAAGGGAGCGGCACAAACCACCCCTCGTCTCAATTATGCCAATCATGGCCACGTTTTATGCCAATCCGAATGATACCAACGATCCCTGGATCGAAAAAGCCGCTTTTAACGGCTTCCGAAATTGGCACGTCATGTTTTTCTGCTTTTCGGGGCTCACTGCTATCAGTAAGTGTTTTTTTTTTCTTACACAAACACTAATTAATTACAGTGATTTTGATCTGTTGTTGCGTCAAGTTCAGAGTACCCAGAACCAAACAAGAGATCGAGGGTGATTACAAGCGGAAGAAATTGGCCGAAAAGTTTCAAGAAAGACTCCGCTTGATCCAAAAACAAGACATGGATATTTTGGATTTGCAACAAGGTAATTTTGGTGTAAAAAAAACAACTTAATTATTGATTTTTTGCAGCCTTGAAACTCATTCAAGAGGATTTTGATCAAGAGAATGCCAAGATTCAAGAAAAAGTTAACTTGGATTTGCAACAATTCGCGACAAATTAATCAAATTTCGCGGCAAATTCTTTGCCACCAAACAATTTAAATAATTATTGCACAAGTCGGTATAGTTGTTTTATTAAATTTATTCAACATTAGGTTTTCAAAAAGTTTGGATTAATTATTCTGGAATAAATAAACTGCGACAGGCTTGCCATAACAAGTTGATTTTAGACAACGAATTCCCTGCCAATTTTCCCAGTTTTTGTCTGTCAACTGTCAAAGAGCCTTGAAGCCCGTTAAATTTTACATTTGAGTTTGAATTAGGCCACGTGAAATACCCTAGTGTCCTTGTATTCACTTTTAGAGTAAGTGTTGACCATTTCGTGTGATAATTTTATATAAAATTTAGTTCCAAGATGTCTGGAATTGCTGCAAGTACGTCGAATTAATCAAATTTTCCGCCAAATTTTATGCCACCAAACAATTGAAATAATTAAATTTGGTCAAACTTATGCATTCAAAAAGTTTGGATAAATTATTCTGGAATAAATAATCTGCGACAGGTTTGCCAACACAAGTCGATTTTAGTCGAATTCCCCTGCTAATTTTCCCAGTTTTTGTCTGTCAACTGTCAGAGTGTACTGAAGCCCGTTAAACTTTACTTTAGAGTTTGAATTAGGCCCCATTAAATACCCCAGTGCCCTTTAGAGTAAGTTTTAGTCATTTCGTGTGATACTTTTGTGTAAGTTTTATTTCTAGCATGTCTGGAATTGCTCCCGCCCGACTTGCCGAAGAACGAAAAGCTTGGCGCAAAGAACACCCTTTTGTGAGTAATTTTTATTAAAATCGCACTAAAGTAACCGAATTTTCCTTAGGGGTTTGTAGCCCGACCTTCAAAAAACCCGGATGGTTCTCTAAATTTAATGAATTGGGAATGCTCAATTCCTGGTAAAAAAGGGGTAAGTTTTGCGTTTATTTCGTGAAATTTTTGGGTTATCGTTTCGTTGTAGACGCCATGGGAGGGTGGAAACTACAAATTACGCATGTTGTTTAAAGATGAGTACCCCAGCATCCCCCCAAAGTGTAAATTTGAGCCGCCTTTGTTCCACCCAAACGTGTACCCCTCAGGAACGGTGTGTTTGTCGCTGCTAGATGAGGAAAAAGACTGGCGACCGGCGATCACCATTAAGCAGATTTTGCTCGGAATTCAGGATTTGTTGAATGAACCTAATGTTAAAGATCCAGCACAAGCGGAGGCCTATACAATCTATTGGTGAGTTATTTTTTCTTGTGTTTTTGTTACTTATGGAAATTTGCAGTCAAAACCGTTTGGAATATGAGAAGAGGGTGAGAGCTCAAGCCAGAGCTATGAGCCAACAGGAGTGGTAGGGTTGTCGCAGTAATTTTCACATGTGTATTGTTTCATCATATCTCCCAACATCTGATTAAAGTTATTTATGTTCACTTAACTTTTTTGATAAGATAGAGTTAGGGTGTCATGTATAGGTAAAGCATTTTTAAATAAACATTTTATTTCTTAAATACCTTGTTGCTTTTTACAATTACCTCATTTTTATGTTACAACAAATAAAATAATTAAATGATTATTATTAACAAATAATAATTTTCATGTAAAGTAAATGAATTTATTTCTGTTTGTATTTGAATTTAATTTTTTTTTTCAATTAGTTTACTTGTAGTCTTAAAATTATAATTTCTTTTTTTATGCATTTAAATAAAGCTTGGATTTTTACAATAATTATTAGACCAGACCATTGTTTCGAAGACCCAAGACAATCGTTTTTTATAACGTTTTATATATATGTCTACTTATTTTACAATATTTTTGCACTTTTCTAAGTCTTTTGGACCACACTAGAAGTGCATTTGGTTGAATTTTGAAGATTTTAATTTTTTCGATTTTTGCCAAAATTTTCGGCGATTTTTGGTACCCGAATCGGATATCATCTAATAACATCGAATTGTTTTCTATAACTTTTAAGTTTGGTATCGTTGGAAAGCACTTTTAATTTCCCATAAAAAGAATTATTGAGAAAATCGCTGGTTAAGACAAAAATAGCAAAAATAATAATTCGACAATAACTTCTAAACTATCAAGAATTTTGCGGTTTTTTGACACCAATTGACCCCCCGGAACATTTTACATAGGTCTAGTACAAAACATAAACCGTTTTTAATATACTTTAGCTGAAATTAACAAAATAAAAAAGAGTAAACATTTTTGAAAATGGCCATTTTGAACATGTCTCAGATTTTATTTAAACCTATCTAAGATAGATTTTGACGCGCTAATTAGGAATTTGTCAAGCATTTTGCGCTATCTCCTCTAAAAGGCAATTTTTTTTTGAGATATATTGTCTTAGCTTTAGTGTCAATTGATAGATTTTTTTATGCTGATTACGATGGTGTTGAGCTTTTTGCTCTGAGCCTAATAGTTTGTTCAAAAAGTAAAAATTTTCAAAATTGTGAAATTTTCAATACGTTTTTCTACAAAACTATCAAGACTTAGAACAAAAGGTTAAAAACCATTAAAATTTACTTTAAATTATCTATCTAATTACGCAAACCGGAAGTCGCTTCGGGTTATGGTTCCGGGTAAAAAAAAACCTACATTCTAGATTCTCTAGTTTTGCCGTAATTGCCGTATAAAAATTCAACTTTTTTTGCGAGATATTGACTTGGCTTTGGCGTAAATCGATAGATTTTCTTACGCTAATTACGATAGTGTTGAGCTGTTTAGTTTGGCTATAATCGTTCAAAAAGTAAAAATTTTCAAAATTGAGAAAGTTTAAATGCGTTTTTCTACGAAACTATAAGATTTAGAACAAAAAGCTAAAAACCATTAAAATTTACTTTAAAGTATCTATTTAATGGAGCAGACCGGAAGTCGCTTCGGGTTATAGTTCCGGGTACAGAACCATTTTTTTTTTTTTCATAAAAAAGACATATCTCAAAAACTATGAGTCCTAGGTTAAAACGGTTTGTAAAAGTGTAGTCTCCGGTTAATTTTACATATATATTAGTACTAGTTTTTCATAAGAATAAAGTTTTTTTTTTGATTTTTCGGTCTGGATTCTGGATTCGCATAGTATTTTAACCTGTTGCATAGTGTAGAAAAGCAAATTTCAAACGTTTTTGGAACTTAATAAAGTTAGTCGATCATTTTTACGATACTTACCTTCAAAAACTTAAGAAATTCGTAATTGAGCGTTTTATGCACTTTTTTTAGGTCCCTAGAACCTCTAGAAATATAAAAAACGTTATTTCGTTCAATTTTAACGTTGTCATTTTTTATTTTAATAAGTTAACTAAGAGTAGCACAAAAAATGAAGAATAATTTAAAACTAAGCTTGTTCAAAGTACATGTGGTTGGAGTAAAATACATTATTTTCTGTCTCTTTGTGTTTATATCCTTCTTGAGGCTGAAGAAAGTTTCGTATTAGTCATTCACTCGCCATCAATTAATTATCTGGCATCTGTTAAGTCGAAGGTCACACAAACGGCTGTTTTTCTGCCAATATTTCACAAGGAGAGACAATGGCTTTCCGAAAAGGATAAACAAGGTTGGAAATGTTTGCTCCGATTTTTTCAAGGCGGAGAAACTCTGCTTAATCTCCCGCAAAACATTTGATTAGAGCCAAGGTCGTCAAGATTTCTCGCTTGCAAGGTCGCAAGCAATGACCATAAACTCCTGCTTCATTAAAAATTTTAATTCATGATAATAAGCTCGTATTTACAAATTATTTTGGCACATTCTATACCTCTAGGATTATTCTTTCCATATTATTACGTTAGAAACAACATATGATACAAGTTTAGGGAATTTTAGCACCTAACCTACCATCTAACAATGCCAAAACCCTTTTTAACGACAAAACAATCACAATTAGTAATAACAATAATTATAAATATGGCAGTATCAAAGTTAATTATTTCCTAAAGTTGCTATTTCTGACTTCGATGACTACGGGACTTCCCCCGCTGTATCTCCGCTCGGTTTCGTAAAACTTCACACTGGGATCCCCCCGAAAGTGGCTTTTCGTGATCGATTTCGTCTCACTCGACTCGATTGTCTCCAGACTGCGTCCGTTTTTCGCCGGGATCGTTTTTTTGCTGTAGCTTTTGACAGTGTTGGTAACACTGGGTCGCAGGGGGTCGTCGTTTCGCGTCGTGGTGTGGTACGTCTCGGAGTAGTCCGTGCTGGAGTTGCTGCCCCGCCTCAGGATCGACTGGGGCTCCCGGAGACGCGTGGGGGGCTCATAGATGTCCCCATTGTACTTGTTCTTGTGGTGGCTCTTGATGGGGGTGCTGTAGATCACAGAATCCGGCTCGTCTTCGTGCAAAGTTTTAAACAATTCGGGGGCCCGGTCCTTGAGACTCTTCATGAACACTCGTTTATTGTCACTGGTGCTGTCACTGGTGCCGTTTCTTGCAAAACGGTTCGTGTACACACTGTCCTCCTGGAGGTCCTTCTGGCTGCGACTAAGACTGGAGATCAATCCAGGACTTTTGAGCCCCGCGGGGGTCTCCTCCAGGCGATTCAGATGGGGGTTGCTGGTGTACATCCCCGGCTTGCGGTAGTCGTTGGCGTGGACGTTCAAGCTCTTGCTGCGGGAGAGGTTGGACTTGTAGGTGCGGGCGGGCTTGGCGGGCCCCAGAGGGGGGCCCAGGGTGCGCGAGACGGTGTTGATGATGGAGACGTTGATGGTGCTGTTGGACTTGTTGTTCTTCTCCAGGCGAGTCGGGGGGTCGTGGTGGCGGGAGAGGTGCCGCGGGAGGGTCTGGGAGTTGCGCTCGTGGGGGGCTGTGGTACTCATGAGGCGACTCGTCGATTTACTGAAGCGGCCCAGGGTGCTCTGTGACCTGGAATGGTGGGACTGTTTAGACATCGGCTTATATGGGGCATGCCCACGCTGGGACACGCCATTGCCTTAAAAATAACGCGTGGGACAGTGGCGTACGGCATGGGCTGAAAGGACATTTCAGCGAAAACAAACAGTTTCCTTATTTGCACGAGGAATTCGAAATGTCAAGAGGAAAAATACTATACGGTCTAAATGAATATTCAAATTATTATTTCTTCATTTCAAAAACAATAATAGGCAAGGAAAATCATTTCCTTTGACCTAAATCATGTAATTAGAATTTGTTTGGTAAAGAAAATTATTAATTTCAATCAATTTTTATGGTATATTTAAAAAAAATATCTTATCAAATGTACAAACTCAAATTTTCTTAAGAATTAGTCAAAAAAATCACCAAATACGGCTAAATCGGCCTAAATAAAATAGCATTATTTTGCTAAAAATAACCAAAGAATTTACCTAATTAGGCTATTTTTTAAATAAAAGCAGTACTTTAAAAAAAATCGTTAAAACGCTGCAAAAGTATGAAACTAAATTAAAACTGATATTTTTTTTCTTAGCTTGTTTTTGCTCAATTTAGTTCTTTTTTTAAACAAAGTTTGTCAAAAATAATCCGAAACATTCAAATTCCCTTTTTCAAGCCTTTAACCACGTTTTTAAACTAATAATCATTTTTTTCTGTGAGATTATATACATTAGAACTCTTGAAAATCGACCATTAATTTTTATGGAGATTATTATTTTGCAATTATTTTGAAGTAAATAAATGCGATTAGAATTTACTGCAAGAAAAATTATTAATTTAAATTAATTTTTATGAACAATATTAAAAAAATTAGCTCAAATTTTTCAAAAATAGACATTCAGCTAGAAATTCAATTATTTCGCCAAATTTTCTCAAAAATAACTCAAAAAAAAACAAGAAACTAGCTTAAAAATAGTTTGATTTCACAGGATCAAAAATCACTAAATTGGGTCAAAAATAGCATTATTTTTGATTTTTTTTTCAAGCGTTTTAACACATTTTTCAGCTAGAAACAGAATTATTTTGCAAAATTTCATTAAAAACAACCCAAAATTAGACCAAAAATAAACGTGTTTTTTTCTCTTTTTGAAAAATTTTGTTAAAATCTTGTAAAAGTACCAAAGTAGATCAAAACTGGTAATATTTTAGCTTGTTTTCGCTCAATTAATCTCTTTTTGAAAGAAAGTTCGTCAAAATTAATCCGAAACTCTCAAAGTTCGTGTTATTTATTTCCCATTTTCAAGCCTTTTGAATACATTTTTAACTAAATTCTAATTTTTCTGTGAGATTACATTAGGATTCTTAAAAATCAACCCACTTTCAGGTTATTATTGTTTTGCTATTTTTTTAGCCTAAATAAATGTAATTATAATTTATTTTGCAAAGAAAATCATTAATTCCAATCAATTTTTCTGGTTAATGTTTACAAAAAATATCTGAAAATTTTCAAATGTTTTACAAGTTTTTAAAAAAAATAAAGACAGTTCTTTAAAAAAAAATGTTAAAACGCTGTAAAAGTATCAAATTAAATTGAAACTGATAGTATTTTAGTTTTTTGCTCAATTTAGCTGTCTTTTTAAAGAAAGTTTGTCAAAAATAATCCAAAACACTCAAATCTCGGTTATTATCCATTTTCCATGCCTTTAAGCACGTTTTTAAACTAAATTCTCATTTGTTCTGTGAGATTACATTAGAATTATTAAAAATCGACCATTAATTTTTATGGATATTATTATTTTGACCTAAATAAATGTAATTAGAATTTATTAAGCAAGAGAAATCATTAATTTGTCAATTTTTATGAACAAAAAAATATATCTCAAATTCATCAAAATAGAACATTCAGCTAGAAATTCAATTATTTTGCAAAATTTCATTAAAAACTCGAAAAT